TAAACATTTTCTTAGCTATCTACAAGTGTCTTAAGAGATAGTATTCCGTTTTAAAACTAGATTGCAATGCTGATAATGCATATCTTATGATGTGCATGAATTGAATATAACTTACATGTGTTTCATAACAAGAAACTACAACGCACAATAATTATAATATTATTATATTAACAGACTAAAAAATAGGGTCCTATCAAGTAAATCAGAGCCACTGTGTCAAAATTTTTGGGACCGAAATTCATTGACACTTTCTAATTGAGTATACATTGTGACATTATGATTTCCCACCTATTTGTGATAAAAAAGAAGCTGCCTAAAGCAGAAGACACATTGCCACAATGTTCTAAAAATGATTAATTCTAGGTCAGACAGACTCTCTAAAAAGAGTTGGATAAAGCAAAAGAGAGATGAGAGCCAAAAAAACATGAAATTCTAACGCAGTGATTTCTCAAAATGTGAGGGAGTAAATTTTGATATCAAGTAAAATATGAATTACTTGGCATCTGAGTACTGAATGTGCCCTTTTCTTCAACTACCTGATGATCCCAGACCCTAGTCTGTTATAGAGTTATGAATAGAAGTTGCCTGGTTAATATATCCAAATGACTAAAAATAACATATATCTTTGACTTCCTAATTTCAGCTTTAACCCAAAACTTATTACTGTATATTATAATAACAACACAAATACAACAATATCATAAAAGAAAATTGTGCTCTTTGCAAATCATTATCTTTTCCTCATTCACCAAAAACAGGAGTTTTAGCATTTTATTTTCAATAAATTTAAAGGGTGTTAGTTTACTTAGGTTAATCAATAATTGAGTAAGTATATGATGTGACATTTATTAGATAATTAACAGACAAATTATGTAAACCATTTCCTTATTTTGAAAATGTTCAATATTTTAAAAATATATAGGTCTTATAAAAATTAATGGTAAATTAAAAACAAACATTTAACAGCCGACTTTTAAGCCAGTTGGATTAAACTGAGTATAAAAGCGGATTTTTGTTGTTGATTTTTTAACAATCCTTCTTTAACATATATACTAGTATAAAGAAAGGAGGATTTTTAACCTGATTACATAACCACTTGCATAAAATGAAAAGTAAGTATTTAATTAAACAAGAAATGTTCTATCACCTAATTTTGCTTGTTTTCAACATTTAATCATTACATATCTTCTTTTTATTACATGGGTTATGATCTATTTTTCTCACCTTTCCTAAAGTTAACTAATGTTATTCAGGGATAGTCAATGTCATATTACATTTGTAAATGAAGCTCTTGTCCCAAAGGTAAGCAGTATCAAAGTTAAATTCTAATTTATTGAATGATAATGTTTTGGTCTGCGAAGGGATATTAAAGATGAAACAGACCAGGCAAAGTTTTGTCCAAGTATGAATCATTACCATAATGTTCAATAATCAATCTTACATCTGAAACAGTGTACATGGTCCAAATTTCATAGCTGTACATAAAAGGACAAGAAAGTAGGTCACTTCATCAAATGATTTAGGTCAGCTGATATCAGAAATCAATGTTACATCTAAAACTGTGAACATGGTCCAAATTCCATAGCTGTAAGGATCAAATCAAAGGATAAGAAAGTAGGTCACTTCTTCAAATTATCCAGGTCAGCTGATATCAAAGTTCAATTTGTCAAATAAAACCGTGCAAATGGTCCAAACTTCATAGACAATAAAGTAGGTCAATTTCTAAAAATCTAGGTCAGCTGAAATCAATTTAACATCTAAAACTGCACATGGTCCGAATGTCATAGCTATAGGAAGAGAATAAGAGAATTTCATTTATTTAACCTTGATGGTCAAGGCCAATTAAAGGTCAGGTCACATCAAAATTATTCAGGTCAAGGTCTGTTTTAGAAGTTTTATGTCCAAAAGTTTGTTTTGTCCAAGCATGAAGATAATCCATTGATTCCTTAATACTAAGTTACAGTCTATTATAGCTATTATGAGTAAAAATTCAATAATTTGACTGTCAAGGTCATACACAAGTCAAGGTCAATTTGAGTTTGATATAAATGAAGGTCCTGACCTAAAATAAGTTATGTCTAAAAATAAAGTTAATCCATTTATTAATTTGACACTGATGGTCTAAGTCATTTAAAGCTGGTCATGGTCAAAGTCAGTTCAACCTTCAAGAAGGTCTTATCAAAAAGGTTGTTTTGTCAAAGTATGAAGATAATCCATTCACGAATTACCAAGTTACATTCAATGATGAAAATTAAAAAATTTAACCTTCAAGGTCAAGATCACAAAAGAGCCAAGGTCAATTTGAGTTTAATTTCCATGAATGTCTTATCTTTAAAACTGCATTCTCACTTACTCCCGGCAGAGCCCAGGACCATCCCGGTAAGTTACCGGGATAATCCGGGGTGAAATTATTGTTGCAGTCACACTTAACCCGGCAGCACTACGGTAGTTCCCAACTAATGGCCCAGGATGCGCTCCAGATCATCCAGGCAGAGCCCAGGTGAAGCTACGGTTCATGCCGGTGCTTCCCCGGTCGTTCCCGGATGATGCCGGAAGAGCCCCGGTTGACCCAGGCAGAGCCCCGGTCGATCCAGGCAGAGCCCAGGACGATCCAGGCAGAGCCCCGGTAGAACCCTAGTGGATTGAAAACGCCCGAAAATGATAACATTGATACATAATTTTTATTTAAAATAATATCTATTGTTCTAGAATAGTAATTCATGATGATTTTCTGAAAAATCCTTATGCCATACTGGATAGAAGGGAAATGGGAAGGGTTTTAATACAAACAAGTGCATTCATCGCAAATTGTCGTAATTCTTTTAAAATGATCCGGGCTTTGCCGGGGCTCTACCGGGATCAACCGTAGCTCTACCTTTATCCTCCGGGGCTGTGCCTGTAGTTACCAGGGCTCTGCCGGCATCTACCGGGGCTCTACCCTAGCTCTACCGGCTTAATTATACCCCTGATCATCCCCGTTTTGTGCCGGCAGAGCTACGGTGCTTCCCCGGTATAACCCCGGTCGTTTCAGGCAGAGCTAAGGATGAAGCCTGCAAAGCTATACCTTCCCGGACCACCCTGGTGATATTAAATATTTTATTCCATCCGGGGTCGAATGCCATATGTTCCTTGATCATCCCGGACGTTGCCGGCAGAGTTACGGATGTACTCCGGTTGTTCCCGGTCGTACCCCGGACGTCTACCGGGGCTCTGCCGGGATGTAAGTGAGACTGTAGCTTAAGATTGTTGTGTCTTAATATAAAGTCAATACATTCATTAATAACAAAGTTATAGCCAGTTATAACAAAAAAATGAAATTTTTTATAATTTACCTTCAAGGTCAAGGCCATTCACTTTAAATTCTATACTTATGTTTGTTGTGTTTCAAGTTTGAAGATGAACCATGTAAAAATAACAAAGTTATAGCCACTATTATATAGCAAAAATCAAGCAAAATTTAGACATTAAACCTTGAAGGTCAAGGTCATTTGTTAATGAAGGTCAAGTTTAGTCTGGTCTTCTTGAAGGTCTTGTCCAAAGGGTTGTTGCGGCCAAGTACAAAGACAATACACCATGAACTTAAGTTAAAGTTTACTGACAGCATGCAACATCAACAGGAACGCCGCCATGATTGTAACAATATCTCCTTTTTTTTCGAATTTTTTCTTTGAAAAAAAAAGTTGAGCTAATTATGCTACACAATTTATCAATGCAAAAACTTCTCCAACTTGAATTAAGCTTATCAAACAGACATAGAGACAATATATAATGGGTGTTGACTTTGACAGTAGGAAACAGTCATGCAAAATTAATTTGGCTAAACAGGGGTGAGTACATTGTAGTGATTGTAGGTCATTTCAAACTGTCTTGCTGTTAGGTTTACCCTTAAGGGACATTGTTGAGTGTCCGCCTTGTAATCCAGTGGTCTGTAGTTCAAAACCAAGTCACTACCTGAGGATTTTTTTAGGTTTACAATATCTTTGAAATCTTACATAAAAATATATTGGTATTTATTTCAAAGTGCTTTTTTAAACATTGTTATTCCATAAACAGAAAAGAATATGACAAATCCAATTTTTTTTTCATCTTTATTTCTAGGTCTATTGTACAGTAATGAATAAAAATGATTTATAAGCTTAAACTTTATATTAGTTATTATTATAAAGAAAAGTGGCATTACTTTGATTAATAGAAAAAAAATAATTTGACTCATCGAGACTAGACAACTAGCACAAATGTAAATCTAAATCACTGATAAATCAAAGACAAAGATTATTTTTTTCTTGTTCCAACAATATTTTATGCTAAATTATAAGTACATGTAGATCTACTGTATATTAATACGAGGAAGTCAAAGACCGGGCCCGCGAAGCGGGTCCGGGCTTTGGCTTGCCCGGCTATAGACTACACGTGTATATTTAAAAGAAAATCAAATAAAAAACAATTAAAAAATATATAGAATTCTATACCTATCAATGAAATTTTCAGTGCCAGTTCTAGTCGGGCGCCGCCATTTACAATGTAACTCAATAATAATAGGCGGGGTATTCCGATATCGGAACAAATCTCAACTTTTCGGATAAATAATAATCGTCGAGTGTTCCGAGTGAAAACGGAAGCGGTACATGTAATACCGAATGACACCTTTAAAACGGAAAGAATGAAAGGAATTTTTTAACGACTTCTCCGTTCATAGGCTTTGCCTAATTTCATATTACAAAAAACAATAAACAATAGCCTAGCTGTTTAGTGTAATTAATCGTTAACATTTAAAGCAGTATGATGTAGATGAGATATTCAGATTTAATAATTGATACTTAAAGTTTTAAGGGAAAACTATATAATATCATGATGGCATCTAAAATATATAATATTTGTACCCGGCTAATTTAAAAAATTAAAAGTTACCCAATGAACCCTATTGCATCATCATTAAATGAAAAGTCTGAGTAGGCTGTAAACTAAATATATGACAATCTCAGTTTAAAATAAATACATACCGTGGCATTAAAATTCATATTGATGATGAACTGTCAAATTACTTTTATAAGTATTTAAACGTCCACCTCCGGCACACCTGAATTGTAAACATTAATTTGACACTTCCTCACGCCAACAGCCGGTATTTAGAGATTATCTCATTCAATAATGAATGTCCATTACTTTTAGTCAGCATTTCATTTTGTCTGTTGCTAAAAAAATAAAATTTTATAATAATCTAAAAGTATAAAAATTATTAAGTATCTTCCTTAAACCACAATTTATTTACAAATATTTTACAAACGTTTTTGATTTGAGAGTGTAACAAAGATGGCTGCGCCCATGAAAATGACGTTTAGATCAAGTTTCAAGATTTTTAGGGAAAATGGATTGATGCGAGGAAAATTTAGCATTCTGAGTAGTCTTGATGTATGCAAAAAATGTAAATATTCACAAAGCATGGGTTGCCATGTACAATTATATCCGAAGACATGCTTATATTCCAACAAACATGACCAACTAAGCAGTTGTACAGACAAGGGAAGTAATTCATACATATTGAAACAAATTCTCAGTGTAAATAAGGTTTCTGGTGTGCCAACAGACAATTCAAATGCAATTAAATCTGTGTTATTTGTAACAGATACTTCTACTAAAAGACATTATAGCACAGGAGCAGAAAGTGAAGGAAAAAATGATGACACTAAAGTGACAGGGAGTGGGAAGAACAGACCTCTTTCAAAAATAGGGAATGATCCGGTGAGTCAATATTACTAATTTTTCAATCTATCAATGTATACTATAATATGAAAAAGGCAAAGCCTCAAAGTTAGCTCGAATTACTTTTAGCGTGAAATAGTAGAAAATAATCGTTCATTTTTATTTTACATTTTCAGTTTTAAAATTGTCATTCGGTATTTTATACACTGCTTCCGTTTATTCTGGTTTCCTGTCCTGTTATAATTCCCATATAAGTGCCCAGGTCACCAGTCTACGTTTCCGTTTTCAATCAGAATACCTCTGCTTTTATCGTCATCTTGTTATTCAACAAGTTGTCAATTCAGTACTTTGGACGAAAGTTTTCAAAACCATCACTATCTAGCAGGTACTCGTGTCCATACACCATAAAGCTCGCTTTGTGAGCAGGCCCTTCGAGCTCGCTATCACTAAAATGACAGTCTTTCTTATGTTTCATGCATACAGACAATACAGTGAAACAAACATCTGTCACATGCATTGACTGCACATTTTTCTCACCCTGTGACATTTGGCGCCCAACATGGGGCCCATGACTGTATATAGCTCAGAGTTTAATTTACATTGCTCTGTAACTCTGTGAAATTCGAAGACGAATTTCAATATAGCAGGGGAGTATGTCATGTTTCAGAACTGTTCACTATTTAGGGGAGAAGATGTGTAAGAAAATGTGGATAGCTCAGTCTGTAGAGCCGCGGTATGGTATTACGAGGGTCCCGGGTTCGAGTCCCGGTTAGGCTGCACATTTTTCTCACCCTGTGACACTGCCCGTCCAATATTATTTTGATGTTTCTTTGACAAGTCTAATTAATTGAACTAATTCATTTACATGAATTACATGCTTTGGCTTCACTATCTAATTGAATATATATTTTCTTTAAGTCACATCCATTCTCATCAACATAAACTTTAAACATAAGCTGTCCCGGCTCGTGAAAATATGTGGCATTTTATCATGTTGAGTGAAAATATATTCCATATTTCACGAAAAACGAAAAAATATCCTCTTAGTATATTATGAGCTTGCAATTTTTTGGCAACATAATGTCATATATATTATTGTATACACAATTTAATATATGTTATGTTTTGTTTTTCTACTGTGCATCATTCAACAAAGAATATTGTGTCAATTTTCCTTTAATATTAACTGTAAACGTCTATGCAATATTCTTTTTTTTTGCACTTGCAAAAACTTATTAGTTATTGGAAAAGGTACTGGCCTTTTTTTTACTTACATTTGTAAAATTTGAGTCCAGTTAAAGAAAAATAATTTAGGTTTACATTAACATCAAGGTTGATTATACATCTATTATTGAACTTATACATAACAATTAAATTCCTTTTGCATTTTGTAACAACATCCAAAAATAAGATGGGTTGTTTTATTTTAACATTATGTTTTCTTTTCTACGGAAAATCAATCTGTTTATTTTGATATTGACTTATTTTCTTATATATATTACTTTGTAGAAAGAGAATATATGGACTGTTCCGAATCTGCTTACAATGTCTCGCATTTTACTCACACCTGTGATAGGATACCTGGTAGTGGATCAGAGTTTCCAAGTGGCATTGGGATTGTTCACTTTTGCTGGACTCACAGATCTTGTATGTTATTTTTTATCTATATTTTTCAATAATTATTAAAAGGCAGTGTATATGTGAATTATTTTTTTTTATCTTTATTCAGTCATCGAATTTAGCACTGGCCCTGTAGCCCATGGCCGGTGAAACTTATTTTGGGCCAGTGTAAATTTTAAGAAAATTTAGTGAAATATATAGAAGAATAAATTCAAAACTGGAATTCGGGCCAGTAAATTCAAAATCTTAAATTCAATGACTGTTTATTTCATACAAATATTAAAGGACAGTAAATGTGAATTATTGTTAATATATGTACAGTTTCCGACATGTTGGAACATTTTCTATTGTAAGAATTCCAATTTTAATCCCAATTGAGAATTCTTTGAATAGTAAAATTAGAAAATTAATAAAATTTCTATAACTTTAATTTTTTAAAGAATACTCAGTAGTGAGAGGTATCATTGTAATCAACCATATGTCTGTGTCAGCATCACTGTCACTGTCACACTTCGGTTAATTTTTATTGTGAAAGTTGTTATCTCAAAAACTTAAGAGAATGTTCTTAAGGAAATGGGTTGAAACTTCACATATTTACTTGAAAGCATAATAGGAGGTGACTTTCAAAGGCCCAGATACACAAGGTACATGTTTTGTTTATTTTGTTGCGCAAGACCTAAAATGCCATTCGGTACAGTTTACCTGTCTCTATACTTTTTGGCAAAGGCTTATCCCTTTAGGTTCATGCAAATTATAAGGGTCAATGATCTATAGAAATTGGGTCTATTTCACTATAATGATACCTATTTTCAGTTGGATGGATATATAGCGAGGAACTTTAAGAATCAGATGTCAGCATTTGGTACAGCACTAGATCCCCTTGCAGATAAAATCCTCATCACTGTCCTTACAGTTACCTTGACGATGGCTCATCTTCTACCAGGTAATTTTACGTGCTTGGTGGTAGTTTACTGAAGTATAATAGAAAATTATACTGTAATTACTTCACAGTGAAATTATTAAAATTTTGAATTATAAAAGCTGCGTGGTGATGCTTGTCTGTTATAAATTTTAACATACAAACATTACCACTGCATGTGGTACTCTCTTTAACTGAAAATGATTTGTTCAACCTCAGATCATTCAAACTTTTAGCATTGATAGCTTTTCAAAAGTTTTCATTGAACAGGACTATTCCTTTGACCTAAAAAATGGTACTATATAGTGACATAAAAAATCTCTAATATAAGAGCAAAATTTAAAGAAAACTATCTTACAAAAGGTACAAGGAGGAAAGCTGTCTAATTATCCCCCGCCTATGGAATCAGGAGGGGGATATAGTTTTGGCGTTGTCCGTCCGTCCGTCCATCCGTCCGTCCGAATTTCGTTTCCGGAGTAGTTCTCTGCAACTACTGGCTGGAATTCAACGAAACTTTATGGGAATCATCAATATCAAGAGGAGATGCGCATATCGTCAGCTTGTTCCGGTCAGACCCTTTAACTCAGAGTTATGGCCCTTGATTAGTTATGTAGTATGCATATAGAGTAAAATTTCGTTTCCGGAGTAGTTCTCTGCAACTACTGGCTGGAATTCAACGAAACTTTAGGGGAATCATCAATATCAAGAGGAGATGCGCATATCGTCAGCTTGTTCCGGTCAGACCCTTTGACTCAGAGTTATGGCCCTTGATTAGTTATGTAGTATACATATAGAGTAAAAATCGTTTCCGCACTACTTCTCTGCAACTACTGGCTGCAATTCAAGGAAATTTTATGGGAACCTTCAATACCAAGTGGAGATGCGCATACCATCAGCTTGTTCTGGTCAGACACTTTAACTCAGAGTTATGGCCCTTGATTAGTTATGCAGTATGCATATGGAGTAAAAATCATTTCCGCGCTAGTTCTCTGTAACTACTGGCTAGAATTCAATGAAACTTTATGGGAATCTTCAATACCAAGAGGAGATGCGCATATCGTTGCCTTGTTCCGGTCAGACCCTTTAACTGAGAGTTATGGCCCTTGATTAGTTATGCAGTATGCATATAGAGCAATAATTGTTTCCGCGCTACTTCTCTTCAACTACTGGCTGGAATTCAATGAAACTTTATGGGAACCTTCAATACCAAGAGGAGATGCGCATATCGTTGCCTTGTTCCGGTCAGACACTTACACTCAGAGTTATGGCCATTGATTAGTTATGCAGTATGCATAAAGAGCAAAAATCTTTACAGCGCTACTACTCTGCAACTACTGGCTGGAATTCAATGAAACTTTATGGGAACCTTCAATACCAAGAGAAGATGTGCATATCATTGCCTTGTTGGGGTCAGACACTTTAACTCAGAGTTATGGCCCTTGATTAGTTATGCAGTATCCATATAGAAAAATATTCGTTTCCTCATTACTTCTCTGCAACTACTGGCTGGTATTCAATGAAACTTTATTGGAACCTTCAATACCAAGAGGAGATGCGCATATTGTCGCCTTGTTTGGGTCAGACATTTTAACTTAGAGTTATGACCCTTGATAACTTAGGCAGTATACAACCAGAGCAATAATCGTTTCCGTGCTACTGGCTGGAATTCAATGAAACTTTATGGGATACTAAGAGGAGATGTGCCTTGTTCGGGTCAGATACTTATAACTCAGATTTATGGCCCTTGATTAGTTATGTAGTATGCATACATCTCATTGGCATTTCCAGATATTACTATTTAGCACAAAGTTATGGCTCTGTTATTACCCTGAATATTTATCAAGTTCAAAGAATATTACTGTTTATGCCATGATTAATATAGAAATAAAGCCTCATGTTTTCAGTTGTTGTGTTAATAAAAACCAGTACTCGGCGGGGGATATAAATTCAACGAATTTGCTTGTTGCTCTATGTTTTTTTAATCTATTAAACTTAAGTGCACTAGCAGTTACTAAATCTATGTGACCACTAACTACAGCTTGCTATTCAGTCAGTACGTATTTTGAAATTTTACCTAAAAATGATAAATGGTTTTGTCCAGATTAACAGATGGAGTAGTCCATTTAAGAAATTTAGTATGGTAAGGGTAAACTTTTGTTTGTTTTCAGTTCCACTTGCTGTATTGATCATTGGACGAGATGTACTACTTATATTAGCAGGCTTTGTGATAAGATATGTTTCTTTACCTCCCCCTGTAAGTATTTGTATATACAGTCATTTTTACCTGTCTTTTGATAAATATTTTGTGCTAATTACATTTGTATGTGCTTTTGAACACGAGCTAGCTGGATAGCTTTCTCACATCAAAGAATTCAAAGATGCTTGTGGGGCTCAAATTAACAGCAGTGAGAGGCAATTGGTTTGAAGTCAATGACATTAACCCTTAACCACTCGCCCAACTCAAAATAATATTGTTGGCATTTTTCTTTTCTGAAACAAAATGAGGGGCAATAATGGTAATTATTATTGTCAGCTATAAAAGTTTCTGGTATTTCTTTTTTGTTAATACAGATCAATATAGATGTACATGTTTTCCCAAAATTCTTCTTATAATTTTCTTTGTAATGTGAACTTAAACTTGAAATATTCACTGTAAGCTCAAACTTAGTCAAAATGTAAATAACAAACTGGATTTAATTAAGAAACAAGTTATCATTGAAATATCAAAGAAGATTGCTGACAAATGAGAACTTGTTAGATTTACAGGATGGTGTTTTTTTAAAAGAGGTCAGTGGAGATATGGTTGTCAGTCATTCCCATATACATCTTGTATTTTATTTGTAACTATCATTTTATATATTTATTACAGAGAACTATAAAAAGATATTTTGACGTAACCAATCCAACAGCCAAATTATTGCCATCAACATTAAGTAAGGTAAGATAGAAAAAGTATCAGCGACTGTTAAAAACTCCTATACCACCTTTAGATGGAGCATTAAATTGGTAGTTTGTCATTCAAGCTAACTAGTTAAGATACATGGCTAGGTAAACAATAGGCACACAAAAAATTTTCTTTGAACTTATTCATTGCAATAATTGTGTGACTAGGAAACTCCCTAAATGTGGCTAAAAGCACAATGGCTAGAAGTGGTGTAGTGTTTTAAGTAGGACAAACATACATACCATCTTTCATTGACTGATATCTAAGAAATTTTATGTGCTGGTACCTTCTTTGGGCCTCTGTCTTTTAATTTGGTATCCAGTCGATTTTGTTGTTGTCACAGAGACTTAAAATAGATTTTCATATTTTGCCTCAAGGCAATATTGATGGTACATAAAACTGTCAGTGTTACTTCCAGTCTTGTTTGTTCATTAAAATTAGTACATGTATGATAATGTGTTTAATATTTGTTGTGGAGAGTAACTAATGGCTTCAGAAGTATCATAACACACTTTCAAATATCAGGCTCAATTTAATTGTTTGGTGAAAATATGTTGAGCAAAAAGAAATGTTTTGTAGATTTTCTAATAATTTAAACAACACAAGTGACCATAATACTACTGATTTACAGATTGTATGTCAATTCTTAATTCTATTCATATCTTCGCATTATTTGATGTTTTCAGGTGAATACAGCATTACAGTTATCATTGGTGTGCTTTACTCTAGCAGCTCCTGTGTTTGATTTTGTAAATCATCCTTTACTTCAGTGTTTATGGTAAGACTATGTTTGTAGTTACATTTGATATAAAATTGTAGACTTTGTTAGTGAGATAGGATGGGAATATCACCTGGGGAGATTAATTTGAGGTACTTTATATCACTCACTATAGAAACAAATCATCATAAAGCTTAGGAAAGCCAAAATGTGGTCTGTATTTTTAGACTATTAACCTTTAACCTACTGAATTCGTATAATTGAGTTGCTCAACTTTGATTTTGATAAAGTATATTTGAATTTAATTAATTTAATTATCAAAATACTAAAGTTGAGTTATCAACAGTATAGAGCCTGATCTGTGCAGGCTGGCCTGGCTATTAATAGTGACAAAGGCTTTCCTCTTTAGGTACAAGCAGGCAGAAGGTTTATTAATTCCTTTAAGTAAAGTTATTCATATCAATATTTTATATGATTTAGTGAAACTATTTGAATTTACTCTCCTTTCATCCTTTGAAATAAATTTAACAAGTTTTAACAAGAGTAAGTTCTTTAACAGCTTCAGTGTTATCAGGAATGATGATTTGTTCTTGCCACTAGTATAGGGCCAGACCAGCCTGCTTATCTGGACAGTTGGCTACTTAATTGTTATGATTTTAATACCAAAACTGGACAAGTTCATTATATATATTTAGCGTTAAGATACTTACTTTTCAACTCATAAAGAGTATATTATAAGTGTTTATATATGGTTCAAGAAATTTAGAATAAAATAATGTTTCAGATTTAAATTTGATTATTTTGCTGTGTGAAGCTTGACAAAATTATGACTTTTTAATGCAGAAAAAAATGAAGAAGGGCAAGTGAGTGTTTTTGGGGAAAAACATAAGAAAAAAGTGTTGATTATCAAGATGTGTTTGGACTTTTTGCTTTTTATAACATTAGGTACCGTTTCATCATAACTTACTGTAAAATTTTGTATTTCAGGGGTTTGACTGCAGCAACAACATTTGGTTCTGGAGTTGGTTATGTCATCACAAGGAAGTCGTCAGTGAAATTTCTTCAGCAACAGTCTATAAATTCTAAGAAGTGAACATGTGTACCCATTATATGTGTATATTTTTATGTTGCTATGTGATAGAAGTAAGTGGGGGTTAATTGGAATGGCTGAAGTCTGATATAATCAGGGGAAACAACCCAAGATTGAATATATTTATTCATGGGGTAAAATTAAGAAAGGGAAACAACTGTGATATGACATATTCTTTCTACAATAATCTGCCAATGTTAACACTAGATGTGTTAATAAAGTTCATTTCTTTTCTCCATCCATACACGTTTATAGATTCAAGTTGAGAAAAATCAAGATATTTGTTATCAAATAACAATATGTTCATTCAATATCTTTTCCTTATAAACTTTCATTGACATTGTGGTTTAAAGAGTTGTGCTTATAATCGTAGTTGAGTATGTTAGGGGCCTTCGTGGCCGAGTGGTTAAGGTCGCTGACTGGAGATCACAGGTCCCTCACCGCTGTAGGTTCGATCCTCACTCGGGTTGAAATCTTTCATGTGAGGAAGCCATCCAGCTGGCTTACGGAAGGTCGGTGGTTCTACCCAGGTGCCCGCTTGTGCCTGAAATAATGCCTTGAGGGGCATCTGGGGTCAGGCTCCAACAATAAAAGCTGGGAAAAAAAACGACGAAAAAATCTAGGCGGGACGCTCTAGGATGGTCCGACTTGAGTACGTTCGCCCATATGGGCTTTCCGGCGGCGACCTTAAATAAATGTGTTAAAAAAAAAAAAATTGAGTATGTTGGAATGAATATGTCTGTGTTGAATGGATTTTTTCATAAAAAGTTTATACAATGCATTGGCATAATTCATAAGTGTGTGTTTATTGTCATATAGATGTATTTTTATCTTGTGTGCCATTTCAAGCACATATTTTCCAATGTATTGGCAGAATTGAACAAATGTGTATAGAACAAATGTGTAACATATGTATTATTGTTTTTCTAGTCTTTGTATGAAACATTTTTAGCATTTGTACTATGTACATATATATATTGTTTATGATTGATTAAGAAACAAACTTTCAGTGACATATCCCACATTTTTTGTAAGTGATATGATTTAAACTGTAAAACTACTTTGTTGTAATTCTGAAAATGCATTCGAATTCTGTTTTAAAATGCTTGATTGACCTACTGATCTAAACATTTTTAATCTCTCTCTCTTTCACATAGAGGAATTTAAACTTGGTTCAGACTTCCAGTGTTAGTCTTTGTGACCACTGGCCAATTGGTTAAGGTCACTGACTAAGGATTTAACTTGTCCCTCCTAGATCCAAGGTTATGAAGAAATTTTACAAGTCAAGTTTTTAAGTTGGATATTTTTTTAGTGGAGATGGATCTCAGAAAATAGCTTTATAACTTCTCGATTCAAGCTTCACATGGGATAAAGAAAGCTGTCATATGAGGTAGCTATCAAGGTAACATGGGTAGATCTGTTGTTCTCCAAGAGACCTGTTATGCCTGAAATAATTCCTGCTCATGGTCTGCACTGTTTGTTATTCAGTCAGTACTTATTTTGAAATTTTCCTATAAAATGATGAATGGTTTTGTCTAGATTGAAAAATGATTAAATATCTATTGCGGTAAAGGATATATATTCTATATTGAATTGGCCTACCTATCACAAATCATGCTTATCACATTTATGGTGCTTGTCATTGTTGATTATCCAATCATTTTCTAGAACTCAAGTTTTGGCAGTTTGCCAAAAATTTGTTTGTGTCTTGAGAATGTGACTTGTAATTTATTTTTATTGTCTTGTTGTGCATCTACCTATTGTAACCATTTTGAAATGTCTGACTTTAATTGAGTAAAGTGTTAAAAACATTATTAACTTCCATTTAATATAATCCTAACTCACAGTGTTTATGTGACTATCCTGTTATTAATTTGGACATGTCCATTGTTTAACTTTTAGTCATTTGCTACTCATACAACCAGTGAAGACCAAGATAAGGCAAGATCATGGTTTGAACTGTTTGCTATTGAGTCAGTACATATTTTGAAATTTACCCTATAAGTAATGAATGATTTTAGCAAGGCAAGAGATTAGGGGTTTCAAGATTAAAATACTAAAATTTAGCAGATGTCAGTGCTCACAGAAACTGCATGAAACATTGATGTAATTATTCACTATGAAATTTTTTATTACATCTACAAAAAGCTGTAGAGCTGAAGGTAGGAAAGAACAAATAATAACATGAAGAGTGGCTAAAAATTTAATAAACATAATGCATGACATAAATATTATAAATATCACAGTACAAAATGAAAGGGAAAATACATGTACCTTATTTTCTGTCTTATAACAAAATTAGTATTTCAATTAAGGACTGTACATACATGTTTTCAATTGATGACATTGTTTTTAAGCAGTTTTGTGACCGAAATAGGGCGAAAAAGTATCATTTTATCACAATACTTTTCAAGAAAATTCACAGTCAAATTGTAGTCATTGGCAACAATTTTTTCAATTAAGAACATGAGGAACAACCCCCCCCCCCACACACACACACACACACATTTAATTGCTAAATTTTATATTAAGTGTAAAATAAGACTACATTCACAAATTATGGCATATTAATGGTGCTAATTTTTACTATTTTAAGAGTTAAAGGGCCCTGGACCTATTCGCAAAGGACTGGTAAACACACACACACAAAACAAGTAGATGTCACTGCCAATTAAGAACATTTCAATTGTTCATATTTCAGTAGTTTTGCATGACACTATCATAGTGACATAATGCTTATTTTCTAAATTTACTACATTTATTGCCTATTATAATTGTGATCAATCAGTAATTTATATTGACAAAATATTTAGAGTGAAATAAAACTAGAAATGTGTCTATAGTTTATCTACTGATCATTGGCCATTATCCCTACCAAGTTTCTCAAACTTGGGCTGATAACTTCTCAAGATACTGATCAGACAAAATGTCACTGTGACCTTGACCTAATGCCCTCAAAATTGATTTGGGTCATCTGATGACCTTGGGCAATGTTCCTACCAAGTTAGTTACATAAAGCATGGCTTACTAAAAATAGATATTGAACAGACAAGGATTACAGGATGTACATACATACAGACGAACATTTTAAGTGGGGGCATATGAAGAATCCTTCCTTTTTTCACTAGAATGTTACCAATTTATTCTGAAGAATATATATGCAGATATTTCCTTGAATCACATGGTTTATTTATTATTCATTTGAAATTGAAAATTGAAAACAATTATTGCAAAATGTGATGTTATTTTGACTTTTACCTGCCATTAAGATTTGCCATTTATATTTGGATTGGCATAATGCCACTTAAAACTGTTTATTGGAATAAACACCAAAGGCTTAGTTTGAAACTATTGCATTTAATATTTATAAAAACAAAAAAAAATAAAAAAAAATAACGTGTAGTAACTTTGCAACACAATAATGTTTTTGAAAGCATGTCAAAACAAGCACAAGGTTTGAAAGAAGGCCATGAACACTTGACCTCTATGTGGGTCTTGGAGGTAGAGCTCATTAAAGTGCATGAACCTATGAGGTTTGTAGACTGTAGGAGGAATGATTTCTGTGTTATAACCATGCTTAAAGTTTTATCACCAGACAGACTGCCCCAAAACAGTATGACTTCTAATATACTGACCAATAGGCATAAAGAATAAAGTAAATTATTTCATGCTTTCCAGTGTTTTATTGTAATATATCAGATGATTATATTCTGATAAACCACTAGTGAAATTTATAAAATATAATTTTCACTGTAGCCGGACTATATCTGAATGCGGATGAAAAGAAAATCAAAACTGAATGGAATAACAGGCAAAAATAAATGCCGTCATGCGTAAATTTTGCTTCTTTCGGAAAAGAAAGTCGATGTCACCATACATTATGCTAAAAATGTAACAAAATTAGAGAAATTTAACAGAACTTTATTTCAAATTTGTTGATGTGACGTCATGATGTGATGACGTCACGAAGGAGAATGCGCGACGTTACGCGGCAAAATCAGTAAAAAATAATTAAAAATACTTAAAACGCATGAAATAAAAAGAAAATTTATTTGTTTTACATATAAGATTGAAATATATTTCATTCATGAACACCAGCTGTTATATTTTCACTCGTGGCTACGCCACTCGTGAAAATATTGCATCTGGTGTTCACTCAGTGAAATTATATTTCAATCTTACATGCAAAACAAACAAATATCCTCTATATAACTTTCAATGCATAACTAAATTGATTTTAAAAAAAACACTCCTGGTTATTCAAGGATTGAAATAACAAGACCTGCCAGTAGGACAGCATGCTCAACTATTCTTGATGGTTGATAGTAAAACAAGAGCATGGATAATGTAGAACTTTCTAAGTTAAGCATGGGCTATAATTCTGTCAAAAATGTAAAAGAGTTATGGGCCTTTGAAAGCGACACCTTATTGTGCTCTCAAATAAAATTGTGATGTTTCAACCCATTCCTTTTAGTAGTTTTGGAGATACCAACTTGCACACAAATACTCAACCATAGCTGTCGAGACCGACACCTATCTAAGTACAATAGCTCTCCCTTTTCTTTGAATAAACAAGCTAAAAACAATGATAATTGCACATATAATCATAATACAATCATACATATATGTATATGTTATTTAGCACTTAATGAATAAAAAACATAAAATAAATACAATTTCAATGGATAAACGATTTTAACCAAATAGAAAAAGAAACTAATTCAAATAAAATACACATGATTTATCACGAAGACTAACACACATGAAAAGCAAATTTATAGTCGTGTTACAATCTTTAAATTTCATATGAAACTCGTAAGTTCAGATGACTATGAAGTAAAATGCTATCACACTGTCACACATTACTCATACTGAAAATGGGAACAATCTTTCAGATAAGACCTCAAAACTTAGGTCCTCTGCAATGGTACTTTTCAACTTTGCACGCTTCTTTTTCTAATTTTCTAATTTCTGTACAAATTGCACTATTCTCCAAAAAATTAAAATAACTAACAGTTACAGAAAGAGTTAACCACATGGGTTCCTGTTTGGTGAATATGATAAATCAACATTATATCACACATTGCTATCTACATCTCATAGCATTCAAAAGTCCAAATTATGACAAAATGCAACAATAATCAAACAGTCTGAAAATTAATTTAAAGAATTATACATGTATAAACTTAAATTTCTATGAAGAACAAGTTTAATTTCTATGTGTAACAGAGACAAGAATTCTTACAAAATACAGAATATTTTAACTCTGAATGAAGTTAAATTTGTATTGTATTGGACTACCCCAACTTTAAATTAAGAATTTTCTTTTGTTAATGTTAAGGTTATTCAATATCAAAATGCATACATGAAAATGAGACCAGTGCAGATACCAGATATCAGCCAGCATGTCTGATCATGGTCTGCACTGGTAGCTTTATTCAGTCAGTACTTATTTTGTGGAATTTTTCCATAAAATGATGAAAAGTTTTGAACAGGATGAAAAAAGGACAAGTCCATTTATGATAATAAGTGTTGTAGGAACTTAAGCAACAAACAGCATTGGCATTGCCATTGGCAAGTCATTTTTGCTGCACACATTAAAACATATTTATTATAATGTTAACATTATAGTAAAAAAAAGTATTTTGTTTACCTATAAACACATGATCAAATGTAGCAAGCACATTTCAAATATGTCATTTCAGCAATAACCTTTCAAAGGTCAATGGTTTTGATGCAAAAGCTTAATTGTGTTCATATGCACAAGTTCTCAAAATTTTGTTTTAGTCATTTCTTATAAAACGTTCAAAATGATGCCACTTGTTGCTCAACCTTGGCATGATAAGCAAGTATGCTAAGACACCTTTTAAAATGTTTGAATAATTGGCTACATTAAAGTTTTTGCACTACAACAAGCTAAAGATGTTCAAATGCTTTTGGGCAGATAAGATTAACATGTTCATAACTGACTAGTCAGAAGTCATGTGTCAGACTAAAACTGTTTTGTTCATGTTGTGTTGTCTTTTACTCATCATCATCGTCATCGTCATCACTACTATCACCTGATCTATGAACTATGGAATCTTTTTCATTCACCTGATATTGTAATTCAGAAAATGTCAAATATTTCTTTAGAGTTACGGGTATTTCCATCTGTTCCACCCTGGCTACGATGTCATGCCCGTAACATCTGCGGAAATAGTTCCTACACAAAGCAATCAAATGAGGTGGAGAGTGCACGTACTGGGATAAAAGACGGCACATACGTTCATCAAAATTTGAAGGGAACTGCCCATCAACTAGCCACTCCTCTTTGTAAATATCATAACCAGCTGACACAAGCAATAATGCAATATCAGAAAAATGTCTTTCCATAGCAACCCATAATGGCGATTTAGGTGAATGGTAAACATGGACTACTGTATCCGAGTGGGAATGTTGATCAGTTCCCCTAGATTTCACCTCAAGGTTCACATTTAGCTTAATCAACAGTTTAACAACTTCTTTGTGGCCTTTATAAACAGCATTCCAAAGGGGTGTGGCATCGCATGTACTTTTACAGTTCGGGTCCGCCCCATGTTTTATAAATAGCTCCACTCCCCTTACCATGCCATTGTATGAAGCATAATGAAGAGGTGTATCATCGTCTTTGTCGTAATTATTAACGCGGCAACCAAGTGGAAGTAACTCTTCAATGACTTTCAAGTGGCCACCATGAGCTGCCAGTGCCACTGGAGTATTTTTATCGTTTGTTTGAACATCATGGAGAGCACCGGCTGATAAAAGTTTTTTCACGCTGTCTAAATGTCCATTCCAAGCTGCAATATGTAATGGGGTATAGCCATTACTATTGCCTTTAGTAACACTGGCATGGAACTTCAGTAAAAGCTCAATAATCTCCAATTTGTCATCATAGCATGCTATCAACAGAGGTGTGTTGCCATCACTGTGTGCGTAGTTTGGATCGGCCCCCGCATCTAGTAGAATCCTCATTATTTCTACATCACCTGTTAAAGGACAAAATTTATGGACATAAACATACCACTACATACTATTTACGCCATTGAAAAACTGAATTAACTTTAATATAGCATGCCTTGATGAAATATCATGCAAATTAACTAATATCTTCTTATCATTTTTTTGTATATTCAATTCTGAGCTTTTTTTTTTGTTAGGTTTAATGTCGCACCAAAACATTATAGGTCATATGGCGCTTTTAGGTTTACTGGTGGATGAATACCTCAGGTGCCCTTCCGGGCATTATTTCAGGCATGAATAGGCACCCAAGTAGAACCACAGATATTTCATAAGCTTGCTGGATAGCTTCCACACTTGAAAAATCCAAAGTTCCTGTCGGGATTCGAACCCAGTTGTGAGGGGCAAGCGGCTTGAAGTCCTCAACCTTTACCACTAGGCCACATGTTAATTGTCTTATCAATCTTTAAACGTAATATGAGTAACACTAATAGATGCTCACAGATATCTATATGACAAAGCTCAACTGACATTAAAACCTACTTAAGGGTAAATTATACCAAGATTTTTAGATATCAGTCAAAACAAGTAAATAAAGGTGCTTTGAAAAACAGTGTAATCATGGAAAGAGAATGGAATGGACAAACCAGCAATGTATGCCACTAATACAGTTCATATGTGATAAAGTGATGACATGCATTGGTTCATGCAAAGTTATGACGGTTATAATTTCTTTTTTACAACAAAGCAAGAGTATCCTCACATCCACAATAGCCCATCAAGAACTTTTGGTTCTTCTTGCAAAAACATTCACCAATAGTTTCTTATATTTGCTTCTGTGTCTTTATGCAGTTACAATAACAACTCACTAAGTCACAAACCTGTATACAAAGCAATTAAAAGTGGCACATCTTCCCTCCCATTCTTCATATTCACATCTGCTCCAAATCGTAACAAAAGTTTAATCACGTCTACATTCCTCATTTGTACGGCATACATCAGAGGGCTCGTCCTCAGGAGACCGGTTTTGTTAGGATCGGCACCCGCCTCCAGCAAACTTTGCAAGTACTTTGACTTTACTCTGATACAGTGTGCAAGCAGTGTCTGATTTCTTCTGTTTGTTACATTCTTGTCAACTTTGGCACATTTGAGAAGAGCTTTAACTATCTCATCATTTTCCGTTGCCATGGCAACAGCCAATGGACTGTCTATAAAATTTGATGTGAAATTAACATCAACATCACAGTGAATAAGAAAGTCAACAGTTTTTGGAAGCCCATGGAATATGGCCAGGTGTAGAGGTGTTGGAATGTTTCCCGAGCATTTACTGTTGAAATCACAGTTTTTATTCTTTAAATAAATCAATATTGGAAGATACTCGTCCCTTGTGCAAGCAAAATGAACCAATTTGTATCCTTTATTCTAAAATAATGACAAAGAAAGCATTTGCAAGAATACACTTCTCAATAGATTATCGATATCAATTTGGCTATATTTTCAGTACATGTAATTTTCAGTACATGTACATGACTTAATTAAACCTGCATAGCTCAAGATAAGCATTAATATTTCAAGAAAATCAAACTTGAAAAAAATTGTACTAAGATTTAAAAAAAGATTCAAGATTCAAGTAATTATTTATACATGTATACTATTTGCAATTATTTGACTGATTTTGCAGTATTTATCTGCGTTAGTAACGCAGTAAGGCCTATTTTTTGCGCACTTTCAACACTTTTTGATAATTATTGTGCATTGTAAGCATTGTTTGCAATGTGTTAATTAATATCTTTCTTCACTTCATAATATTTTACTTTTAAATATAACTTAAAAAAATTTCATGAAAATTAGCATGGATTTGGAGGTATGCTGCTTTAATGAGCAATTTATTTCAACCCCTGAAAATGATAAATTTCATGTCTTTGAAAAAACGAGTAACACAAATTAATTTAGGAAACCACAAACAATTCCACTTTCAATATACGAATAATGGAACCAGTGAATTTAAAGCCCTGTGTAGTATTCTACATAGAACCAGACACCAGAGGTCCCGAGGTTAATAAACTTTTTTCTGAGTTCTGTCTTAATTATCTCAGGTTTTTTTTTATTGGTCAGTGAACATTCTGTGACAGTTTCTGACCAAACAAATACCTGAGATCTTGGTTTAAGATTAAATAATTTCTTTATTACCTCGGACCAAGATATCTTTCTTCTACATTCATGTCTCCTGTTACTGTACATTTAGGTTCTCATTGACTACCATACAGTGACCTACTTTTAGGTTCTCATTGACCACCGTACAGTGACCTACTTTTAGGTTCTCATTGACTACCATACAGTGACCTACTTTTAGGTTCTCATTGACTACCATACAGCGACCTACTTTTAGGTTCTCATTGACTACCATACAGTGACCTACTTTTAGGTTCTCATTGACCACCATACAGTGACCTACTTTTAGGTTCTCATTGACTACCATACAGTGACCTACTTTTAGGTTCTCATTGACTACCATACAGTGACCTACTTTTAGGTTCTCATTGACCACCGTACAGTGACCTACTTTTAGGTTCTCATTGACTACCATACAGTGACCTACTTTTAGGTTCTCATTGACTACCATACAGTGACCTACTTTTAGGTTCTCATTGACCACCGTACAGTGACCTACTTTTAGGTTCTCATTGACCACCATACAGTGACCTACTTTTAGGTTCTCATTGACCACCATACAGTGACCTACTTTTAGGTTCTCATTGACTACCATACAGTTACCTACTTTTAGGTTCTCATTGACTACCATACAGTGACCTACTTTTAGGTTCTCATTGACCACCATACAGTGACCTACTTTTAGGTTCTCAATGACCACCGTACAGTGACCTACTTTTGGCTCAAATTGATATTTTAGGCTAATACTCTGTGGAAATTAAACCGTTAAGGGCATGACTGGTGACATGTCCAGGGTTCTTACTTGACAGCGAAAACTGCTTTTTTTGCCTTAACAGGCAGACAAACCCTCATTAAGCATAGACTACACACACTCTCTTTCTTATAAGAAGGAAACTTTATACTTACTAAGGAGTCATCATTAGAGTCATAAGGAGAACAGTGGCATTTTCCTTCATGTATGAGATTAGAGACCATCTCAAAAAATTCTGGATCTGGTTCTTTTCTGAATTCTACAACACATTCAGTGTGACAGTCATCACATCGAGCTGTAAATATAATTTATAACTTTTAATCTGCTGGAACCAAAAGTGACCAGCCTTTGCCACCAGTATTAGAGCCAGGCCAGCCTGCAAGTCCGTGCAGTCTGACCAGACCTATACTGTTGGCAACTCAATTTTTGTATTTTGATATTGAAATCCCTTGAACTTTGAATGGACTGTTTCAAATTCAAGGCTGGACAGATCCATTATAGATATCCAGCAGGTTCATGGATAAATTCAAAGGTCAGTATAGGTCAATGGTGAATGGTTATTTTATTACTAAACCATAACATGTTTAAAAGATTTAAAGTAAAAAGATTCAAAATTCAAGTAATAATTAACGACTGATTTTGCACTATTTATCACCATATTTCTACAAGTGACTTACACAGTAATAAGAGGTTTTTTTTCAAATTTTGACCTCATTTTGGTACATTTACATGGATTGTAAGTGCCATTTGCACCATATAAATTACTTACTACCTGCAAATGAATAAATATAGGCAGTCATGTTTCATAAAACAATCATCCATTCATAAGTCAGCTTCAGTATGGCTTCCTCTAAAACCTTGATATTCAGGCACCTATACTGTATGGATATTTAGTTCTTAAATATCTTCTGAGATATAAATATCTAATCATCAATTATAAACATACATGTATCTGCTTACGTATAATTATATATTTATCAAGATATTCATTCCACTTCTCTAGGTGTTCTACTGTCAGTGTTTTCTGCATCAGTTTCTTATATATGCTTGCCTGAATCCATCTTGTTTCTGAAAGAAGAAAAAACAAAACAAAGGACATTAGTCATAATAAACAAGATAGACAAGAAGGGTGGTAGTTACAATCAAGACATATGTGATGTTTCAAATGAATGTCCTCTTGGTTGTGGGTATATAACTTGCAAGCAAAATCTTAAGCAGGATTTTTGAAGTTCACAAATAATGTCATGGCTAGAGTTATATATCTTGTATAATGACCAACAACTATGACATTTGTGAAATTTAATAAATAAATTTTGTCAAAGATTTATTGTTTTCACAGAAAATCACAAAATTTTCGTATTAAACTGAAGGCAAATTTAGCAAATCTATTCTTTGCAATATTCATTGTACGCAATAAAGCAAAACTTAGATACTTGCGAAAAAACCCTGAAATACGGTACAATTAATATTAATAATAGCCTGGTGTTAAATGAGCACACCATGGTGAATATCTTACCTTTATCAGGAACTGGATGCTCTAATGGATCAAAGTCATCTTGCTTCTGTAATTTAGAAAATATAGAGTAATTTACTGATACAAAATACATTCAACATGAGACTACATATTTTCATAAAAACGTGATCTAATAACTAGAGTTTTCTGTTCAGATTCATGAAAATATGCATAGTATCTTGAAGATAAAACAACTGTCTCAGATAATTATTATAGGTTCATAAAAAATGCAGAATTTTACCTTTTTATATCAAAATTGAGACCTTAGGTTTATATTCTTATATCAACATGCTTTTTAATTTTAAGCAAAATTTTGTATACTTCCCTACAGTGAGATACTAAATATATACTGTAAAAAAACCTGCAAAAACTAGTGTTTCACCAATACCAGGGTGGGTGACTGTAGATATTATTCATGGTCATGCTTTAATAAAGGCCAAACTGCCGACAATGTAATGTTTGGTACCCAGCAGAAGATTGAGCAGTAAAAATTTGAACAATTTTTTGTATAAAATAGGCCAACCCAGAATAAATATACATTGTACTTTTTAAACATTTGACTATTATGAAGGTTCGACCTTTTTCAATGTAAATAGTAAAATTTAATACACTTACCGCAGTGTTGTCTGCAATTTGTTGTCGAACTACATGTAGAAACTCCATACTCCTAACAGTCAGTCCCTGACAACAAACACACCAACAAATATGAAGGTCTTTCTTTTTTATCTAGTAAAATAAAGAAAGAATCAGGTTAAAAATCTGTGAATGAATACAAAAGTTGATTATTATTATCACACACTGTCAAAATTTCAGGTTTTTCTTTGAAAGCCTTTTATATATACATTTGTATATATATATATATGAAAGAAGTGGAAGAAAGCTACTAATTGCACTATACATAGTAGGCACAGAATAAATAAATACATGTTTAATTTTTTTGTACTGCTTTGATCATGGGATTCGATAGTCATCAGAAAGATTATCTCATCTATCTAATCCAGTCCTGTAAAGTTTCACTTAATTAAATTGCTTTTGTGGTAAAAGAGAATGATTCTCCAGACAAAACATTTTTTTTATTAAAGGGCCATAACTCTGACAAAAATCAATGAACTGGCTGCATATAATATACAAATGTATGCTCAACTAAACTTGGTACTGATCAGTCCTGCAAAGTTTGGATGAAATTGCACCAGCAGTTTTTGAGGAGTAGTCTGGACAGATCTTGTGACAGACAGGCAGACAAACATCATGATCAAAGAAGTGATCCCTATAAGCAGTGCCTATAAGTCAAGGCTACTTTGTAGCATGTATCAGCTACTGTGTAGCAGTTGACACAAAAATTATAAATGGACCAAACTGCAATTTTGTTTTATTAAAGGACAATAACTCAGCCAAAAATTAAGCAACCAGAAAATTTATTACATAATTATGCCCAAGTATTTGAAGTATTGATCAATCCTGAAAAGTTTCATTCAAATGTCACCAGTGGTAAAAGATTAAGAGAAGTAGTCCGGCAAATTTAACAAATCAAAATCATCAAAGACCTGGCTTACTTTTTACTTAGACAAAAATCATTAAACTAAAAAGTGCCCACAATATGCACAACTAGCCCGGGTGGGAACTGATCATTCCTGTAATTTTTAGTTTCAATGGAATTGCACATTAGTTTTTCAGGAGTAGTCCAGACAAGTTTTGTGACTGACAGACAGATGGGCCATGGACAAGTGATCCTTGTTGTAACTATACATATCTCAGTTATTTGTATTGCTTTAGCAAATTAGCAAGGCTGATTTTACTCACAATTCAGGCCAGATGACTCTTGGTTTTCATTCAATATTTCCTTGGTTATTAACTTTAAAGTTTATAATGACACTGTTTTAATCTTTTTTTTAATTGCACTGTCAGTTATAGTAGAAAAATCTGTTAGCTGATCTGAAAGTGCCAGTACGCAGGTACAGGATAGTTTATACAATGTAAGAGACATTGTTAACGTTATTTACAGACTTCTGATACAGGATTACCGATTAGCCTTTATTCTCACAATATATTTAACTATTCTGTCTATGTGTTCACACTGTCTAAGACTTATTTGATACTTTAGATACATTTTTTATCATAATCTTCAGTCACACTGAACACTGATGAACTCTGTTTCTAATGAATAAATTTATGTCAGAGTGACTGACTGTTTCTAATGAAAAAAATAAGCAGGGCTTTTTTCACAGGTTAGGGAATCAGCCCTGTCCTTACTTTTGGGGAAAACTTACACGGTATATTTGCAAGAGGGGAAGAAAAAAACTTGAAAAACTGCAAGATTTTGGGGAAGCAGGCCACTGCTATAGAAGGAAAAAAAGCCATGCAAGGATAAATTCACTTCATTTACTTCAAGTATATTTTAGCAGATTTGTAGTAATCAATTTCATAGATATTAACAGGACACGTCACACTTACCGAAACGAATCGAAACTGTAAACTCTTAACAATCTGAATAATTTCTATTTTTGTGTTGATGGTAACTTGATTAAAAATGCAAATAAAAGAACAAGTTCTTAAAAAAAACACCCGCGCAGAAATGATGCAAAGTTTTGAGATAACAAAAGTGCCATTATTTACCTTTATTCGTGAGTCAATATTTTAAGTTTGTATTGAATTGAACTGTATACTTAATTTCTTATATTGTCTCAAAAAATTTTGGTACCTACCACTTGTTTTTGAGAAAATTAAAATTATCAATGAAGCACATCTATTGGGGTGAACACCACTATAAAAATTACCACGGATATATCGAATCTTTAAGGAATAGCTCTGACCATTCAACTTTATTAAAACTTGCATGATTCTACAAAATTATTATTTCAAAATTTAAATAACTCATTCTCCTGTATGGCATGATTTTCTCAACCTGTATGAGTGTATAACATATAAGCACTTTAGATAAAATCTGTGTAAGTCAAATCATGTCCAAAGTCAAATACCGATATGTGTTAGTCAAATTGATCGCATTAATTTTATATAATTTTATGTATATATGTTTTGTTAATCACTTTTGAATTAACTATTCGTTATATTGTTGATCTATCATAACCTTATGCATATTATATTCCTTGGTTTTGAACAAATCTTGAATCTTGAAGTGCTGTACCACGGACTTTAATTGTAATATAAATCCGTGCATGGCTGTAGGTAGAACCCCAGATTTCATTATTTTGATCTTCGTAATCTTGATCTTCTGACAGAATGTAAAAATTACCTCCAAAGTGTTAATGCCATAATCACCAGCCTCGAAATGCATTCCTGTCTACATATAGGTAGCATTTTGTCTCCGACAGTGCTAGTTTGGAAGCCAGTAACATTTTAAAAAGGTAATTGTTTATGTGCATAGGCCTGCTCTCACAAAAGCCTTTTTATTTCAAACTTGAGAATATTTTGAGCAAAAAAAACAACGTTGCCATTTTCACGGACTTTCCGAAGCTGCCATAAACCGGCTCAAAACATTTTATAAAATGGGGAAACGAGTCCAAAATTACCTGAAAGTATCCCTAAATAATGGACAGTAAGTGTATATAGCAATGATATTGTCCTTTATATGCGTATAGTGTAAATATACCAACCAAGTGTATAACCTAGCTATACCTGTTATAATCACTAAATTTTGAAAATTTTGTCATCACTGCAGCAATCAGTCATCTCTGGTACCGGTATATAATACAGTGTGTACCATAGCACTTGTCTCTCTGCAAATTAATCTATCGGTGGCAAAGTTTGTACTTAAGCATTACTAACATTGCAACGCAAATGCTTAATATTAATACCATTTTTACCAATAGATTTAATCTGAACGTTTCCATTATATTAGTTTTCTTCGAGGTTAACCGATAGTTCAACGTTATCACTGAATAAATATAGTTTGTCATTGCATCTCTGCAGGCCTTTCTCACTGATCGATGAAAGAACTGTATCGTCGACATTTAATAAACAATTCAGAGAAATGCAACCAAACATTACTAAATCATTTTCATCACGAAAGCGTGTCTCCCTGTCTTAAACCAATTAAAGGAGTAAAGGAACGGTTGAGTTTCCAAGACGAACATGGATTTTATTTTTAAGGTACAAGCTATTAATAAGCCGATCAAGGGAATTAAGAGATAAGTGGAAAATGGTATAAATAATTTAATTTAGAAAAAATGACGCATAATTTTTACACTACAATGTTCATGTATAGGCCCTACTGTACTGTAGCTGCGTCTTGCGTAAATCCGACAACCTTAATTGTTTTCCATGCGCTATATGCATGATGTGCAGTAACTTATGTTACAGGTGTATCTTTCAATCGCCTTAAATGATACAGATAAATTATCATTCTAAAATGATAATTTCTTTTAAATTATAAACTGGCATATATAAAAATTATCAAATAATTATTTAGTCCAATAAACGGTAACTGGAAATGAAAAGAGTACATATGCATGTACCACAGTAGCTTGCGTTGAATTAATTTAGTACGTTTAATCGGGGTCTGTCAAATAGAATCTATTTGAAAGACCCTGGTTTAATGAATGCCGTGGTCAAGGAATAATCCAAATTTAATACTTTTTTAAAAACTTATTTTTAAAGAAATATTCTAGATAAATTGGAACTAATGTTTAAGATAGAGCAGGCTATTTACGTTTGAACTCCAAGCTATTTTTACTTCTGGTAAAAGATGTTGTCATGGGAAATCTGTATTCGAGTATTGTATCAGGTATTATTAACCCTTTCGCTGCCAAAGGCTTATTTATTTATTGATAATCTATTTGCTAGAAGGTTTTCTAAGAAATTACTTTATTATTAATTAATATAATTATTATTATTTGTTATTAGTATTATAATAATTATATATGTTTCCAAATCTGCTAGTATATAATAATTATTGTCGATGGTATAATTATCTATATTGGTTTCCTAGCAGTTTCCGGCCACAAATCCCACATTTTAACAAATAAAATAAAAATCAGTCTACGGAGGGGTACAAAACTTTGACAGGACAAAGTTAGGTACCTGTCCAGCATTGCCATGTGTTAATGTTGCACTTTCATTTTACTTTTTAATTTGAATATATAGGCCTGAAATGTTACACCTTTTTTCACATTTATTCAAAAATTCATAGCAGTTTTCCGGACCTTTTTATTTTAAATATAATTCAGTACCATAAAGCAATATTAAGATGGTTTTATCAAACAAACAGAAATTCCCAACCTCTTCCGTGTCGTCTGCAAAAATATTTTCCGAAGTATTGATTTACCTAAAATGGGGGGGGGGGGGGGGTCTTAGTTATTGTACATATGGATATTCAAACTAGAATTCCCCAGGTTTTGCTTATTTTTAAAAGTAGGTAGTTCTCTTATGTAACTTTATATAACAGGCAAAACTTCAAAACATATAAATCGTTGTACTACGTTTAGCATAGAAAACAAACGTCTCTCTGATTGATGAATTAATGTGGACGCCTCACTGGTAAAAATAGACTGTACTGGACGAAAATGATAAACGGCCGGAAAACTGCTAGGGACGGAAACTGCAAGGAAACCAGTATATTTATTATTATTATTATCATTATTATCATTATTATTATCATTATTATAATTGTTGTTATAGAAACCAGGCGCGTAGCTAGCCTATAAAGAATGCGGATTCAAAATAATCTAGGGGGGTCAGGGGGCATGCCCCCCCTGAAAATTTTGAAATAAATGGTGCAATTTGGTGCGTTTTGGGGCCTCCGGAGAGCTTTCTTGACCAACAAAAATCCATTTATTTTAGCATAAAAATGGAGATGAATAGCTTTACTTTCGTTTATTTCAACAAGTCTACATTTCACAGCAAGTCTAACTTGCGGCCTTTGCTGGCCGCAAACTCGTTAATGATAATATCAATTTGTTTACATTTCGAAAATACGGCGCGTGCAAACTTCCGACTTTGAAGAGCTGCAAAGGCCGACAACTTTTCAAAAAAAATACTACGGTATGGTGTACGATTTAGGCTATATGATTTATAAAGTATTCAGTGTGGTAATTATCAGATCTGGCGAACGCGGCTGAATTTCAAACCACATTTTTTTTACCAAAAAAATTTTTTTGGTCAAAATAATGTGGATTCAGCTGCGTACTCGCGTATAGGCAGCTACGCGCCTGGAAACGGAAAAAGTCGTCCATATGGCAAATACGCCGAAAATAATAGGGACGTCCCTATGGCAGTGAAAGGGTTAAATCATGGACATGTCAACTCAATTGTTCGCAATTACACTGTTCTGTGTCCCACTATCATCTGCATGTACACATGTACACAGTGATGTTCGACGTAATGGTGTATGAGCTGCAATTTAAAAACGGAGGGCTTCTGTAATAAAACTGAAATTAAAAGCTAGCATAAAACTCGTGCAAAACACGGTGATGCGTGCGCACGCAGGTAAAATATCACTACAATGAACCAGAAAGACCCTGAATGAACATAGTGGCATTCACCCGTTAGTGTGTGTCACAGTTGTGTTGTTATTCTGTTGTACAGAAACGTCTTGAATATCATATTTTGTCTTTTTTCCCGATTTTGACAAGAAATAAACAAATTTCTTCAAAATGATGGAAGTCGACATGGAATCTAAAGAGGACAAAAGGAAAATGCCAAAAATAGCAAAGGTAAGCAGAGGGTAACATGTTTTAATCCGTGTTAATCATATGATTTCGCGATGTTTATCATTTTTTTTTTATGAAAAACGATTTTCATAAAGTTATGAATGATACTGTATATAAACAATGACAAAAAAATCAAAATAAGCATTTTTCGAAATTATCCAAATTACAACATAATTTAATATTTTCTTCTTCGGAAACATATTAAGGACATCTATTTTACAAAGCATAAAATTTGAATTTCTTTCATAATTCAACTTGGGCTCTTAAAACGGAAAGATAACGGCAATAAACAAATAAGGAATTATCCAAATATACTCAGAGATAATAGATTATCATATTTTTGTGCAATATGATCCAAAGATACTCTCAACTTTAAAGTTGTTTGAGATTCTTGTTTAATAAATCATAAATTAATATGAAGTGTGTATTTTTACCAAAGTGTTTACTAAAGATTTTGTGTTGATCAGTTTCAAATTGACTTTCTTACATATGATAATGTAGCCTAATTAATTTGGCTTGAACGGTTTGACCCATTTTAAATTTTTACAAACTTTTTTCATACTGTCAAACCATTATGTCGGAAAAAAGACATTGCCTGTCCAAAATTATCTTTATGTCTATTTTACAAGTCTAATTAGTTTAACTAATGACAACAATAATAATGTGCTTAATTGCATATCGATCAGTGCCTCCTCTTTTGGACTTTGTATATATCATGACATTTATGTTTATAAATCATTTACGTATTCATTTCAGGTGAAAAATAAAATGCCAGCGCCTGTTCAAATAACAGCGGAACAGCTGCTGAGAGAAGCAAAAGAAAGGGAGCTAGAGCTTGTCCCACCGGTAATAAACTTTCATCTGTTTTCTATTTATAAAGATTTAAATAATGAATACTATTTTTGAAGAAGGGTAAATTAATATGGCAATATTTGCATGAAGTTTTTCAATTTATGGCAGAATCAAATTTTTAGTTGACCATGGTAGTAGTATTGAATTTTGAAAGGGACATGCACAGTACAGCTAGCACTTGCATTAGGAAGCTGCTTACATTTTCTTATCTTTTTAATAAAGTCATTATATGCCAATGTCTAAATATATTGTTTTGTGAAATTTTGTTCCACAAAGATTTGAAAGACTGTCCTTCCATTATAGTTATAACCATCTTAACTGGATGGTTTATTATTTTAAAGGACACATGTTCAGACACATGAACATGTATATATTGATATCAATATTTGTTTAAAACAGTCATAGTCAAGTTATATGTTTCTGCTTGTGTTACAGCCACCAAAACAGAAGATATCTGACCCAGATGAGCTGCAAGCATATCGTCTGAGACAGCGAAAGGTATATAAAAATATTACATATTTATTTAAAAATACTTCAGTTATCATGCAGTTTAAAGTAAAGTTGTGGTGTCATTTTCTTTGTATCACTTCAATGCCATTTACAGATTTAGGTTTAAAATTTCAACAATGACTTGGAGGAAGAAAGTTCAATTTTGGGGGTGTTCTTTAAACTGAAATCCTATATTCTTTGCATGAACTGTTCAGTTTCAAAGCAGGGAAAATCCATTACATAAATTCATCAAGTTAATTGTGACTACACATGTATGTAATTGTTAAAGATAGACAAGTAAAATGTTCTGTAACATTTCATATGTTGTCTACTGTCTAGTGATATTACATTTATTGGTCTCTTATTTAACTCTTAAAGAAATTGATACCAGTTCACTATTAAAAGGACTCCAAAACCTAAGTATCGGCTGTCTGCGTTTTACTATACCTTAAAAATGGAATGAGTAAAGTGAATCAAATAAAACTTTGAACCTTTTACAACTAACAACACAGTACTACATATTAGGCAATAATATTCAATTTACACTGTTTCAAATCTTAAACTTTCAGATGTTTGAGGACAATATTAGAAAGAATAGGGGTATGATGACAAACTGGATCAAATATGCTGCATGGGAGGAAAGTCAGAAAGAAATACAAAGGTAAATGAGCGGTGTTCATAACCAATGGACATTTTCTAATTTGAAGTAAGCTGATTTCATTACACATACACCTGATAAAGTTTAGTTAAATCTTTTCAGTTTTAAATCTATCATTCTAAAACGCTTCACCCCATTCCCTTGGCAAACAAGTGCATTATTACACAATATATGCACAGCATGAAAAAGGAATGCTAACATGCCATAATAAAAGAATAAAATTTAGAAGAACTTATTCAGTTATTGCACTAAGGTGATGATATGATGTCAGATATGACATCAATAAACCAAATGATGTCAGGAAAATTACTTCTATGCTCAATGTTGTTCAACATAAATTTTATCAGTTCTCTTTCTTATCAGCGTGTTAGAATGTAAATAGTTATGAATTTTTTATGAATAACATTATATAAAACTGCATGTTTTATCTGTCAAATGCTTTGTGATTATATTCCTTAGTACACATTTGAACCCAAACCATGCATTTGCTTACAACAATGAACTCAAAATTGATATCTATTTTCTAATCATAAGTGAAGAATAATAGCTATTTCTTCATTACATAGATCTAATTTGAGATATTTAGAACTGTTTGAGATTGGTTAATTTTGGTATATTTTCAGGGCAAGGTCTGTACATGAAAGAGCATTAGATGTAGATCATAGAAATATCACAGTTTGGCTGAAATATGCTGAGATGGAAATGAGGTATAGTGTATATTCTCCGTGTTTTAGAATAGAAATGAGTCTTTTTGTAAGTGGGGCATCTGTGACCGAGTGGTTAAGGTTGTTAAATTCAGCCACTTGTGTCTCACTGTTGTGAGTTTGAATACCAACAAGAACTTTGGATTCTTTCATGGTAAGAAGCTATCCAGCTAGCTTACGGAATGTTGGTGGTTCTACTCTGTACCCTTTCGTGCCTGAAATAATGCACGGAAGGGCATCTGAGGTCTTCTTCCACAAGTAAAGCTGGTATGTCGCAGTATGACATAGACTGGGTCTTTGTGACATAAATCAAACAATCAAAAAACTTTTTGTAATGTTTTTTTTTTGGATAATTTTTAGCATACCTCAATTTATTCTGTTTTATCCAGTAAGCAAACTAGGATATCTTCCATGCACACATTTGTAGTGTATGAAGACATGAGGTTGCAAATTGACTTGACAAAATGTTGCCAGATATCATATAACTTGTGTACTAAACTTCGTAGTATAAAAGTGACTACAAGCCTAAAGTTAATCCAGTGACATATAACTTACCTATCCTTTTTCTAGCTAAATAGATTAAATAGACTTGTCCTTTCAACCTGGATAAAACCATTCATCTATTTAAAGGGACTTCATTGAAGTTTTGTGACATGATGGAACTTAAAATAATTTTTCGGGATTAGTGTTCCATTTGATGTATGTCTATATGAACAATTTGTGTGCAAAATTTCAAATCATTCGCACTCTCCATTTTTCCAGAATAATTATTCTAATTATGAAAAATGACCCAAAATTGAAAAGTGGCACCTCAATTGCTTTATGAAAGAATTTCATATATTTTGGATGTCAGTGGAGTTCCTTTAAGGGAAAATTTCATAATATGTACCGAATGAAAGTGAACAGTGCAGACCATGAACTGATGGCATTAAAATGCTTGCTGATCTTATGCTGCACTGGTTGCATGGTTAGATTAAGTAGGTGCAAGCAGTTGAAGGGTTAATTCATATTCAACTCTATGTAGTTCAACTTATTTTCAGTAACAATTCAACATTGTGCAGTTTTGTACGGAATGATAGTCTTTGTAAGAGAAACCACACACCATCACTAAGCTAAGGCATTCAATTTTATAGCAGAATTACCAGTTAGAAATCTGTACAGTTGTCCATCAGAGCAATTTTGTCCAAAATAATTTTTGGCCTTCATACTTCAGCTCATGTGCAGTCAAGTATCATACTGAATTGCACTCAATATTAAAACATATAAAGTATATCTAATGCAAAATTAATTGTGGTGTTTGTGAGAATTAAGTTTTACAACTTTCTGAAATATAAATTGATCGTTGTGTTTTGTGAATTAATTTCAGAAAAGTGAAAAAGGAAAAAAAAATTATATGGCTTTGTAATAAAGATTTTGTGTACTTGTAGATGCCGTCAAATAAATCATGCCAGAAATATATGGGACAGGGCTGTTACAGTGTTGCCGCGGGCAAACCAGTTCTGGTACAAGTACACATACATGGAGGAAATGTTGGGAAACATTGCAGGTATGTCATGTACAAACTGTAATGTCATATTTATATCTGACATGATATAAAACTCTGTCACTTGCGGTTTGAAACATATTTGTTCAGATATGCTGCATTGTCTGTCAACAAAATTTTATAAGAATTTGATATTAAAGACAGTATGCACTATGTATTAGTTCTGAATACAGTTAATGTATGGTCAAAATTTATTCACTTGAACTAATGTGAAAGAAATTTACCTTGGTATTTTATTTAAGTGTTTCTTTATGAAAATGTATACTTGTCCCAGGGGATGACTTGTAGCTGCCCGAGACCACATGCAATTAGGTTCTCAACTCTGTGTACATGTATTTGCTTTTGACAAATTGCACATTCTGCATGTGCGATAGCTATTCAGTGTACCAAAAGAAGATCAGTGGTTCTACCTTTGAAAATATTAATGGACGTGTGTGGTCTTTCATGATCATTAAAGCATGAGTGTCCCAATATGATTTTTGTTTATAATATATGACCAAAAAAAGACAACAGGAAAATAATTTTGTCATATTTTGTGCTGAAGTTGATATGTTTTATTATGTGTTTAACTATATAGGATGCCGTCAAGTATTTGAGAGATGGATGGAATGGGAACCAGAAGAACAAGCCTGGCACTCCTATATCAACTTTGAACTGAGATACAAGGAGCTTGACAGAGCCAGAATGATTTATGAACGATATATCCTTTTACTTGCAGTTCACAGTTAAGAAATTGCATAAAATTTTCTCTGCATATATGTAAATAGTAAATTTTTGTCACCTTGATTACTTGTACAGAACATTATAACCAGACCAAGAAACCTTTTATATCAGACTCAAGGGGCGTTCTCAGCCAAGTGGTTAAGGTTGTTGACATAAAACAACTTGCCCCTCATTCTGGGAGTTAGAATCCTATCAAGGACTTTGAATTCTTTCATGTGAGGAAGCCATCCACCTAGCTTACAGAACATATTCTATTCAGGTTCAGCAAGAAAAGTTGGAAATATGCCATATGACCTTTACCGTGTTGTTGCAACGTAAAACCCAACCCCCAAAATAATGTCAGACTCAAAATAATAAATCTAATCAGCCAGCAGTAAAGAGCTTAGTCAAGCTGCATTGATGTGTAGCCTGGTATGGCTTTAAACTGGTTATTGCTAGTGTTAAATGGGTAAGTAAAAGATCAATAATATACTGTTTTCAACTTTTCATAGCCTGGCATCATTACATTGTAATTTGTATCCCTGCTTTGAATGCATTAATTATAGGTCAGAAATAACAGTTGTTCTCCTTGACTGTATTCACTTGTGATTGTACATCCTGAGGTGAAAAACTGGATAAAATATGCCAAGTTTGAGGAGAAGAACAGCTATATTAACAGTGCTAGGTCGATCTATGAGAGAGCTGTCGAGTATTTTGGTGAGGACAACATGGACGAGAAACTTATCATATCATTTGCTAAATTTGAAGAAGGCCAAAAAGAGGTACTACATGTATATGAAATGTGGAAAATTTGTTCATATTAAACAAATGGTTCAAGAAAAATTAAAAATAAATCACATAATTTCATGTTATAATTTATTAAGATAATTTGAGGACGAACTTCAGTATAATGAGGGAGTATGTCTGGGTTCAGAACTGTTCACTGTTAAGGGGAAAAAATTGCAGCATGACCATCACTCAAACTTGGGACCATGGAAATACAATTCTGCAGCTTTACCCACTGAGTTATCCGGCAGCTTATGCATCCTCTCCCCTTAATATTTAATAGCTCTGAACCGTGACACTTGCTCGAGTTGGTCAATGCTTTGACTGGTTAAAATAATTGTTATTGATTTCTGGGCTTAAAGTTATCTTATTTCCCCTTAAACATTTATTTAAATCTTTTGTTGTTATATGGATATGTTATTTTTTTCAATTTCTAATTAAATATTTAAGCATGCAGAACTTTGTATTTAATAACAGTGTCTATCATAGTAATAGACTTCCCTAATGAATTTTTGGTGGGTTTGATCCCCGGGAGATGCTTTGGTAGTTTAGCACGGAGCAAAGTAGTCTAGTACTGGTGTAACTCTCCAGGAACAATGGTTATGAAACTACCCGCCTATATGACTGAAATATTGTTGGGAAAAGGTGTAAAATGAAACAAACAAACAAAGAAACAATTTTGGTTGACTGGCTGGCTGTTTGGTTGGTAGGTTGGTTTCAGGTGCCTGCTTGTGCCATTGGCTGGCTGTTTGGTTGGTAGGTTGGTTTCAGGTGCCTGCTTGTGCCTTTGGCTGGCTGTTTGGTTGGTAGGTTGGTTTCAGGTGCCTGCTTGTGCCTGACATAATGCATGGAGGGGTATCCAAGAACAACCCCAACAGAAACCTGTGAAGTTTAAAAGTCATCATATGACATTCTTAACAGCAAATATTAAGCTAAAGATTAGTATCCAATGGTGTTTTTGTCTTGATTTGATGCTCTGTAAAATCTATACATTTTAATATTGATGTTTTCTTTCCTTCAGCATGAGAGAGCTAGAGTTATATACAAATATGCTCTAGACCATCTACCAAAAGAGAAATGTCAGGAAATATATAAGAATTACACAATACACGAGAAAAAATTTGGATCTCGGGCAGCTATTGAAGATGTTATTGTCAGCAAAAGAAGATTTCAGTATGAAGAGGTAAGAATTCTTTTGTCAAATTGTTGTGTCAAAATAACAGTCTTTGTATGTGAATAAGTTATTTTTGTTGCAGAAAATGTATGCAATTAAGCTTACATTACATTAGCTTGCATGAAATTTATATTAATCTTGAATATTTCTCTTACCACAGATTCATCATTTTGAATATTCTTATAAATCTTCATGAAAAAAAGGGGGGAAAAATGATATTTTTTTGTACTTCCACTTAAATTTTACATTATGCCATTATGCAATATTGTATGTGGTTTTCACTAAGTTTCATTTACAACTGACAAGAAAAGAGAAATATGGAATTATGTGTTTAATTGTTCTTTAAGTTTATCTTGTGGTTTTCTTGAGATACTCTGTGCAGTTTGATATGTTTTTACCCAGTAGTGAATCTATTTATAGGAGGTAAAAACAAATCCTCTAAACTATGATGCTTGGTTTGACTACCTGAGACTGCTGGAAGCAGACGGCAATGTGGACCAGATTAGGGATACATATGAACGAGCAATAGCTAATATACCACCATCACAGGTTGGTTGTTACTTTTGTTGCTGGTTGGATAAGTTAAGGTAGTAAGCTATAAGCTAATAAACACACTGGAATTAATGGATGCTTAGAAATGAGCCTAAAACTTCTTGCTCTAAGAAACAATGACTTGTTGATTTCAATTTTTAAGGTATATCAACATTTTTAAAGTAGCATATTGGCTAGTATGATTCCAAAATGGTTGTGAAAAATCAAATAAGGTTTAAATAAGGTCATTTTATGAAGAAATGGTCATCATAGTTTTATAACCAAATGTTTTGTAAACCAACATGTATAACTTCTTTACGTGAAAGTATTCCACATTCATACAGGACTGGTGGTGAAGAGAAAGTGATTTTAATTGGCCAGAGATATTTTGATGTTGTTGTGTTTTGCTCAGTAGAAATTATTTTGATATGAATATAAGAATGTCTTACAGCGTCCATATCACACATTATTCTCTGAAAATACATGTTGTACTATTGCTCTGTTATTTTCTTTTCCAACAGAATTAGATTGATATTGATTTTTTTCCCTTTTCAAGCCAACAGTTCATAATGAGCTGTATGTATTGGCAGATGTATTTTGGCCTCTGAAAGTTCTATTTACATTTACACAAAATAATTCCTGTGACCCATTTAATTTTCATATATTCAAATTTACCTCTTACCTTTTCAGCATGCTCTAAAATAAGAAAGCCGTCAAATATATTTTGCTTGTTTTATTTCAGGATAAAAGGTTCTGGAGAAGATATATATATTTGTGGATAAACTACGCGCTGTACGAGGAATTAGAGACTGAAGATGAGGAGAGGACGCGGCAGGTTTACAAAGCTTGCCTCGATATCATTCCACATAAAAAATTTACTTTCGCCAAAATATGGCTTCTCTTTGCTCAGTTTGAATTACGTCAGAAGAATCTCCAAAATGCTAGAAAAGTTATGGTGAGTCTTGATATAAACAATATGTCACCCTTAGTGCAGTAACGGCTTAACTCTTTATATAATTTGATAGGAGCTCTATATAATTTGATAGGAGCTAACCCATTACTGCACTAAGGTGACAAAGTCTTTAAAAACAATTTTAACCTACCACCTTAAATAGGGATAAATAAAATACAGGCATATAAATGAAACTGTACAATGGTTTCTGTGTAAAAGGAACTCGTGCTTTCAGTCATTTCAGATAGTTTAATAGTAGACAAAATTTTAACTGAAAATCTGATCATTTTGAAAAGTCACTTTTTTATTGTTTCAGAAAATTTTAGTAAATTCTGCTGCTTGCTTCCAAAAAAATATAAATAATTTAAAACATTAATTAAAATGCATGATAGTCCTTTTTATATTTAAAACTCAAGAGTATTTGTTACTTTTGAGAAGAAGCATTTGTATAATTATGCTTTCTTAAATTTTAAGTCTACAAATAAGCTATGCCATCTTCTATTAAAAATTAATAAGCATAAAAACGCTGACAATTGCAATGCACAGTGTATATTCTTTAATATTATTATGTTATATTTAGGAAAACAATGTTATCTTGAATAAGGTAAACAATTATTGGTTGTTAATGTTGTTAAATTGATATTTTATATTTATCAGGGAGTTGCAATAGGAAAATGTCCAAAGAACAAATTATTTCGAGGTTATATAGATATGGAACTACAGCTCAGGGAATTTGAAAGGTGCCGAGTGTTGTATGAAAAATTCTTGGAATTTGGACCAGAAAATTGTACAACTTGGATGAAGGTATTGTAACAAGTCCTTGTTGTCATGTTAATTATACCCCCACAAACGAAGTTTAGGGGGGGTATATAGGAGTCAGCTTGTCGGTCGGTCGGTCGGTCGGTTGGTCGGTCGGTCCGTCGGTCGGTCCACATCATGGTTTAACTTGGATAACTAGAGTTTAGAATGAGGTATTGTAATCAAACTTGGTATATAGCAACCTTATGTGGAAACTCCGGTTGGTATTGCATTTGGACCCCCTGGGGTCAAGGTCAAGGTCACCGTTACTAAAAATAGAAAAATGGTTTCCGGACAATAACTAGAGTTAGGAATGAGATATTGTTATCAAACTTGGCGTATAGCAAGCTTATATGAAGACCTGGGTTGGTATTGCATTTGGGCCCTCTGGGGTCAAGGTCAAGGTCACTGTTACTAAAAATAGAAAAATGGTTTCCGGACAATAACTTGACTTAGGAATGAGATACTGTAATCAAACTCGGTGTATAGCAAGCTTATATGAAGACCTGGGTTGGTATTGCATTTGGACCCCCTGGGGTCAAGCCCCTGGGGTCAAGGTCAAGGTCACCGTTACTAAAAATAGAAAAATGGTTTCCGGACAATAACTAGAGTTAGGATTGAGATATTGTTATCAAACTTGGCATATAGCAAGCTTATATGAAGACCTGGGTTGGTATTGCATTTGAACCCCCTGGTGTCAAGGTCAAGGTCACCGTTAGGAAAAATAGAAAAATGGTTTTCGGACAATAACTAGAGTTAGGAATGAGATATTGTAATCTAATTTGGTGTAAAGGAAGCTTATATGAAGACCTGGGTTGGTATTGCATTTGGACCCCCTAGGGTCAAGGTCACCGTTAGAGTGTTACTAAAAATAGAAAAATGGTTTCCGGACAATAACTAGAGTTAGGAATGAGATATTGTTATCAAACTTGGTGTTTAGCAAGCTTATATGAAGACTTTGGTTGGTATTGCATTTGAACCCCCTGGGGTCAAGGTTAAGGTCACTGTTACGAAAAATAGAAAAATGCTTTTCGGACAATAACTAGAGTTAGGAATGAGATATTATAATCTTATTTGGTGTATAGGAAGCTTATATGAAGACCTGGGTTGGTATTGCATTTGGACCCCCTAGGGTCAAGGTCACCGTTATAGTGTTATTTAAAATAGAAAAATGGTTTCCGCACATTAACTAGAGTTAGGAATGAGATATTGTAATCAAACTTGGTGTATAGCAAGCTTATTTCAAGACCCCAGTTGTGATTACAATTAATTGAAATATTTCTTTGTACACAGTTGATAGTTTTTGTTCAAATTTTTCTTCAGACTACTTTTTTTTCAAAATTCAAAGTTGCTGGTGGGGGTATTAATCACCTTCAGTGATAGGTCTAGTTTTCATTGGTTTAAGATGAGGCAAAGCTTTGAATTTGAAATTGATAAAAACATACTTTTTAAAAAAAAAAATTTTGGTAAATAATTCTCAATATATTTTATTATCTTTGAAGTTCTCCTGCAAAGCTATCCACATAAGTTTTCAACACATAATTTCAGTTATATATTGTATAAGAGTTACAGTGCAAAATTTAAAAAAAAAATGGAGAAAATAGCATGAAAAATATTGATTTTTTCTCCACAGAAGTTTTCAACGCATAAATTCAGTTATATATTATGTAAGACTTACAGTACACAATTAAAAAAAATAATAAGAAGAAAATAGCATGAAATTATTGATTATTTCTCAATTACATCAAAACTATCTGGGACAGTTTGCTTTCTTTTGCTAAATCTATTTTTAGATTAGCTAAAATGAGTCAGCTGTTGCCTGGTATATGTCATAGTCATAATAAATTAATTGAGCTGCGCCATGACAAAACCAACATAATGGGTTTGTGACCAGCATGGATCCAGACCAGCCTGAGCCTTCGCAAAGTCTGATCAGGATCCATGCTGTTCGCTTACCAACCCTTTTACAAGTCGAGAAACTGATAGCGAACAGCATGGATCCTGATCAGACTGCGCGGATGCGCAGACTGGTCTGGATCCTTGCTGGTCGCAAACCCATTATGTTGGTTTTGTCGTGACGCCGCTCAATTTCTTTATATTATAACTTTTTACATCCAAACTTCTGAATTCATAGTAATAATCATTTATAGGTCCTGCACAAAAGTTTTGAAAATCATTTCAATGTATTTGTACCATGTGATCAATTAAATAGTGTATGTTTCAGTGATATGAAAATTGAGATTAAGTCATTAATGCTAATAATAATTATGTCTCCCCCACCTCGGGGGGAGACATATTGTTTTTGCCCTGTCAGTCCGTCCGTCCGTCAGTCCGTCCGTCCATTCTTCGTTTCCGGACGATAACTAGAGTTCCTTTTGACCTACAGCTCTCAAACTTCATAGGATGAATGGTCTTATTGAGCAGATGATCCCTATTGTTTTTGGGGTCAGTAGTTCAAAGGTCAAGGTCACAGTGACCGTTGGTCAATTTCTCGTTTCCGGATGATAACTAGAGTTCCTTTTGACCTACAGCCCTCAAACTTCATAGGATGATTGGTCTTATAGAGCTGATGATCCCTATTGTTTTTGGGGTCAGTAGGTCAAAGGTCAAGGTCACACTGACCGTTGGTCAATTTCTCGTTTCCGGATGATAACTAGAGTTCCTTTAGACCTACAGACCTCAAACTTCATAGGATGATTGGTCTTATTGAGCAGATGATCCCTATTGTTTTTGGGGTCAGTAGTTCAAAGGTCAAGGTCACAGTGACCGTTGGTCAATTTTTCGTTTCCGGATGATAACTAGAGTTCCTTTTGACCTACAGCCCTCAAACTTCATAGGATGATTGGTCTTATAGAGCAGATTTAGATTAGCTAAAATGAGTCAGCTGTTGCCTGGTATATGTCATAGTCATAATAAATTAATTGAGCTGCGCCATGACAAAACCAACATAATGGGTTTGTGACCAGCATGGATCCAGACCAGCCTGCGCCTTCGCAAAGTCTGATCAGGATCCATGCTGTTCGCTTACCAACCCTTTTACAAGTGGAGAAACTGATAGCGAACAGCATGGATCCTGATCAGACTGCGCGGATGCGCAGACTGGTCTGGATCCTTGCTGGTCGCAAACCCATTATGTTGGTTTTGTCGTGACGCCGCTCAATTTCTTTATATTATAACTTTTTACATCCAAACTTCTGAATTCATAGGAATAATCATTTATAGGTCCTGCACAAAAGTTTTGAAAATCATTTCAATGTATTTGTACCATGTGATCAATTAAATAGTGCATGTTTCAGTGATATGAAAATTGAGATTAAGTCATTAATGCTAATAATAATTATGTCTCCCCCACCTCGGGGGAGACATATTGTTTTTTGCCCTGTCCGTCCGTCAGTCCGTCCGTCTGTCAGTCCGTCCGTCCATTCTTCGTTTCCGGACGATAACTAGAGTTCCTTTTGACCTACAGCTCTCAAACTTCATAGGATGAATGGTCTTATTGAGCAGATGATCCCTATTGTTTTTGGGGTCAGTAGTTCAAAGGTCAAGGTCACAGTGACCGTTGGTCAATTTCTCGTTTCCGGATGATAACTAGAGTTCCTTTTGACCTACAGCCCTCAAACTTCATAGGATGATTGGTCTTATAGAGCTGATGATCCCTATTGTTTTTGGGTCAGTAGGTCAAAGGTCAAGGTCACACTGACCGTTGGTCAATTTCTCGTTTCCGGATGATAACTAGAGTTCCTTTAGACCTACAGACCTCAAACTTCATAGGATGATTGGTCTTATTGAGCAGATGATCCCTATTGTTTTTGGGGTCAGTAGTTCAAAGGTCAAGGTCACAGTGACCGTTGGTCAATTTTTCGTTTCCGGATGATAACTAGAGTTCCTTTTGACCTACAGCCCCCAAACTTCATAGGATGATTGGTCTTATAGAGCAGATGATCCCTATTGTTTTTGGGGTCAGTAGGTCAAAGGTCAAGGTCACAGTGACCGTTGGTCAATTTCTCATTTCCGGATGATAACTAGAGTTCCTTTTGACCTACAACCCTCAAACTTCATAGGATGATTGGTCTTATTAATCAAATGATCCCTATTGTTTTAATGGTCAGTAGGTCAAAGGTCAAGGTCACAGCGACCGTTGGTTAATTTCTCCTTTCCGGATGATAACTAGAGTTCCTTTAGACCTACAACCCTCAAACTTCATAGGATGATTGGTCTTATTGAGCAGATGATCCCTCTTGTTTATGGGGTCAGTAGGTCAAAGGTTAAGGTCACAGTGACCATTGGTCATTTTCTCATTTCCGGATGATAACTAGAGTTCTTATCAGTGAGGACATTTAACTATTATTGATATATCAGTGATATATCAGTTGTCTGGTTTTATATACTCTGTTCTTTTATCTCCATTTCCATTCCTGTTTCCATTCACAGTTATTCTCAGCAGTGGGGGAGACATGCGCTTTTTTACAAAAGCATCCTCTAGTTTATGCTGATATCAGTTCATATTTATTTCTATGTAAAGTATGCAGAATTGGAAAGTATTCTTGGAGATGTTGAAAGAACTCGAGCCATATATGAGCTAGCTATATCACAGACCAAGCTGGATATGCCTGAAGTTCTATGGAAAGCCTACATTGACTTTGAGATCGAGCAAGAAGAATATAACAACACTAGAAATCTTTACAGACGTCTGCTCCAGAGAACCAAACATGTCAAGGTAAAAATAATTGAAAATTCAAAAATAAAGTATTACAAAAATAAATAAGTGATAGCTTAATTGACCATGCTCTGAGTTTTGTCAGTCATACTTGTTTATCTGATTGAATGGATTGAAGTAATCAGAGAGGGTTGAATGATGGTTGGTGGTTTCACCCAGGTGCCTAATTATGTTTAATTAAATGCATAGAGGGGCATCTTTGGAAGGTGTTAAAGTTGCCAAATGACATGACCCTTGTAGGATTGACCTTGAAAAAAGACATTAAAAAGCTTTTAGGTAATATATCGAATTAATGCAAAGTAATACAAAAATGATAATGCTTTAAATTGATGTTCTTATTTTTTTGCCTTTGAAACTGTAGGTGTGGATAAGTTTTGCCCAATTTGAGAAGACAACAGGTCATCCTGAGGCATTAAAGAACACTCGTGGCATATATCAGGAAGCTGTCTCCTCACTCAAAAACTCAGATGAGAAAGAAGAGCGGTTGATGATACTGGAATCTTGGCAGGCATTTGAGGTAGATTCCTGCTTTTTGACTTTGCATATTGTATGTTTTCAGCATGCCATTTAAAGTTATTGATTTAATTTTTAGGTTTAGATCATGAATCGAAAACATTGAACTTTTATTCAAGGATGATTTTTTTTTCTTGAAGAAAATTAGACTAAACTCTTAACCTATTTAATTTATGTAATGGACCAGCCTGGATGGACATAACCTTTTGTGCTGTTTTGAATTTGGAACGACCCTTTGTTACTTACAGGTATTTTTTGTTGTTGAAAATTGAGCAGTCAAATGTTTAGAATCATGTCAGATGACTTGGTTAGCTTGGCATCTGTTGTCATAGACAAATCCTTGCAACTGCTAGCACTTGCTATACAGTAGCTGATCTAAGCTGATATATATGTATACATTTGCAAGGTATAATCGTTAAATGAATCTCTAAAGACAGGTTAAAATTCTTGCTACCAGTGTATGACTGATAATCAAATACATTGTTACATACTTGTGTTAGACATGCATGAATAATATTTTAGATATAAACAAAATATAAATGTTCTCTGTTCTGATGAAAAGAACAATTCTGTCTATGAATGTACCCTTATGTTTACACTACTGAGTGTATTAAAAAGATAAGAAAGGATTTTCTTTTCCTTTTCCCTATTACTTGGCAATATCATGAACCATCATTTTTTCCTGTGAAAACAAAAGTTCAAACTGATCATTTGTAAGTAAAAGCCCATAAGATAAATAACTGTAAATGAAGGCATGTAACCCTTGAAAGCTGGATGTAATTCATTTTTAGCTGTCTTATGCACACAAGTATTGTCTTTACCATTGGCTTAACATGGCAAAGTTTTGCATTCAAGTTATTTCTCATTAAGTATTAAAAATATTTTTTGAAACATTACAAAATAATGTCTTCAGGGTCATAACTTTAAGTCATTGACAAATGTTGATAATTTTATCAATGATTTTCACTGGATTATTCCTCTTTTTAAATTTGAAAAACAATTGCAACATCCAGTCTCATATATTACTATCGAGCACAGGAAATATCTGTGTGTACTGTCATTCTTGAAGTTGCTAATGCTCCATCCAGAAAGGACATTTAACCAATATATTGTGAAGGTATATATTGGTTCAACTTCACAAAATTTCTGTGAGCAGAGCTTGCTTCATGTAATACATTATTTAAATCTTGCCAAAATAATATTGTGTTCTTGAGAATAGTCTTGTCATGATTGTTTTTCAGGCTGAATGTGGAGATGAGGAGTCACAGAAGAAGGTTGAGAAGTTGTTACCACAGAAGGTGAAGAAGCGAAGGAAGATCCAGACAGATGATGGGGTATATATTGTCTTTATATCATATTTAATTATTGTTCTTTTGATATATAAAATCTAATTCAAATTACCTACTAGTAATTGAATTTATCACTGTCAATATGAACTCAGATCCACTTGATACTTCTTTGAGCCATTGTAAGGATGACAATAAGATCATGAATACAATAATTGAATACAATTATTTAAACAGACAGTAAGCATCAATTAACTTCTAATGTGAAAGAGTTTTGTCTATATTTTTTTTTGATGTTTTGGAATGGCATTATGACTTTTGCTTTAGTGTATTTAGGCTTTGAGTTAAGTCATACCAACTACTTTGTCTCCAGATTTAATATCTTAATTGATCGCTTAATGATTTTTAGGTTTGAGTTTCTAGTTATTACACAGCAATATATTACTTTTATCTGCCAGTACTATTTAGTCGGTTTCAGATTTAAGATCATATATTAATATTAAAATGCACTTAATTATAATGACCATTGCACTGAACATTTCAAAACTAAATGTAATAGAAAATTCTAGAAACAAAGCAGGAAAAGTTCATGGTACAAAATTACTATTGTTGAAAGTGAATGTATAAAAAGATGTTTTACAAATGATTCCCATATATATTACAGACTGATGCAGGCTGGGAGGAGTATTATGACTACATATTTCCTGATGAAACTACTGCTCAACCTAATCTCAAACTACTCGCCATGGCTAAGAAATGGAAACAGACTCAAGCCGAGAAAGAAGGTTCCGATAATGACAATGAAGACTCCATGGAAACTGCTTCAGACTGAAACATAGTGTGGCAATACTGTGACATGTGACATTAGTGTGACAGAATAGATAGTATGTGACTATGACATATGATGCTGTTGTGAATGTGACAGAAGTGTGACAAATATGTCAGAATGTGACCATGATTGGATTACTTGGGAAAAAAGTGCTGAGTCAGTGATATTGATGATATTTTATGGTAAAAAAATATGTTGGAGAGTGAGGGAAAGATTTGAATTGTAATGACGGGGGTCATCAAGATCATTTAAAGAGTTAACTGAATGGGCAAGCTGGCTCTTGTTTCATTCAGTAAAAATGTCATTTTGTTTGATAAACCTTTCATCATTTCTTGGAGAGAAAGAAGTCGATGTTTCTGGATATGTTCAAATAATGCTCCTTTTAGATTATCACCTTGACAACACAATTATCATTACAACCGAATGAATAATGTCACTGTCCTGACAACATAATTATCATTACATCAGAGTGAATAATGTCACTGTCTTGACAACATAATTATCATTACATCAGAATGAATAATGTCACTGTCTTGACAACATAATTATCATTACATCAGAATGAATAATGTCACTGTCTTGACAACATAATTATCATTACATCAGAATGAATAATGTCACTGTCTTGACAACATAATTATCATTACATCAGAATGAATAATGTCACTGTCTTGACAACATAATTATCATTACATCAGAATGAATAATGTCACTGTCTTGACAACATAATTATCATTACATCAGAATGACTTGACAACACAATTATCATTACTTCAGAATGATAATGTCACTGTCTTGACAACATAATTATCATTACATCAGAATGAATAATGTCACTGTCTTGACAACATAATTATCATTACATCAGAAATGAATAATGTCACTGTCTTGACAACATAATTATCATTACATCAGAATGAATAATGTCACTGTCTTGACAACATAATTATCATTACATCAGAATGAATAATGTCACTGTCTTGACAACATAATTATCATTACATCAGAATGACTTGACAACACAATTATCATTACTTCAGAATGAATAATGTCACTGTCCTGACAACATAATTATCATTACATCAGAGTGAATAATGTCACTGTCTTGACAACATAATTATCATTACATCAGAATGAATAATGTCACTGTCTTGACAACATAATTATCATTACATCAGAATGAATAATGTCACTGTCTTGACAACATAATTATCATTACATCAGAATGAATAATGTCACTGTCTTGACAACATAATTATCATTACATCAGAATGAATAATGTCACTGTCTTGACAACATAGTTATCATTACATCAGAATGACTTGACAACATAATTATCATTACATCAAATTTAATAATGTCACTGCTTCCATTTATGATATAATATCATAGTGTCATTTTATCATCAGAATCACCGTCATTTCACCTGGAGTCTTTCATAATGATACAGGAGCAAAATACACTTGTCATTTTAAGAAAATTGTTCTATTAAATGGGTAATTCATTGGAAAGAATGGGGAGGACTCAATTTTTATACGATCTCACAGGATTTTTATATGTGTTATAAAAAGTAATTCTCTTTCAGTACCACATCCTACAATCTAAGTATACAGGAATAGGTGGATAGAAAGTAATTGCCATTATTGTAGAGCAAAATATTTCTTGAAACTGACATCAATTTAATGGGCTGTTGCTGCCACAGGCACGAGTATCGGACCTTGGATGAAAAAATATGACCAGATTGATAATAAAACCTGTGTTCATCTTAAAAGTGTCAAAAACCAAAAAAAAAAAATGTAAATAATGACCCCCTTTAAAATATACTATAACTTATAGTATATTTTAAAGGGGGTCATTATTTACATTTTTTTTTTTGGTTTTTGACACTTTTAAGATGAACACAGGTTTTATTATCAATCTGGTCATATTTTTTCATCCAAGGTCCGATACTCGTGCCTGTGGTTGCTGCTGCTGCTTGGGGTTTGATCACCTGAATGGCTTTACTTATTTCACGTCGTAAATTATCCAGGTAGCTAATGGAAGGTTTTTGGTGCTGGATGGGTGCCTGGAGAAATGTATCACATTAACTATTGAAGGATTCAAGACTATACAGTTGTTGGTACACCTTGAAATACAACATAAAAAATATGCTGTTCCTATCGGTGTATGGTATTGTATATAGATTCTTTAAGAACTGTATATACATTGTACATGAAAATATTTATGTGATTGTGCTACGAAATATTGTAAAGTGTTAAACATAACAATAAATCTATTTTTATGTACTTACTTAATTGATTGTTCTTATTTATTTACTTCTGGTTATAAAAGAAAATCTAGTTGAGACATATTATAACTATTTAATGGGAATGTTTTGATCTTTAATGAATAAATTTAACATATACTGTATGGTTCACTACAAATCAATAGGAGCTGTGTTACTACCTAGAACATAATAAAACGGTGCAGGTAATTTGAGAAAAGTGCCATTAAATCATCTTGGCTTGTCAGGCGCAAATGCTGCCATTTTGTCAATAAGTGTCTGTAGTTAACAGTGTAAATAAGGGATATATAAGCCAGGCATAAGACTTCAACAGTTATTTCATATTTCAATTGTGTGTAGTGATGTAAAAATTTATCAATGTAATCTTTTTTTATAACAACTGCAATAAATTTGATGCTTGATTGATCAGCTGTCAATTAGCAGTTTGAACGCTCACATAATACCACTTACCTAGTTGGTAGTTGTTTTTCCCATTAAATTACTGTATACATGTCCTAAGTTCTTAAAATTATCAACTAAATCTGGGATAACCAAGATGTATTCTGGCTAAACAAAATGGGATTGTTGACATATACAAAAATTTGTGACACGGTTCTCCTACCCTTGCATTGCAAGTTACATGTATATCTTATGACTTTAAACATATATGAAATTATTTCCTTAATCGTATGAAGGAATATAAAGAAAAAAATCAGCCAACAATGCAAAAATTACATGGAGTAGTGCATTTATTCATCTTATATATATTTTTAAACGTGGATAAAATCTATTACTGAGTTTTCTTTCCAAATGCATGGCTATTTTATTATAAAGTTTTTCATGCCAATAATTAAAAATAGTGTATACAGGTACACATTGCAATGTAATAAAAAAAAATCAACACATTCTGAGGCAAGGAGCCTTGCATTCATGATTCTAGTTAAGTCAAGACTTGTTAATTTTGAGACATCAAAATAATTATTACATGGACAATGTCTGTGTAGGAAAACAAAAACAGTCTGCAAAATGGATCAAACATTCACACCAGATGAATAAGTCTACAACAGAGTAATGACCACATGTTTTTCAAAAAATAAAGCCCCAAAGTATTTAGTGCACCACTGCCTAAATATGATGTTAATAGTGGTGTTCAACCAGTGACCGGCGAAGTTGTAAAGCTTTAGGGGAATTTCACTTATTTTCAGTTTGTATCTAAATAATTACTTTTTACTCTTTCATTTTTACTTTCAATTAATCAATAATTTGCGCATTATTTTAATTGACCTATTTTAATTCAAGAGTTTTCTCAAGAGGTCAATTGTTGAACGATTCGTACACAAAACCTTTCGACCAAAAAATTATGTAAAACTAATTCGACGCAGGATTTTAAGAAAATATCATTCTGGTGAAACATCTTACAGGAGATCAGTGATTTTGTGACTCTCAGGATGTTTCTTTTTAAACAGGAAATGAACTTTTACATGATGATATTATTTGTGGTTTGCTGCTCACATAATTGATGCTCATAATTATTTACCAATACTGTTACTGTGATAAATAGAACCAACTTTGTGTCTGAGAGGGGTATTTCTATTAGTAAGACCCTGGTCTGAGTTCCAGAAGGACTGCTAATTAGACTTGTCAAAGAGACATCAAGTTTAATTTGGATGAGCAATATGTCTTAATTGCCTTTGGAATGGTAGTAATACATCAATCATGCTGAAGCTCAAGTTTAATACTGATAGCCATTTAAGCATGAAAAATGTACAGCCTGGCCAGGACTCGAACCCTAGGAATACTGTTTCGCAGCTGTGTCCCGATCATAGGTACTTTCCGGGATAAAAACCCTTCTTAGAGGTTTGTAGAACTCGAATTAAATTGAATGTAACGATTTTTTAGAGTTTGGCCTAAATGTATAAAACAGTCATTTTTTTCGATATTAAGTGTTATTTTAGTATTATCGGAGAAATGACAGTTTTAGAAAACAGTCATCTGCGCTAAGAAATTGTTATTCGTCTGAAATTGTCAGAAACTACTGGTGCAATTTCGTCCAAACTTTACAGGAATGATCACTAATAAGGCCAGTTTTACATATCTTCAGCAATCCAGTTCAATGATTTTTGTCAGTTATGGTCCTTAAAAGATTTTTATCTGGACTTCATTTTTATACTATTAATGCAATTTGAGTGAAATATTACTGGATTCAATAATGGTACTTCAAGTACTTGCACATATTAAACAGGTTTTACAGTTCAATGATTTTTGACTGAGTAATGGTCCTTGAATGAAAAAGGCTTTTTAGCCAGTTAATGTTGTCTTGCCAGCTACACAGTAGCTGCAACATGCTACAAGGTAGCTGTGGCGTATATGTTACTTTGTAACTATACTGTCCAATCAGCCTTTGATACAACTGCGTAATTGGCTATCATATTAGGCGATACATGTGATCACTGACTGCTCCTATTGTTTACTTAATTAAGATTACATTACCAAGATTGTACCTTCACAGTTTCTGAAAAAAAAAACAATGGCATTTTCTCTTTCAGTTGCACTTTTATACAACAATTTTCCGAGTAAAGAAAAGCATGTGGCATAAATTGAAAGATATATTTGGATACAATGATAGCCGAAATAAACAATCAGAAACAACAGATAATAAAGTTGACAAGAAGAAAAGTGAACAAAGTGCTTCTAAATTGTCTAAGGACCAATCGGAAATAAATGTACAGAAGGAAAACCCTTCATCAACAGAACCAGTCAATGTAACATTAAATGAGACTGTGTCCCAGTCTTACAATGAACAATTAACCAGCCTTGTGACTAATGTGCAGGAAAAACTTCATAAATATGAACGTCTTCATCATGAATGTTATGAGTGTAAAGTGACTGCGTCTTTTATGTCGCTATTTATAGCATCTGTTATAGGAACTTCATTATTCAGGCTTAAAAAAGATCTACATCCAAAGAAACACATGTTTGTATACATAGCTAATCTGTCACTATTTGGAAGTAAGTAATCAGTAAAAAATTTCCCCCCAACTAATATGATTTAATATAACTTAAAGAAATGGAATTTATCTGGTTTCAAAGGTTGCGATGGGCCCAAATTTGACCCAGACCTCATGTGACTGTGAAAATGAGTTTGACTCCTGCATGTGAAGAAAGACCGCAGATGATCCTTATTAATCTCTATTTCCGACTCGAGCTAAGATAGTGTGACAAATTTTCTCATAATAAAATTAGATTAACTTTTACTACATTTAAAATTCAAATAGCTTTAAATGACTTTTTCGTCTTAGACATCGTTTGTTTGTGTACCGACACATTGCTGATCATGATCAGACTGACTTCACTAGTTGCATACATTGTATGACTAAATTCAGCCGATTCCAGCAGGCTGAGGGTTCAAATTAATTTGGTTTCTGTCTCATCTGAACAAACATATCATTCTATATAACTACATATTTTACTTACAATTTACTTTCTTATTTCAGTGTGGGTTGGATTTATGAAGAAGGAATGGTATGATGAAAAAAAGACCCCAAAGGGAGAAAAATGAATTGTACTTGGTGACTTGGGTAAATGATAAATTATACATACCAGTAACTGAAATGTTTAGATATGCGTTTAAAAATGAATGGAAAGAGCTTTACAGGACTTCAAAGGTGTATTTATCAGATGATCTACAAAATAGGACAAATGTTCTAGCTTAACATATCAGTTTTTGATTGTAGCTTTATTTGAACAACCCTCAAGTCCACACACCCTGGACCTACCTGGTGTCATACGAGGAAAAATGGTTGTGACACCAGTAGAGCTCGAACCTGCCATTCCCAAGGTGAGAGGCAGGCACCTTCTCAACCACTTAACTTTCTTGAATTTTGATAATGAAATCTTTTGTATTGATTTACTTACTTAGAGTGAATTTTTGTATTGATTTACTTAATGGTGAATTTTTGTACTGATTAGAGTGAATTTTTGTATTGATTTACTTAGAGTGAATTGTTGTATTATTTTACTCATTATTGTATTAATGTACAGCTGAATGTTGATAATTAAAATTTATCAAGGATTAAAGTGTCAAATATAACAGTGTCGTTACAATTAACTATTTTATTTTGTTTTTTTATGTTTTATGGCCTCCATCCTTCCCAATATTTGTTTGGAGCATAACTCCTAAAGTGCTCGAGCAATTTTCTTCAAACTTAAACACTGACAGAGCACATTGGGTGGATGTGCAGTGTGCATGTACAATAACTGAAAAAATAAACTACCTTGTTTAAGATTTCTTCCCCTTTATCATATTTATTTGATTAAAACTTAGCCTAAAGCATAACTCGTAACGAATTTGGACTTTCTTCAAAATTAATACACTTACTCAGCACATTGGTTGAAAGACCATTGTGCAAGAATAATATCTCTACCTTGCCTTCTTTTTGAGTTATTCCCCTTCATCAGATTTACTTGAAACCTGAAATGCGTCCAGAAGACACCCAACTTATTTTAAAAATCCCAAAACAAGGCATGCGAAAGGCGTTTGAAAAGATAACAATGCCTTTAATTTATTTTGATTCACCTGGTATTATTAGCAATACCAGTTCATTGATGTTCTCTGACTTGTCTATATTTAAGCAATGGTACTATTAACTACTAAAACCATTTTATGACACTATCAAAAATGTTTGATTTATTTTCATATTTTACCAAAAAAACGTTTTGCAAAGAAGTATGGTACCTGTAACTGCTATGCTGCATGGCTGTGACAGTTTTAAACATTTGTCAACAACAGTGAGTTATCACAGTTGTTCACAATGAGCATGATTTCTCAAAATATTTACATCAAATTTTCTCAAAAACAACAGCAGCTCTGCTGAAAGGATATTTAAAGCCTTTTCTAATGAAATATTTTCATAAAATTTTTTGTATTGAAATATTTTTAAGAAATTTATAAATGGAAAAATCATGTTGTTTCCATAAACATAGTTACATATGATCATTTCTCAAAATAATTGTAGCATAGAATGTGTCTGTTATTTAATTTATATACAGGTATACACATAAGTGTACATAAACAGAATGTTACATAACAAAAATTATGGTGCTCTTTTAAGCAGAGGTTTCACCATTAAGCAATGAGTTTGTGCATTTGCCACTGGCTCTTAGGAAATTAAACAAACTTTTTTCTTCCAGGCAGATATTTTGTAGGTATTCTTTTTCAAAATTCAAAAAGTTTGTGAACAGGTAATAATATTATAGCTTTTTACACTTTAACTGGTATCGGAGTCTGTATCAGACTCCTGTCACACTAGCATATAACAAAATGCTAAATAAACAGAGTCTTAAAATCAACTCAAACTCTACAAAATCAAAGACATAACAAGCAGAACTTTGATTATCATTTAATAAAATCAAAATTAAAACAAGCAAATTTGTTTAATTGACTTACACCGTTACTACTGTATGAGATTGATGCTAAATTCTTAGTATTATGTTCTTAGGAGAACTAGTTAAATGAATTTGGTATTTTAACTTAAAGTGACCTTCAGCTTTTCTAAAGGGTAAAATATGTTATTAGTCCCCTACCGGTTTAACCGGAGGGGACTTTAGGTTTACCCTCCGTCCGTCTGTCCGTCTGTCTGTCCGTCTGTCTGTCTGTCTGTCAGTCCGTCAGTCCGTCCGTCCACAAAAACTGGATCCCGCGATAACGCAAAAAAGTACTGAAAATATTTTTTATGAAACTTGATATATGGATAGATGGCAGTATGGAGATTATGCACGTCTTTTTTTTTTCTTCCTATGTTGAAAATTCTGGTTGCTATTGGCAACAAATAGTCTGAAAATATGGCAAATTTAACACATAAAACTGGATCCAGTGATAACTCAAAAAGTACTGAAAATATTTTTATGAAACTTGAAATATGGGTAGATGGCAGTCTGGAGATTATGCACATCTTTTTCTTTTCTTCCTATGTTGAAAATTCTGGTTGCTTATGGGGCAACAAATAGCCTGAATTTCAAGATTTCTGATTTTTAAATTTTTCAGCTTTTTCACTATATGTTCTTTATTTCTTAAGGTGTTTACTTCAAACTTTAAATATAAGTTCCTGGTCATCAACCACATCATATGTGACAAGGTTTATAACTCTAGCACAAAAAATATCAATATTACCTCCCTTGAACTTAGATTTTTTAGGGGAAAAAATGTTGTCTTTTTTAAATAACTTCTTTATTTCCTAATGTATCTACTTCAAACTTCATATATATGTTTCTTATTATCACTCGACATTTTTGAGAAGGTTAAATACTCTAGCAAGACTATTTCCAGAATTATGTCCCCCTTGAACTTAGATTTTTTTCGAGAAACTGGTATTTTCACTCCAACTTCTTCATTCCTTATAGGATTTACTTTAAAATCCCACATCGTAATAATATGACAAGGTTGTATAAACATTATTTCCTTACTAAGCATGGAAACTTAACACATTACTGTGATATAGACAAACTTATTTTATTATGTTTTGTGGTCGATATTTTCAAATACAGACTTCATCCTCAAATTCATTATAAATGGCAATACACAGGAGTGTATGACAATTAAAGAACTTTTTGAGGGACCGGTAGGGGACTACTGTATTGCCCGCAATACTATCAAATGCTTGTTTTTAGATAAATCGTTTCATATAAATGTCAAATCAAAAGAATTCAAGTGGAAATGAAATATGCTAACGATAAAATACATTAACAATGAAGAAACCCCTCAATACCTCTAATATACTGGTTCACTTGCTATATTTATATTAGAAAAGCTGACAATTTTCTATATTTAGAAACCAAACATCACTGACGCGTTATAAATAGCTCTCGGGGGACCCTGTTTTAAAAAAAGTGATACGATGTAATTTTCCAAGATAAAATTACTGAAACAACACCAATGTTTTTCCAACAAATATAACAGCTGTAATCTGCTTTAATATGATACAATGTCGACAATACTGAGCAGTGTCAAGCGAAAAAATGAGCTGCGTCACGACAAAACCAACATAATGGGTTTGCGACCAGCATGGATCCAGACCAGCCTGCGCATTATGTTGGTTTTGTCATGACACAGCTCAAATCTCTTTATAAAAGTTATATTAAAGGACATCCTTTTTTAGATTATAATGAACTTAAAATGTTATTATGATTTTGTCATTTATAATGTATGTTAACAAAAAGAATTATAATTTTAAGATTCATTTGTCGTGAAAGCAATGCAAAATATATGCTCAAATTGTCAATTTCATTTAATCAGATTAGACCAGGAATAAGATAAGCACGATTTAACGTAATTTTGTTTAACTTATGTTTTAAGATTTTAGAATCTCATAGACGTAACATAAATTAGTTAATTAAAAAATCTTTAATCTATTTATACATATACATTTGTATAACTCACAATCAGAGTTCATATTAAATTTATCTTGATTCCTGGTCTAATTGGACTAATATCCAATTATTCATAAACAGTTCTTTCTTTTCATTAATGAAAATAATCCCAAATCTTTTGTAGTCTTCGTCGCTCATATTCTAAGAAAGATCTTGGTTTCTTTCCTGGTGGTTCAAACAAACAATTGTACCATTCTCTGTGTATATATATCACCCATACTGAAATAAAAAAAAACGGGTAAAATTAAGTGATAGGAAATGGTCAAAAACTAGCTTTTCCTTCAATATTAATGGGAAACAAAACAAACCAATGAGATACCATTACACTTGATGACAAATCATTCTGTGAATGATACTTGAAGTCTGATGAGAAATGAAGCAGGAAAGAAACTTCTTACACCCAACTGCTGGCATGCTGGCATTCACTAACTCAATAACCAAGTCATGTGTTCACAAATGAAGATCAAGATCAAAATTTATGTCTAAAAAAATTTCTGTTGCCTATTGTTATAGATGTAATATCTATTGTGACTTGAAAAATGGATTTGAATTGGCATATGATGGGGAAGTTTTCATAACTGCTTAACAAGTTTTATTATCTAAATAATTAGTGATCCTTATTTCAATCAAATTATACAAGAGAAGTTCAAGTATTTATAATTCATTTTGTTTATTCTTAAATTTTATCCAAAAATCACTTTGTTTCATTGCAAATCAGATGTTTTTACAAACTTTTTACTAAATTAAAAACCTATAAAAATGAATTTAAGTTTCATATACACAATGTAGCAATAACTAGAGATGTCAAAAGAGTGCAAATGAATACCCCCACATGATTTCAATGTCACAGTATTGTAGTGTAATTTATAATTATTTTTTATTTTTTAAAAAAAAACATGTAAAGAAAAAAACATTTGAAATCATGGGATTTACAGTACAGACATAATATTTGAATTTTGACCTTCAATGGCAACCTTGATCTTAACTCTTCACAGTGGCAGCAAAGGCTTTAAAGAGCAGGCATAAAATTATCTGATTTTTGACCTCCAATGGTGAGCTTAACCTTGACTCTGCACAACAGCTGCATGTGTTCTGCATTCTGCACACTGCCTAATGTTAAAAATTACATTTAAGCGTACTTAGAAGAAATCCTGCAAGGAGTATAGGATTTATAGAGTGGACACCGCAATTGTCTAATACTTGACCTTTGACCTTTCAAGGGTGGCCTTGACTTTAAGCTAGCACAGTAGTGGAATTGGTTTTGCGCATCATTTTGTTGAGGTGAACATTTCAGTCAAGTTTGAAGAAATCCACAAAGGGGTATAATTATGATTAAATGAACTACCACAAAATTGTTTGATATTTGACCTTTGACCGTCAAGGGTGACTTTGACCTTGAGCCAGCACAGCATTTGCATGTTGAGAACATTTGAGCTAGTTTGAAGGAATTCCTCCAAGGGGTGAGGATTTATAGAACAGACACTAAATTGACTTTCAAGGTTCACCTTGACCTTTATCTGGCAAAGCAGTGGAATGAGTTTTTCATATCACCTTGTTGAGGGAAACATTTGAGACAAGTTTGATGAAAATCCTTCACAGGATATAGGATTCATAGAGTGGACACAAAGGAGATTTAGTCTGACCAGCTTGAGAAAGAGATTCCAGTATTGCCCCCTTCACATTATGTGGTGTAGGTATAAAAACAAAGTTTGGATCCTGATTTTCTTTGTGAGCAAGGGGCCTGAATTTTCCAATTTATGCCAGGGGCCTTTTCCCAAAATAACTTGAAAAGGTTGTGTATTTGAGAAAAGATGGCTGTGTCTTCAGCAGGACTCAAACCAATAATGCTTTAGTTACGAGGCAGCCACCTTAACAACTGGGCCACCACTGCAATATATGAGCTGCACCATGACAAAACCAACATAATGGGTTTGTGACCAGCATGGATCCAGACCAGCCTGCGCATCGGCGCAGTCTGATCAGGATCCATGCTGTTCGTTATCAGTTTCTCTACTTGTTATAGGGTTTGTAACCCATTTTGTTGGTTTTGTCATGGCGCGGCTCATATGACTTCAAAGACTACTTACATGAAAATACTGCAGTCTTTGCAATTCTAGTCCTTGTCTTTGGCACATTGAATTTTGAAGCAAATTGAAGATCCAGTAATAAAAGCGTGCTTAACATTACAGTAGCAAATCCAGTACCTAACAACTTGCAAACAAAACAATCCTCTGCTTGTAAATAAGTCTTCTCTTGTAAAAACTGTTTTAATTTTGCAATTGGTTTTAAGTCAGCATACTGATTTGACAATTTATCAACTAACACTGGTTTAACACTAGTTTCTGCAGTGACTTGAGAATTGTTTGTCTTGTTTAAATCTTCTTGTTTTTTAGAAGAGTCTGGACTTTTAACAGTTTCTGGCAAAACTGACGGTACATTGACAGACTGTTTTTGTGAAGTTTTTGGACTTTTATCAGTTTCTGACAAGGTGACTGTTTCTTTCTTTGCAGAGCCATTCCACCAACTCTTCAGGTAATCCATGGCTGTTCTCTTCTAGCTGTAACTGTTACCCTTCAAATTAAAAAAAAAAGTTAATTAAGAAAGAGACAACTAATAAAAAACAACCTTATTTAACCTATTTCATAGAAAGTGATGCCATGGACAGAAGAACTAAGCTAAATTTATGATTGTCTATGGCTTGGGATTGGTTACTGGTAATGAATAGGTCAAAGATACAGGACTGTATTGTTTTACTGTCTTCCCTTTAGAAGCCAGATTTTTACTCGAAACAAAAATATCTCTGAATCTAGCATTGGTCATCAATATTTTGAAATAATAACAAGAAATCATGCAAGTGCTCTGTACTTTATTTAATTTATATAAGTATATTTATGATGACTAAAACAAGCATGCATTACACCACCATGACAATTCATAACACATATTAAAATGGTTTCCACTGCACGCTATTTAATTTGGTATATTGTTGAGATTTGGCTTTAGATATATTGATATAAAATGTTCCATCAAAGACGGCCATATCATATCATGTATACCAGTCTTAGCATCATGCATTTATCAGGAGATATACTATATTTTTTACTGATTTATTAGTGAGCACAGGTACAGAAACTTGAAATTCTTTAAACTACAATATCCCAGAGTATTTTGAGATATTTTTGTTAATATCAATTATTTCATGGAATTTCAAGTTTGTGAAAAGGCTGATATTGATTTTAGCCAAACAAATTGTGTGTGCCACCAGGGCTTATTGTTAAATATGATGGCTGCCCTTCCCATAAAGACAGACACCTATTCTATGTATATCAGTTTGTAAAATGGATCTGTCCTGTAGTCGATAAAATGGATCTGTCCTGTAGTCGAAATACTGAGACTTATATTGTCATACATGTATGTGTTTCATTACAGCAAATGTACTGCCATGCAAACAGTTCCGGTACAGAAGCAGTACCCAGTTTTTTATTTAAAAGCTTGATTTTTACTTGCATTCTTAAAAAAAAAAACTGATATCAAAACAAGTTGAAGCAGATGTATGAACAAGACAAAATCTAATTGTCTATTTGGCAGTACATTCAAAAATTTTTAATTTTAAATCACTTTCACATGTGCGTTGTCAAAACGTGACCATGTAAAGGTTGGGGGATTCCAGCCTTGTGAGCATGCCCAAAAATACTTACAAATGAGGCCTGTTAGAAGGATTTCCACTAATACCACATGTGTACAGATAAGTGGGCAATGTGACAAAAACCTGTTTAATTATCATAATTTTGATCTACATTACTATATTAAATAATTTTATTTATTTAATGCGTAAAGTATCATGCATAGGTCTGATATAACAATATTGTTTAATTATAGTAGGTTATATTTTTTTGTACGGGAACTACTTCTTTTCATACAAAATAATGGATAATTTCTGTACCCATATCAGGCCTCATAACTGTTAAGAACATAAGGATTGTTCTATGTTAAGAACATAATGGAATCTCCAAAATTTGTGTGACGAGCCAAATATTGGTGTGTAACAGTAATGTTTTGGTGAGTGAACGTACATGTAATAAACAGATAAAAAATAATGTCTAAGTAACTACTTTTTTTGTACGGGAACTGCTCGCTAGACTAATTAATTCGGTGTGAACAGTTTGACCCATTTTATTTACTTTTTTTTATACTGTCAAAATGTTGGAAAAAGACATCGCCCGTCCAAAATTATTGCAATGTCTCTTCGACAAGTCTTATTAGTTAATAGTTGAACTAATTGCCAGTACAAAGCATATAAATGTAAACCTGTTATCTATTTCTTTTTCTAATTTTTAAAGAAAATCTGAGAAGACCGAGACAGATCTCTGTCTTCCAATGAACAACAGAATATCTGCATAACAACTTCATGTTACAAACGGTATCTTGTCCAAACGGTATACTGTCCGAAGACTCCATGGAGTTCTGTGACAGGTTGGAATTAGTAAAATAAGATGTAATTCTTGTTTCTTCAATCATAATTTCATAACATGTTTGTTTGTATGTGTTTGTATGTGTTAACTAAAAATATAGCTTGAATTACATAGCAGCGACAATTAATGTTTGAAAAAAAGTAGGAAAAGTACAATGGTCAGTTAACAAATGTATAAGTTTAAAGATATATTTCACTTGAAATAAAAACAAGGATTTAAAAAAATATAAGAACATTTAATCTCTTTTTTTTTTAAATATAATAAGTAAACAAAGTCTTTTTTTTCAACAAAATGGCATGGCAACAAACAGTTACACTTGAATTCACTTTTATTAACAAACACAATTATATTATTAACTTTTTTACTTCGAATGGTTTTGAGAGTCGATTACTGAACTTATTGCATGAGTTGGCGTCTTGGGATAGTCTTTGGGTGTCTTGGGGTAGTCTTTGGGTAGTCGTGGGGTGTCTTTGGGTGTCTTGGGGTAGTCTTGGGATGTCTTGGGGTAAAAAGACCGACCGTCCGAGGACTACTCAAGTAGGTTACAGTATACTGTGTTCAATAATGACATAAATATAAATAAATAGGATAAACTTTTGGAAAAAAATCGAAAATTAAGTACAATCAAATAATACCGATTCACAGGATATCTTGTTATTTCTTCATATACACAAATTTACCAAAATTTCAATGTCAAACTCGTTGTTGTTGTTGTTGTTGTCGAGCCGGTGTAATATGTGAATGAATAGATTCGCTCATTTTTGTACGGGGTCAAAGTGCGGAAAGGTGCATTACAAGTATAGGTAAGTTATGAATGAATCTATTTTCCCCCTTTTTATCAAATTCAAAGATATGCTGGGTTTTAATTAACAGTATCTTTTGTACATGTCAATTGGCATAGGAATACAGTACTGTACAGTAAATGAAAATTAATGTATATTTTGAAGTATTTTAAGACTCTAAATATGAATGAAAATACGATCAGTATTGATAAAAATATCGATTAATTTACAGATCGATGATTTACAATCAATATATTGTTTGTTAATTGAACACCTTCCTATATAGTTTATATGTTTATGAATGTAATGTGTACATTGACTCCGTTGACATAACTGCAACATTATGAATGCCAAATGTGTTCACCATTGAAAAAACAGGAGTCCTGATAATGAGAATATGTCATTAATGTCATATGTGTACACCATTGACATATCTGGATCATGGATGAATGCCAAATTAATGTATATATACCATTGATCGACATACTTGGATGATGGATGAATGCCAAATATTTACACCATTGACATATCTGGATCACAGATGAATGCCAAATTAATGTGTATACAATGATTGACATACTTGGATCATGAATGAATGCCAAATGTGTACAACATTGACATACCAGGATCATGTCATTAATGCCAAATACCATTGGCATACTTGGATTATGGATGAATGTCACCTGTGTACACCATTGACATACCTGGATCATGGATTAATGCCACATATGTACACCATTGGCATACTTGGATTATGGATGAATGTCTCCTGTGTACACCATTGACTTACCCAGATCATGGATGAATCATGAATGCCACACATGTACACCATTGGCATACCTGCATGGATTATGGATCAGTGCCACACCATTGACATACCTGGATCTTGGATGAATGCCACATGTGTACATCATTGACATACCTGGATAATGGATCAATGACACACCAAGGACAAACCTGGATCATGGATGAATGCCACATATGTACATCATTGGCATACCTGGATTATGGATCAGTGCCACGCAATTGTCAAACCTGGACCATTGTTGAATGCCACATGTGTACACCACTGACATACCTGGATAATGGATCAGTGCCACACCATTGACATACCTGGATAATGGATCAATGACACACCATTGACATACTTAGATTATGGATGAATGCCACATGTGTACACCACTGACTTACCTGGATCATGGATAAATGCCACATATGTACACCATTGGCATACTTGGATTATGGATGAATGTCTCCTGTGTACACAATAATACCTGGATAATGGATCAATGACATACCATTGACTTACCTGGATCATGGATGAATGCCACATATGTACACCATTGGTAACCTGGATTATGAATCAGTGCCACACCATTGACATACCTGGGTCATGGATGAATGCCACATGTGTACATCATTGACATACCTGGATAATGGATCAATGACACACCAAGGACATACCTGGATCATGGATGAATGCCATATATGTACATCATTGGCATACCTGGATTATGGATCAGTCCCACGCCATTGTCAAACCTGGACCATTGTTGAATGCCACATGTGTACACCACTGACATACCTGGATTATGGATCAGTGCCACACCATTGACATACCTGGATAATGGATGAATGCCACATGTGTACACCATTGACATACCTGGATTATGAATCAATGACACACCATTGACATACCTGGAACATGGATGAATGCCACATATGTACACCATTGACATACCTTGATTATGGATCAGTGACACACCATTGACATATCTGGATTATGAATGAACATGTATGCCACATGCATACACAATTGGCATACCTTGATTATGGATCAATGCCACACCATTGACATACCTGGATTATGAATGTATGCCACATATGTACACCATTGACATAACTTGATTATGGATCAATGCCACACCATTGACATACCTGGATCATGGATGAATGCCACATATGTACACCATTGACATACCTTGATTAAGGATCAATGACAAACCATTGACATACCTGGATTATGGATGAATGGCACACCATTGACATACCTGGGATATTGATGAATGTCATGTATTCACCAAGGACAAACCTAGAGCATGAATGAATGCCATGTGTGCACTAAACACATACTTGGATCAAAGTTTACCAGATCAATAGATTAATGTGCATAATTATAGGCTATGTCATCATTACTGTGTATAGATCTACTGTGTATTCAAGATGCATGTTGTATAAGCAGTCAGGACATGTGTGCATGTTTATCAGTGCTGTATCTTCATTTTAACTGGTGCAACATGTGCTCAAAATGTTCAAGCAAGATATATATTTATATATGTATACTATAACACCCCCTCCACCAACCTTTGCTTAAGGTCTTCAGGGCACTGTTTTTTATGCTTTTATACTGTGACAGAATTGGTACCCCTACAGATGAAATAAAAAAAATGTTAAAAAGTGGCATATAAAATTTTGAAAGCCAGACCTTCTGAATATCTACCTAATGTTGACATACCTCGATAAATGCTCCACCTGTCTTTGTCCTACATTGCATCAATTTTTCATCTTTTTTTTTCAGGTTTTGAAATCTTAAGTAATAATGGAGATGTTACTGGCTGCAGCTGTTGTTGTAATCATTGGAGTGATTCTTTTTAAATACCTTGACTGTGATCTCACTTTACTGTGGAATATCAAATTTGGTAAACAGTCCAGTAAGTACAGCTGTTTCTAATGTTATCAAATATACATACAAATAAGAAAAGTTTATAAAGTTATTATATAAGGTAGGTACAATGTAATTGGAATGATTCACTTGCCCCTTGATCAATGTTTTGGAAAATCAAAACTTTTAATATTAAGAAGCATAGCAAGAATGAGGTTGATAGTTATAATACCCATGGATAATGCATAAAGAGGCATTCTGAGTTGTCCTTGACATTATTTAAAGCTGGAAAGTTACCATGTGACCATAAAGCTGAATGTTTCAAGAAGGGCCAAAATATTTAAAGAAATTCAAACTTGAGAAAAATGTGCTAAATATTTAAGAAAAGTAAAATGATTTATGTTTCAAGTAATTATTTACATGTTATGTGCAATTAATGACTGATTTTACAGTACTTTTACATCACCATATTTTTAATTGCTACAGCAAAACTAGTGAAGTAAGGACTATTTTTGCTACTGCAAAACTAGTGAAGTTAGGGCTATTTTTGCATATTTTAAGTGGTATTTGCAATAAGTATATTATTTTCTTTGTTCACTTCACAATATTTTACTTTAAAATACATTTTCAAAATTTTCATGGAAATAAGAATGAATCTGGTGGCCTGCTGCTTTCAAAGTGTCAATGTTACTAAAAACCTGATGAAATAACACAAACATTTTTTGTCTGCTTAGGTGATTTAGTTGGTAAGGTGGTATGGATTACAGGATGCTCTAGTGGTATTGGTGAAGCTCTCGCATACGAATTTGCATCTGCTGGTTGTCGTCTGGTTCTTTCTGCAAGACGGGAAAATTTACTCAATAAAGTGAAACAGAAATGTATAGGTATGATTTTTTCTCATAGATTGTGGAAGTCATAATAGATTGATAACAAGTAAAAAGTTGCAATAATAGTATATAAACATGTATAACCTAATGTCAGTGTTCACTACTCTGTGATTGGGTGGTGCACATGACTGACTTTCATTCAGTTGTTGTAGGTTTGAATCTTGAAATTCTTTCATGAGAGTGAGCTTTTTGAAGGTCAGCTTTGTAGTTTTATTAAAGTGCCCTTTTTTTCATGGCTATATTTCCTTTTTTGGCACTGGTACTGGTTGGTTTCAATAAGGAGACTCTTAGAGTCTTTGTTCCCTCGATCATGACAATTGTGCTAATATTAATATGTTAAACTAAAATGAATAACATCTTTCAATTTCAAAATGAGGATGATTATAGCACTTGATTTAGGAGACAGAATTTATATTTAGTTTTGTCAAATTTTACTGCTGAGTTTCAGGTGAAAAAGAGTCTATTTTAAAATAAAACACAATTGCATTTCATACTTACCTAGACTTTTACAAAAGATCCTGTGAAAGTATTCTTATTGGTATTTAGAGATTGTTATTATTTGCAGCAGTATGTAAAAATTAGGTATAAAATTTGTTTTTTAGAAACTTCTAGAGGAGCATTGACATCTGATGACATTCTTGTACAACCACTGGATCTCCTTGACTACAATTCACATCCATCAGTAACAGAAACTGTCTTCAAATATTTCAAAAAGGTTTGACACTCATTCTTTTACTATATAGTATGTTTAATGTGTAATATAATTGAAAAAAGATGTTTGCATATTACACCACTATTAACCCTAGACCAAGTATTTGTTAAAGGAGGTGCTGATAATAAGTTTTTAGGGACTTTATCAAGATCTGTACCAAGTAGATACAATTGCTGATTTTGAATCATTTGTTTTTCTACTTAGAGACTTGGGATTCTGTTATGTCATTGTGTGGAAGCTATTCACATTCCTTGTGGAAAGTCTGTTAATCTTTTTGGGTGCCCACTTGTGTAAATATTAAGTCTTTATTAGGACATGGTCCCAAACACAGGTCAGACTTAAGGAAAGTTTCTTTTGTAAAACTTTTCTTGGATAAAATTGTTCAATACATTAATTGATAGCAGTATTAAGTAAATATATTGCATGCCATTTTTTAGGGTTTGATATTTAAAAGTCATAAAGTTTTTTTTGCTTTGTTTTTTCACATACATGTAGGTTGATATTTTGGTGAACAATGCAGGTCGGTCTCAGAGGGGTCTTATTGTTGAAACTGCACTGGAGGTTGACCGGCAAGTGTTTGACCTTGACCTACTTGCACCAATATCTGTTACCAAGGCAATTCTTCCATATATGATAAAACAAGGTGGAGGTCACATTATGTGTACAAGTAGTGTGGCAGGAAAACTTGGTGCCCCAGGGTCTGCAAGTTACACTGCTGCTAAACATGGAATTCAGGTACATGTAGTTATCTTCATACAGAAGATTCTTAGAGAAAGGCATTTCATATCATAGTTGATCTAGTTTAAAGGTATGAAAATTGTTAATTAAAAATTGAAATATCACATGCCATTTTATAGTATTAAGTGTTTGATAAACAACAGATGTTAAGCTTTGACTTTATTTTGTGGCTCAAAGGCAGGTGAAGTCAAATTGAATTTGTTTGTCTGTCGTACCTTCATGTGCTCCTAGACATGACATTAAATCTATAATAGAGATTGGCTTAGCTCTGTATATGATCTAGCCTATTTATCAACTTTAAATAGCTCCTAGACCTATAGAGATGGCAAAATGACTAAATACACTTTTCAGTAGACAGCTTAGAGTCTTTCTTGAAAATAAGAAAGAGAGAGACAGTTTAGTGTATGAAATGATTATAATTTTGTCAAAGAAATGTGAAAGGAATTAATGATGTTGTTTTTTTAACGAAAAAATTAATCCTCATTGGCAAAAAAGCAGCCGGTCTGTCAGTTTTAAACCAGTCATAGAGGATAATGCCCAATGAGTAAGAAGCTTGATTAACATAATTACAGTACATGTATATTAATTCTGTTTTCAGGAAAACAGTCTAAATCAGTATTAACCCTTTCCCCCATGAGCATATTGTGAAAAATGGCCATTTTCACTGAAAAGCCTCCTCTAACAAGTTCAAACTGCTATGAAACTATGAAAAATGCTTCAATACTAACCAAACTTGGCACAAATATTGACTGGACCATTGCCTTTGTAACAACATGCTCAGTCTTAAATTTCATGTTACCAAGGCAACAAGGGGACATCTCAAAATTGCCAAAAATCACTATTTTGCCTCGATTTTTTCCATCAAAATTTATTTCAAAGTGCTGCAACTACTCAAGGGATTGAGATAGAGTCAAAGGCTTTTCAGCGTTGGTTACACGTTACCTTATAATCGACCTGGGGTCATTTTAAGCCTCTCACAAGTCCAAAATTTTCTTGGCGATGAGGGGGACTACACCCCCCTTCAAACCCCCTAAAACAGAAGGGGGCACATCCCCCTTTTGGCAACCCCCTGATCTTTTGGATGGGGGGACGGCGCCGAAAAAGTGCTCACTTTTTTTAAGCAACATTTCTCGAACGAAAAACATGTGTTTGGGGTCCAAATAGGACATTTTTTCACTATTTCAGGCCTAAAAAGGGGGGGGGGGGTCGAAAGTGCGTTGTTTCGCGTGTATATGAGGTAAAGGGTTAAACCTGGTCATAAATGATCTTATTTCTGTTTTCAGGGATTTTTTGACACACTGCGTATAGAATGTGCTCCAGACAGTATATCAATCACAATGGCGTGTCCAGGACCTGTATTTTCTGAAGCTCTAGTACACGCCTTTACATCAGAACCCAATAAGGTATGGTCACATGATGGGTTAGTGTGGTTAACCTTTTACCAAAACCAAACTCAATGCACAGAAGTTTTATATAGGCATACAGGCAAGCCTGAATATCTGTACTGAAACATTTTAAGTAATTACTGCCATTGCTTGCTTGCATTAAAGTTTGTGGTGATATTTTAATAAACAAACTCATCACAAAATTAGGTTCTTCAGGTTTTATTAATTTTGCTTATTTAAACAGTTTGTTGGCATTCAAAAAAAACCTGCTGATAATATTTTTCAACTTGCTAATAAATTGGAACAGAAATGCTTAACCTTTTTATGTGATTTAAGTCACAGTGCAGCCTGACTGGTACTTTGATTGAGACCCTCAGAATACAGTCCAGCAGCCCTATAATACAGACTTAGCTACCAGGCCGACAGCATAACAACTTTCTCTCCATTTATTGAACAGTTCTGTACTATATGTACTACATTTGTATTTTGTTTTTAGAAATTGAATGTTGAAATGAAGAAGTCCTGGAACAGAATGACGGCTGAACGATGTGCGTATCTTATGGGAGTGGCTGCAGCAAATAAATTACATGAAGTTTGGTTGACTCCTAATCCAGAATTATTTTACTGTTATCTGTTCCAGTATATACCATACTTTGCTAAAAAGTAAGTTGAAGGTTTAGTGTGTTTATACATTTTATAAATATAAAATGCATTGAATTCACAATAAAATTTGAACAGATAAAGCTAACACTTCCCAGGCTGTCAGCTTATTAGTGAGTCACCAGCAGAAAAAAAGAGAACCAGTTTATTTCTAAAGTTATTAGCCTTGCTAAAAGAGGCTTAGTTTTTCCATGCAGATACAAGTATAGAACAATAGATTAAAAAAAAAAATTGGCAAACCCCACTTCCTCAAATTCTTATATAGATACAGATGAAGGTATTCATGACTCTTATGTTGTTTTCTTTTCAGAATTGCAGTAAAACTTGGTCAAGGTAGAGCCAATAAAGTTAAAGCAGGAATAGCGGATTTACATTGAAACTACAACACTGGTTCTAGGATATATAAATGTGATATTATAGTCTGTGATAAGCTTCATATCATAAATGTGTTCTTAAATTCATACCCGACATGTTTCAAGTGTGTTATACAGGGATTCTTTGTACAATCTTCATTCATCATATATGAATCTGATTTTAAGAAAGTTTTGAAATTATTAACTATTATTTTTTCTGTTTATAAAAATTATTGAAATACAATGTATAGTGACTAAGTAATTTGGTATTACCATAGGTATGAATATTCAGTCTAAGAAAGTGAGAACTTGTTCATTTTTGGTGATTAAAATCTGATCATGAAATAAAGAGCACAACCTGTGAAATTTCATAGATAAATTCATCTAGTACTATAACATTATTTAATAAATAAAATAAAATTTGACTGTACTTGTTTCCTCAGTTATTTTCAGCATCAGATGTATTAAGTGCTTCAGGTTTAATTATGTAAGGCATAAACATTGTAAGTTACTCGCATTTAAAGAGGTCATAAATATTTCAAAATCAGTTTACATAGCTTTCAGTCACAATACTGGTCTTTTTAGTAATAAAGTGGGATGTTTTTCAATATCAAACATCATAAAGAGTATAAACCAAGTCACAGAAAACCAGTATAAGTTTACAAAATCTTTACAAGAGATATACTTTAAATGAATACACTATATAGTAATTTATGATTGAAACAAAATCATGGGTCATATCTACCGAAAACAGATTATTTGAAAATATATTCTAATTTGGAAAATAAAGTCTAGAATAGACTGTTCATGATACTTCAGGTGTTGTTATAACTGTATGTCAATGGGCAATTTTAGATTGATTCTTATTGTGAAATTTATTCATTGTATTCCAATAGATGTTCGAGGCGTTTCAACTGTTATAGAGCAGGATTACCTAGCATGGTTCTCTGCATGTTCTGTATAGAACACACACATGTTGACATGTTTTATAAATTAATCTAAGCCCTTTCCAAGGTGGTTTACAAACAATAAAAAACTGACAAGGGGAGACAATGTTATATGAAAAGAGATTATTATTCATTAATAAAAGCAAATGTAAAAAGGTTTTAAAAATAATCTACACAAATGGCTGATAAATAAAACACAACACATAGGTAATAAAGATCTTTTATATTTTCTTTTTCGAAAGAATAAACATACAGTACTGTTGAACAAATGCTATTTATACATATGAAAGTCTCAACTAAAGCACAAAAATACAAAATCCACTGTTATAATATAAGTGTAAGAAGCTTGTACAATGAAAATGGCAAAATGATTTTTGTGACAAAAACAAATATAACTTAAAGTTACCAATGTACCATAAACAATACACTATATGTACTTACATCTGGTATTCACATTTTCACCTAATTTTTTAAGCAACTATTTTTTTGTACATTTAGAATAATTAACCGAACTAGGCAAACAAGTGGCATAGACTACTTCATATATAAGAATGAGACATTTTTAAATCTTTTTCTTCTAAAAAAAAAGTGTCTATAAAAATTATTGATACACCAACATGTGTTAACATATATCACTTACACATGTAAGCAATTCTTTCACGTCTCACATAAAGTAATTACTGTATTTTACATTGTACTTTTTAATTGTATGTGATAATAAAACATTTCATACAATCATACAAGCTTATGTTTAATTCTTGATACTTCAATGTTGACTTTTTGAATTTTTTTTTTTATTTCATAAAAAATATTGTGAAATTTATTGTTTTATCAACAAAGACGAGTTTCAACGGACATTAATGGGAATAATTTCTATTTTTCAGTGTACAAAATACATGAATGTACTTATTTGATGTAAATGCTTTATCAAACATAGATTGTAAAATACAAGTATGTTGCTAAGTTAAGCGATATTACATTATCTTACATACTAACATGTACTCACTTACACACACAGAAATATCCCTATAAGAATCACAGATAAACAAACGTTGTCACAAACATAGACATTTCAAACATGTGTGAATCCCTGTAAGTAATTTTACACATGTACAAAAAGTAATATTTGCATCTACCATAAGTTATCTATAATAAAATAGTCTTACGATGAAATCTATCGATGAAATTTAATTAACTTATGGTAGGTACAGAAAGTACTTTTTGACTTCTCATTGCTTATTACCCTAGATTAACACCATTATCTCTCTCCACAGCACATTGACAAATAAATAAATAAAATCAGCGCAAATATATACATTTCTTGTCTTTCTATAACAAAAGAAATTTAGTTCTTTGGTCATAGATTACGTACATGAAACTGTAAGTAAACTGTTTTTCCTTATTAACTTGCAGTCAAATATAACTTCATGTTGATAATATTTGAATAAATAATGTTTTAAACTAAACAGCATTTTGCTTACAACAACAATGATCAATACTATAAAGTTGTCTCTTTTACTAAATTGGATATTTTAAAACAAGAACCTTATCTAAGATATAAACTTTTTATACTATCATAATGTCCTCTTACAATACACAAATCAACTAATTTATGGACACTAAAACAGTTTTCACAATTCAAAAATGTTCCTTGTTCGGACAGTATCTAGTAATATATATAACATAAAAGTAGCAACTATTTGAACCAACCGTCTATATACTATACATCGTTTATCACCGTGACAAAATACAGACGCAATTGGCTAAACACATTGTTTCTAGGAAACTGTATATTGTCTATAGCAACTATTTAAAAGTAAACATCAGTGTTTCTATGAAACCAAAGCCTATCACTTGAAGACAAAAATAGCAACTATTGAAATAACTCAAAATGCCCGTCCAATATCTAACCATCCACTTTTCAGAACCGGGTCCTGGATTTCACATTGTAAGTTAAAACCTTATCACACTTTCTTTTATAATTTCATTCCCCGTAACAAACTGAAACGTCTTTTAAAGTGGAAAATCTAGACTTCCAGAGTCAAGTCATGCTAACCATTTATTTTCAATACTTATTTTGTCTTTTGTTTATCACTATCTATAGCAAGGATTTAAGAACATGAACATTTTCTATGTTTATTTTTCATGGTTTCATGTCATCATGTACGGTTCATGTGCGTGGTATGAAGTCATTGGCGGGAAAGACATTGCAGCAGGTGATACGGGGGTCTGATACTGTGGTTGTGAATATATTTGTACAAGCTCTGCAACAATGTTACAAATTTCTGTGAAATTTGGACGGTCTTTTGGGCATTCAGCCGTACACTTGCGAACAAGATCTATCATTTCACTTGGACAATGTTCCGAAAACTCTAAAATTACATCACCAGCTTTGAGACCCTTAAGAAGTTCATCATCATTGCGATTTTTATGCGGAATATCCGCTAAATGTAACACTTCCCACATAAACACACCGTACGCCCAAACGTCACTTTTTGTAGAATAGTCTGCTTCCAGAACTGCTTCTGGTGATAACCATCTTAATGGAAGAGCAGTCTGGTTGTTTATAATCACATATTCATTGACATACAGATCTCGTGACAGGGCCATGTGAGATATTTTTAACTCGAGACGTGATGTGAGAAGAACATTTCTTGTTGCGAGATCTCTGTGAACATATCTATTATTAGACATGTGCTCCATTCCGAGGGCGACCTGATTGCACATTCCAATTTTCTGTAGAATAGTCAGTGGAGGAATTCTTCTCCGACCAGTGTTGTCAACCCTAGATGCTAATAAGAACTGTTTCAAATCACCCTGAAAGAATACAATTTTTATGTATAACAACCCTTGTACAAAACAAAAATGTTCAGTCATTAGGAGCCTTATATACAAACTTCTGTTGAAGCTAAAGCAAAATAATACTTAAAATGTTATCTGCCTCTTCATCCAGTGTTATAGCCATATTAGATGTCTCAATAAAGTTTCCTCACATTACACCGGAACTAACTAATCCCAAAATGTGATAAATTTATCCCACAAGCTTACAGGCTTTAAACATAATCAAGTTTTAAATTATATTGTTTGATATCATAGGAAAAAAAACAACATGAATTTAAACATATATAGCATAGGAAAAATCATAAATTTTATCATATTTAGCATAGCAAAAATCATAAATCTTATCATATTTAGCAAAGGAAAAAACATAAATTTTATCATATTAAGCATAGGAAAAAGGCAAAAAACGTAAATTTTATCATATTTAGCGAGAAGGGAAATCCATAAATTTTAGCATACCGGTAGTTAGAGTAGGAAAAACCAAATATTTTAGCACATTTAGCATAGGAAACCCCATAGATTTAATTAATGAACAGTGAAAAAGAAATTAAAACATTAAAGTCTCCAAACATAAATTCTTTAACATGACCACAATAAAAGAATCAATAATTTTTCGGAAAATTGAATAAAAATCTTAAAATAAGACCTACCCAGTCACAGTACTCTGCTATATAAAAATAAGGTTCAATCTCCTTGCAGACGCCCAGCAGTTTTATGACATTATTCTGATCTAGTTTAGAATACATTTCCATTTCTCTTTGAAACTCATAATAATGTTGGTCCTCTTTTGTCAGCAGTGATTTTACTACAACCTGCGTTTCTATTTCTCCAGGACGTATACCACGGGCCTTGGCCAGAAATATATCGCCATACTGGCTTTTACCTGTAAAATCAATGCATAAGTATTGAGCGCCTTATATCAAACATATTTCAATCAAAATCTGATTAAACATTTCTTTCATATACCGTTTTTGTTCCTGCAGACGTAAAGTTTTAGAGAGGCTAATTCAACAAGAATTTTTTTTTCTTAAAGCTCCATGCATGCAGATGAGCAAAAATATTTCATGAAAATCAAACTTGAGATATTAGTGCTATGATTTTAAGAAATATAAAATAATTCCAAATTCAAGTTAATGAATGATTTTGCAGTATTCATCGCCATATTTCTACTGCATGACTGACACAGTAATGACTATATTTGCATATTTTAACCTCTTTTTTGGTTATTTACGTCGATTGTAAATGCCGTTTGCAATGTGTAAATTATTTTCAATGTTCACTTCAAAATATTTTACTATTACATTTTAAAAATTTTACTGAAAATTAGCATGAACCTGGAGGCATACTGCTTTTTAATAGGAAAACTTTTTTTCTATTCTTTATGATATACAACATACAAGTTGTGAAAAATTATATAGGCACATGTATTACATTTAATCATTTATTGATAACCATTCAAAATTTAAGACACAAAGGTTGCACCTATTTATAAAAGTAAAGTGGAAAAATTTTGCACCATATTAAAAAATATTTAATTAAAATTACCTAAAATTCCTAGAGTCTGTAACTCGTGTCTTGGAAAGAAGAACCTATCCAGACTAGTTTTTCCAGCACTTCTCTGTGACTGCTGTGATAAATTCTGTGACTGTGTGTGTGAATTAGAGTGCGAGTTTGAGTGTGACGAATGAGACGGGTGCGAGCTGAGAGCAGATACATGTGATCGATTATCGCTGTCACTACGGCAACCATGAGTTCCTCCAGATTCACGGTCACCTTCTTTCATCAGTAGTTCATGTTGTTCTGATTGAGGTACACCACCATTTTGTTTTTCACCATTTACTGAAAATAGATACCAGAATTTAACAAGATATGTTTGTAAAACATGTATGCCCCCTATCAGCAGCCAATTAGTCATGTGATAAGGTTATTATGCATGACTTCTGACCCAGTGATCAAACAATTAATAAGGGTTATAAAGTATCTACTGGTCATGACCTTGACCTTTGACCTTGACCCAAAACTCAATAGGGGTCATCTGCTGGTCAGACAATCACCATGCCAAGTTTGGGAAGTTCCTAGGCCTAAGGGTTCTCTTATTATTGATCGGAAACCGTTTTTTAACATACAAGGTCAATGTGACCTGGACCTTTGACCCAAAAATCAATAGGGGTCATCTGCTGGTCATGACAATCACCATGCCAAGTTTGAAGTTCCTAGGCCGAAGCGTTCTTTTTAGTTATTGATCAGAAACCGTTTTTACTTAAAGGTCATTGTGACCTTGACTTTGACCCCTTGATCCCAAAATCAATAGGAGTAATCTGCTGGTCATGACAAATCACCATACCAAGTTTGAAGTTCCTAGGCCTAAGCGTTTCTTGAGTTATTGATCAGAAACCGTTTTTTACTTACAAGGTCAATGTGACCTTGACCTTTGACCCCTTCACCTAAAACTCAATAGGGGTCATCTGCTGGTCATGACCAATCACCATACCAAGTTTGAAGTTCCTAGGCCTTAAGGTTTCTTAAGTTATTGATCGGAAAGCATTTTTACCTACAAGGTCAATGTGACCTTGCCCTTTAAACCCCTTAACCCAAAATCAATAGGGGTCATCTGCTGGTCATGACCAATCACCACACCAAAGTTTGAAGTTCCTAGGCCTAAGGGTTCTTTAGTTATTGATCGGAAACCGTTTTTACCTAAGAGGTCAATGTGACCTTGACCTTTGACCCCTTGACCCCAAAATCAATAGGGGTCATCTACTGATCATGACCAATCACCATCTCAAGTTTGAAGTCCCTAAGCCTACGGGTTCTTTCATTATTGATCGGAAACCGTTTTTACCTACAAGGTCAATGTGACCTTGACCTTTGACCCCTTAACGCCAAAATTAATAGGGGTCATCTGATTGGTCATAACCAATCACCATACCAAGTTTGAAGTTCCTAGGCCTAAGGGTTCTTTTGTTATTGATCAGAAACCGTTTTTACTTACAAGGTCAATGTGACCTTGACCTTTGACCCCAAAATCAATAGGGGTCATCTACTGATCATGACCAATCACCATACCAAGTTTGAAGTTCCTAGGCTTAAGGGTTCTTTAGTTATTGATCGGAAACCGTTTTTACCTACAAGGTCAATGTGACCTTGACCTTTGACCCCTTGACCCCAAAATCAATAGGGGTTATTTACTGATCATGACTAATCATCATACCAAGTTTGAAGTTCCTAGGCCTTAAGGTTCTTTAGTTATTGATCGGAAACCGTTTTTACCTACAAGGTCAATGGTGACCTTGACCTTTGACCCCTTGACCCAAAATCAATAGGGGTCATCTACTGATCATGACCAATCACCATACCAAGTTTGAAGTTCCTAGGCCTTAAGGTTCTTTTAGTTATTGATCGAAACCGTTTTTTACCTACAAGGTCAATGGTAACCTTGACCTTTGACCCCTTGACCCCAAAATCAATAGGGGTCATCTACTGATCATGACCAATCACCATACCAAGTTTGAAGTTCCTAGGCCTTAAGGTTCTTTAGTTATTGATCGGAAACCGTTTTTGCTTTAAAGGTCAATGTGACCTTGACCTTTGACCCCTTGACCCCAAAATCAATAGGGGTCATCTACTGGTCATGACCAATCACCATACCAAGTTTGAAGTTCCTAGGCCTTAAGGTTCTTTAGTTATTGATCGGAAACCGTTTTTGCTTTCAAGGTCAATGTGACCTTGACCTTTGACCCCTTGACCCCAAAATCAATAGGGGTCATCTACTGGTCATGACCAATCACCATACCAAGTTTGAAGTTCCTAGGCCTTAAGGTTCTTTAGTTATTGATCGGAAACCATTTTTGCTTTCAAGGTCAATGTGACCTTGGCCTTTGACCCCTTGACCCCAAAATCAATAGGGGTCATCTACTGGTCATGACCAATCACCATACCAAGTTTGAAGTTCCTAGGCCTAAGGGTTCTTTAGTTATCACTCGGAAACCATTTGGTCTACGGACCGACGGACCGACAAGTGCAAAGCAATATACCCCCTTTTCTTCGAAATGGGGGCATAATAAATTCTATGAATCATTTTAAGAAAACCCTACATGCTAAGGGATCATAAAAACACACTATAGGAATTCTTTAAACAAGACACTTAATTAACAAACAAAAAGCAACAGAAAATCATTTGAGGCTATGCTCTTCCTTTGTGTAATTGATACATGTCCAGATATACCTGTAAATGAAATGCATCAACAGAGTGGGTCTGTATGAAATTCTTTTTCCATTTTTATTCATAAAAAAAATGTTTAACTTGTATACAATTACAACATGTATTTATGTTCAATATTTGATACAAATTTAATACAAGTTCAGAATCATTTTGGATCCGTAATAAAGTTGACAATAGAAACAGTATCTGCAACAAAACAATATCAGACTGGTTATACTTACAAATAGCTTTTCTATTACGTCGCTGTAGAAGCAGTCTGTAACTACAGTATGCAGTCAGTCCTATAACAAGGGCAAGATAGGCTCCGGCACTACACACGGCTATAATTACTGTACGCATCATGTCAAAACCTTCCTCCTCCTGCGAATTTATCTTTGTATACTCTGACCCACCTGGAAATAAACAAAAATTACAATGGTCTTTGTAATATTCAAATATTTATTGTTCTTTTGATTCTGCAATTCAAATTATTGTACTTTAATTAAACTTAAAGAGGCGTGCTTAATAATTTTAGTGCAAGCATTTTACTTACATTTAAATCCTCTGAACCTTGCAAAACATCTACTAGTACCATGTCTGTCTGGACAGATATGTACATGACATTGATTTAATTCAGATGATATATAGTATTTCACCAGCAAATGCTAAAGTTTTAAATTTTACTCTGTAAATGATTATAGCTAGTAATTAAGAGGTCAGGTATTTCACTCTTGACGTAAATATTAATTATTATTGGCAATTAAAAGGCAATCTTTACTAAGTGCCCAAGTAAGCAACAATAAATGATAATTTAAATAATTTATTTTTCATTTATAAATATTGAGCCTATACTAAAGCAAAAACTTGACATTATTTTAATAGAGACACTTATGGTATCTCCACAATCTGAGTAACATATACAACACAAATTTCCTAAACTACATGACAATGTTTTTTATTAACCGGTATGTTTAACACATAAAATCATTATTTTCTTCAACTTTTTATAACTCTGTAGACTTGAGCATCCAATTGCCTATAGATGCTTTTCACATAGCAATAATTACCTCCCCTGGCCGCCAGTTTTACGGTCATACCCAATATATCATATGCTCAGATAAAAATCTCTAAAAATAGCGTAAATGAAAAACCGCACATATTGAATCATCAAGTATGCTTAACCTATGACGGTACAGGACAGAAACATGGCTACTTTCACATTATGTTGTTCTAAGTAGATTTAGATTTTTATTATAGTATAAAACATCAAGAGAAAACTAACTAACAGCCCTTTTTAATAATGATTGTCTAACATTTCCGGCACATGTCTGTCAGCTCTCAACATGTGGGACTACTTTTTATAAGTCTCATGCTAAGTGGGACTACTTTTTACTTCATAATAAATCTCATGCTAATGTAATTAAAGCTGCTGAGATATGTTAAGACACTGAGACATGGTGATCAGCTGGGATTTAGATAAATAACATTGTTACCCCCACCAAGAGCAATTGTTGTTTTGGGTTTTTTTTGCGAAAATCTCAAAAATGTGACATTTAAAGTGAGCAAGCTGTGAATTGTAAAATAAACTAATAGAAAACAAAGACAAAGCCTTTCACACAAGATTATGATAGTTAGATCATGAATGAAATTTGGTAAATTTCTGGCTTTAAAGTCCACTGAGGAGCAGTAAGGTGATCAACACCTTTACTACATGGAAAGTTGGCAAAATTACTAAACTTATGGAGGAAACAGTGGGCGATGAGCACACAGTATCAAATTTATGCAAAATAAATAATAAACATCTCTTGGTAGATAGTTCATATTGTTATTAAGGATTTTAATGCTGCAATACCTTTTGTACAGCCACAGACAGTCCACATATCATATTAAATTTCAAGACAGCACGATGACATGTTTAAATCATTTCATCTCAGTGTAACTGTTGCCAGATGTAAGCTAAGCTAGGAGCTAAACAACAGAAACTAAAAGTCACTAAATCAAGGCCCAAAGTTTTAATCAAGTCTTTTAAAGTATTTACTAACATTATCTTTCATTCATTTTGAAAGAGGCTTTAAAAAAGTATCATCATTCCATGCTTTAACAAGGTACTAGCTGTTTATGTGGTGAAAACCATGACAACACATGCCAATAGTATTCTCTAACTATAACTGGTAGTAATGCTTATTGCCAAATTCCCATTTAATTTGGAGTCTGATTATTTTAGACATTGAAAATAGTAAAGAAATGTCACAGATTCAATGTATTGATATGTTACGTTTTATATGTAGAAATTATCTTTAATAAAGTTTGTTACAAATATTTTATAATATTCACAACTTAGATTGTATCCGCTTTAAACTGGCTCCTCTGATGTTTTTCTACATAATGGGACTGGATATATTTTCCCCCGAGATTTATGTACCATTTTTATGAAGATCTGCATAGAACAGTTACTTGTGTGCCAATTTTCAGATCATTCACTCTTTCAGTTTTTCCAGAATTATCTTTTTTTCATGTGTGCAAAATGACCCAAAAAATGAAAAGCGTTGCAATGCTTTTCATTCAAGGTAGGTTCGAGAATCATGCCAGAAGTTGTCTTTCAATTTAAGTCTGAGCATATTTGAGCCGCGTCACGACAAAACCAACGTAATGCATTTGTGACCAGCATGGATCCAGACCTGCCTGCGCATCTGCGCAGTCTGATCAGGATCCATGCTGTTCGCAATCAGTTTCTCTACTTGTAATAGTGTTTGTAAGCGAACAGCATGGATCCATGCTGGTCGCAAACGTATTATGTTGGTTTTGTCGTGACGCGGCTCATTTCATTATTATTTTTCTTTGTAAATATTTCCATTTTAAGTCCTTCACTTTATATGAAGTATGTATAAATTTCAAGTTTTTTCGTTTTTAGACTTATTTGACCTTGGTGGAGCCCCATTAATAAATGGCGGCCTATCTCTTTCTAATAGTTAATTAAATGATTATGAAAAGGTGCTTCAAATTCAACATGAAAATTCTTATATCACATCAATATCATATGCGGAAATTTTATAAGGGAAAGCACGAGTTCGGCAAGCTCTAAAACAAGCTTTCCAAACGATGCTCTAAAATTATAGCAATTTTAAAAACTAAAAAGCATTTTTATATTATGAAAAACAACAACTCTATGCCATTTCAACATCTACCTCAGTTTCCAAAATGGACTCATCCCTATACTGTGATTGGAAGAGTCTAATTGGAAATAAAAGGTGGGTTGAGATGGTTAAAAACTACTACAATATTCCTTGAAACCATTCATGCTGTAAGTTGAAGCTGATTTGACATGCAGGTATGCCAATATTATTATCTAATGTTTCAAAGCAGAAGAAGGGAAATGAAGATGCAAAATGAGGTTCCATAGTACTATTTCTTCATAGAGAAACAACAGTATTGGAATGTAAAGAAAAAAATGATAGAAAAAAGTGTTTTTGGCACATCGGTCAGAAAGTCTACTTTCAGCAGACGCAAAATTATCACAAAATTTGACAGTCGTTTTTTAAATTGGCTTGAACACTCCATCACACTTTTACTATCAATGGCATAAAGTCGCATATTTATGTAACACATATCCAACTGTAATTAGCATGAATGGTTTGAGGAATGTTGTTGTTGTCAATGTAGTTGTTGTTGTTGTAGCGGCAGCAGACTTTTCTTTCCTTAAGATCTTGTAATAGTTTTTTAAATAATTCTCGTCTGAAAAGGAAAACACACATAGAAGGTACAAATACACAAAACAAGAACAAGACACATAATTATACAATGTGTAAACACAGAAAATCAGTAAATTCCTTCATATTAAAATTGTTAACCTGATACTCAACATGATAGTGTAATGAAAGTGACATTTTACCATAAAGAGATGTTCATGTTTGAAATTATTTTTTGTCCAATAGAATTGCAGTATTTCAAATGAATCATGACACATTTACTTTGGTATATCGGCTTACTATTAAATTGATCAGTCTAGTAAATCAACTGTTTATAAAACTAATTTCATTAATAAGCTTTCAACAAATTACACTGTTCAACTTTTTCAATTTTGCTTACTAATAAACACTAACCTATACTAAGTTAGTGCAACCAGAGGGCCACTCTAAAGAATTAGAGTGAATATTGCACCATTTATAAACCAACATTTATCTCAAACTATAAATAACTCCTTTCAATCTCAAAAGAACTTTAAATTTCCATATATCTTTATTTTTATCTGAAAAATAAGACCTTGTCATTAAGTTGCCAAATGACCGTTCAGCAGTTGGCAACAATGATTTATTTATGCCATCAGAATACAGCCAAGTCACCCCTGCTGTCTGAATAAAAACCTTTATTGCAAACTGCTAAATTTGAAATGTTTTGTTTTTTTAATACTGAAACCCCTTTAAATATCTTTAAACATTTCCAATTTTAATGCATAACAGGTCTATAACAAATATTGGATGACACAGGAGAAAAGTACACAATATGTTGATAGAATAACCATGATTGTAAGAGGGTTCAACAATGCTGACACAGGTATTCAGCACTTATGGCCAAATTATTGTAAATCCTTTTATGTCAGCGACAACCGTTTAACACCAAAGTGCTTCAAATATAAAATTAAAAGGAATTGAGAAAACCCCACAGAGAGACATGGGTTAATAAAACAATGCATTGTACATTACACACTTCAGGGTGAAAATTTAAAAAGGTTTAAATTGATTTGATATATATTATTTGTATATACTTACTAGCAACAAAGACATAAGCTGTTGTGTATATGGACCCAGCACTATTGTTTGCTGTACAACCATACATTCCCTGGTCCTCCATGTAAACCTTTGATATTGATATGCTTCCATTCGGGTAAAACTATCAAACATAAAAATAAATGTTACATATTTGCTTCCATTCAAGTAATACTGTCTAACATAAAAATAAACATAATATAAACCACCACAAACAGTACATGACTTTTTTAACTATTAGACTCCAAGTGGCAACCGATTCTTCTACCCATGCAACCAGTGCAGACCAAGATCAGTCGGCACATCTGTTCTGTTCCATCTGATTATGACTTTGGCTATTCAGTCAGAGCGTATTTTGAGAGTTTACCTAAAATTGTGAATGGTTAAGTTCACATTGAAAACTGGACAAGTCTATCCACTATATTGTGTGTGGTAAGGATTAATGATAGTTTTTATTGCATTTGATAAATGGTAAATTCTCAATCACATTTAAACAAATATCATCATTTTTTAAGACTTTTGATTGTTATCAAAGCATAAAAATAAAACATTGATTATTTTGTTCTTATTTTCTCAAGAAAATAAGGAATATCCTAGAATGTAAATTATCTCGTATATTACAAGAGTTAAAGAATTGTATAGTTGTACACACTGTGTATCTGCTAGAATCGGGGATATCTCTGATGCCGTTCTTGTCCCAGATTATGGATGGTCGAGGGTCTCCCGTGGCAAAACAATGTAACATAAGAGAGCGCTCTTCGTATGCTGTTGTATTCAATGGTCGTATCTGGAACTTTGGTCTCTCTGAAAAATTTGTTGCTTTTTTATTAAAATTATTCTACAAATGAATTCCTTATTGTAGTTTTTCATATGAGCCACGTCACGACAAAACCAACATAATGGGTTTGCGACCGGCATGGATCCAGTCCAGCCTGCGCATCCGCGCAGTCTGATCAGGATCCATGCTGTTCACTTACAGACCCTATAACAAGTAGAGAAACTGATAGCAAACAGCATGGATCCTGATCAGACTGCGTGGATGCGCAGGCTGGTCTGGATCCATGCTGGTCGCAAACGCACAATGTTGGTTTTGTTGTGACGCGGCTCAATTATATTTATATTATGCTTATTAACAAGTGAGATATATCATATATCAATATCGTTCATTGTTAACAGCCAAGAAAAATCGATCTACCATAATTATTGTATCATTACGGTGAAATGGTTTTATGATGTCTAACATTGTCTTCACATCAAAAACTTACCAACAACATATATAAAGATGGTCTTATTGATGTACTCATGAGTCATTCCTTTCGTTACCATGGCGACACATGTATAGGGTCCGGAATCACTCCTCTGTACACCACGGAAATAAAGAACACCGTCAGCATCAATAATGTGTTTCCTAAACTGATTTTTACTGTCCACCCACTGTCCAGACAACATCCCTTTAATCCACTTGACCTTGGGTTGAACCTCAGCGTCTGCTTTACAAGCCACCTCTGCGTCAGAGTCCAACTCTAGGTATCTACTTTGAGGTTCTTCACTGAACTTAAGCTTTCCTGAAATGGATAAAAACAGATAATGAAAATAGTGCAAATAGATTTTCACAATTGCTTTCAGCCTCTGAGCTTTAACTGAACAGCAATAAATGGTCAAGATAACAGTATAAGATCAAGCTTGACTGCACGTCCTTGCAACCTTACTAGACTCTAAAGTGATGGCTTATACAGAGATCAAAAATTCCACCCGTCCTCTCATTATTACAAGTAGAATTTAAAAGAACAGTATGCAGGCAGAGTCTGCACATTGGATTTAGAAGCTACTCATCCTGTAATACGAGTGACTGAAAATATTTTTCGAGTGCCTGTTATAAAGATAAGAATTTCCATTCTTTAACCCCTTAGCCTTTAACAGGATGAACTTGTGAGAAAGTTTTGGAATAGTCTGTAAGTAGTTGACGAGATTTCAATAGCAAAATATTAAAATAGAACAATGAAAGCATAAGGCTCATTAATACTGTTTTGATATGATGGCTAAATTGCTAAATAACATGTATAACTGCTGCTTCTGCACGGAGACAGTACAATGGAGAGCACAACAAGATTCAAGGGGGTTAACTCATCCTTAACTTAACTTGTAAATACAGTCTCAGTATTTTACCTTGCACTCTAGAATGCCTTAATGTAAAATACAAACACCTGTTTAGTGCAAATTAAATCCATGTCTGACATACATCAACAAAAGATATGCTTTTCCATTACGCTCATTTCAAAACACATAAATCATACGAACAGAGACCTGATAACATTTCTTTCCGGTTCTCTTTTTAAGCCAGTTTTAATTTAATGTTTATCAACATCAGAGAAAAAGATACATCAACTAAACAGGACTTATGACTTACATTCTGCTCACAAAGATATGAAACTATACTATCTGGAGTCTCTATGACAAAGTGGTTAAGATTATGGAGATGGAATCACTTATCCCTCATTGAGTTTTGACTTCGATTCCTCCTACCTCCTAACATGGTGAATTCCTCATGTGAAGCTTAAAACAAGCTACAGTATAACCTCTCAAAAACAAGCTACAGTATAACCTCTCAAAAACAAGCTTCAGTATAACCTCTCAAAAACAAGCTACAGTATAACCTCTCAAAAACAAGCTACAGTATAACCTCTCAAAAACAAGCTACAGTATAACCTCTCAAAAACAAGCTACAGATAACCTCTCAAAAACAAACTACAGATAACCTCTTAAAAACAAGCTACAGTATAACCTCTCAAAAACAAGATACAGTATAACCTCTCAAAAACAAGCTACAGTATAACCTTTCAAAAACAAGCTACAGATAACCTCTCAAAATCAAGCTACAGTTTAACCTCTCAAAGAACAAGCTACAGTATAACCTCACAAAAACAAGCTACAGTATAAACTCTCAAAAACAAGCTACAGTAAAACCTCTCTAGAGTGACCCTCTGTAGAGCAATTACCTCTTTGTAACAATAATTACAGTTCTGACCAAGATAAAACTTCACAAAATATATTTAACCTCTTTCGATTGACATTTCTTAACAATGACCAAAATCTTGGTCTACCAAAGGGTATTGTTCTGAAGAGGTTATACTGTAGTTAGTAGATGAAGTGCCTTCTTCAGCCTAAGTATCATATATTCTCAGATGGTGGAGGGAAGGGGCATCTTTGGTCATTTACCACCAGAAATATCACTACCGGGTATATGAAATTAAAACTATTGTGTCAAAGTAATAAAAAAATCAGAAAAAAAAAAACAAATAAAATTGACTCACTTTTCACCCTCAGTCTTGCAGGAAGTGACTGCACCAGTTTCTGGCCGGTTGTATTAACTATACAATAATATTCTCCCCTGTCATCTTCTGTTACCATGGAAATACGAAGTTCCCCTGTCTTCAAGTTCATGTAATGCCTTGATGATCCCTAAAGCAATAGAAACAACTGATTACAAACTTGCTGAATAACAGATTTACCCTGCTTTGAATTAGAATTCCTCTGTTTAAAATTGAAGGAATTTTAAAAATAATATTATATTAATATTGATTATATAGTGATATGGGTCTTTTTTCACTACAGTTCTAATGGTTAACTTAGGCAGATTACAATGATGTCAAAGTACCATAATTTACACGTAGCTTGTACATATAATAGTTTCTCACAAGGAAAGAAAAACAACTGAAATATTTCTTTTTTAAAATACAAGTATATGGCCATAACACATATTTCCCATATGATTTTTTTCTTCATACTTTTATTTCTTGTTTTTTGTCTTTTAGTATTATATACTCATTTTTCTCCCATGTAAAAAAAATAGGTCAGGGTTAAAAAAAAACCTGGTCTACACAATTACATATCAACTTCCACTCATGTATCAAAGGATGCAAATGAAATTTAGTCAGACAAAGTGTCTTCCATCAAATAACTGTTACTCATTAAAATAAAGCTGTTTTATTTCTATCAATAGTAGTAATAAATCAGAAATTTTAAAAATGAAAAGAAAATAAAAAGATGCTGACATTTTTTTTCCCCGTGCTATCATTAAATTGTGATAATCTGCTTAAAATGCAAAAAAGATGGATCACTTCCTGTGAAATCTTTAAATTCCTTTTAATTCTTATCTTTCATGTTGCACATCAAAACAATATTAATTTGTGTACATTAATAAGGGTGTATGTCTCTAATTAAAATTCTATTTCTCGCCGACGTATTTAGTAGACTAATGTGCCGTCTGCAGTCAGTCGCCATTAATAAAAACAAGCTTTCTAATGAAAAAGATTAATATAAGCGTGCTACATAAAAATAAATATTGTAATCATATAATATAGAAGAGGTTCATTACGAAACGAGAAATAATCATTTCTGAGAGAAATAGCTCCGAGGTCTCATTTGTTCTCCTTACTGTAATCACATGATGACGGGACTCGAAACATTAGTCAAGAATCCCACATACGTTTTACTGTCTGAGTGGATTAATACAGATTTACTAAAATCGTTGTGTATCTTCTACAATAACACCCATATAAATATCTTCTTTCATATAAAAAGTATATTTCCTCATTCCTTGAAATAACATAATCTGTAAAATAGTCCACCACAATCTCCAGTTAGATCATAGAAGATTTTAGATGTAAGAACATATCAAAGAGAAGTCGAATTTTTTGCTGTTGCGTTTAATCAGTGTAACAATAAACAATTTAATAAAAAAAGTAATTATACAATCGTACATCTAGCCATTTAACCTCCGGGACTACTTTATTGCTATGATACAGGCCTAAGAACGTGGACTGTTATATCTACCGTAATCTGGTTAATGGTCCCTCAATGATACCAGACGAGCATTGTGACGGAGATTTATGCATGTTGGAAATCCTAATGATTTTAGCAGCCTTACAAAGTAAATGAAAGCCAGGTAGTATAAAGATACTGCCTTACAAAAGCTCTCTGTCATATTCTACCATCCAATAGTCTAAAAAGTACATATATTTCATAGAAACTCATATCACCCTTATCTTGCCAACATTGTAAAATGTATTTGCCCTGATTTGAATTTGGAACAGTCCATTTGAAGTTTAAGGGATTTCAATATCAACTAACAAAAATTGAGCTACCAACAGTATAGAGCCTCAGGTCAGACTGCTCTAAGTCTCCAGCAGGTTAAGGGTTAAACAAGACTTTGAAAGTGTAACAAACAGAGTCTGACGGTGGCATATATTTTATATAACAATTCTATGACAAGTTTGATGCAAGTCTATATGAAATGAAAATAATATTATAAAGGCAGAAAACTCCAAAAATGGCGGACACACTACTTTTAAATAAAACTCGTTTAATAAAAAGATATGAAATTGTTATAATATACATTCTAATAACTGTCATGGGAGTAGTGTGCTAAGCTTTTTTTAGAGCTGGATTAGCATTGTATGTACAAAAGTTCCTAAAGAAAAACTCGACCAAAAAAAGGACCTTAAGCAATGCTGCTGCCACAGAGTAAAATGTCATATTATGAAGCATTATCAAAACTCAATACACTTCTACACTACCAAATTTGTTCAATGGACTTGTCATTTGAATAATGGAACTGTCCAATTTGAACAGGAGGGGTTTCAATATCAAAAAGGGCCTTCTTTGAATAATGGAACTGTCCAATTTTAACAGGAGGGGTTTCAATATCAAAGAGCTTAAAAAAAAAGGTATAGTGTCAAATCAGACTGCTCGAATAATTTTTTCAAAAACAAATTTTATTTCCCAAAGAACATCTTGTATAATTATCTTTGGATAGCACTGTAAACATTACAAAAAAAATTGCCTTTACCCAACACAGGTTAAAAGAAGTTTGGTTACAGTTTTCAATGCTACATTAACCTTACAAAAACTACTACACAAAACCAAAAAAAACTCTTACTTTTCTCCCAATGTTATCTTACAGGAAAAAAACATGACTTAAACATAATGAGTATTAATGTTTTTTGGTTTTCCTGACATTTTGGTAATCAGTTTTTCAAACTGGTAGCTGTGAGGCAGTGTGAGACTTTATGAGATGATTAATTAATTATCACATTTTTTTCTTAAATAAGTTGACAATGTGACTTACTGTAATAAATATCTGAACTTATACTAATGTTACACTTGCAATGAAATAAAATATTAATATTTCATTATGATATACTATGCTGATGATGATATATGTGATATATAGAGGATATTCAAGTTTTTTCTATAAATACATGATTTATTTTCATCGAGTGGTATGAAAATAAATATTTCATGAGTGGCGGTAGCCACGAGTGAAATATGGTAATTTTCATGCCACAAGATGAAAATACATCATGTATTTATGGAAAAAACTTGAATTTTCTGTTTATTATATACATTTTTCTCATTTTTGACATTAAAATTTGAAAGCCTTTCCCTTAAATTTTGTGTACTGGCAGAATTTAAAAGAAAGTAGTCCGGCAAGACACCAGTGAAAATACGGAAAATATGTTTCACTGCAGTGAAAAATAAATTTTTTTCAGTGAAAATACGGAAACTGAAAATACACATTTTATTTCATCAATATTACTCAATATTTCATTTATAAGTATATAATAAATAGCAATATACACTGATATATTATTATTATTATTATTATTATTATTATTATTATTATAATTATAAGGTATAAAGATTTTTGACAGTTTATATGGTTTTATATAAATAGTTGTTTTCGTGATTATATAACCTGAACATCAAATAAGGTTATAAATTGCAAACAACCATTTATATTATTAGTTATAAAGATTTTAGATTTTTTGACAGGTTATATGGCCCTACATGAACAGTTCATTGTTTGTATATATATATATATATATGGCTTAGATTATATTGCAATAACAATTCATATATGGTCATATAACCTCTCAAGAATCTTTATAACAAGTTTATAACACTTCAAAGTTTCTTATTTGACAAAAAATGAAATTATTTCATATATTGACATCAGCCATGAATATAATTCATATAAGCATCATAATTATCCAATGAAAAACCACTTTACAAATGTGCAGTATTATAAACATCCATATAATTTATTAAGACATCCATATAATTTATTAAGAATCTTTATATCAAATCTATATTTAATTTTTTCAGTTTCTTTCCTAAATACAACAAACTATAATATTATATAAATTAGTTAAATTAATTTAATCGTTGGAATGTTAGTTACAAAAAGGAATTTGCTTATGCCAGGACAACCTGAATAAATACAGATGCAGTCTGATAAAAAATCTTTTGGCAGTTAAATTTTAGGAATTTTATATGAAAACATTTTATATTAACAATAAACAGTTCCAATTTCATGACAATACCATTATACAAACTATAAATAGAATGATATTGTTAATTAAGAGAGATTCAAAGTTGATGAAATAACTTTCAAGTCTTGTTTCTTGGGCAAGCCAAAACTGATGAAACATGATCGTGACCCCAGTGGTGCTTGAATCTAAAATATCTGGGTGGTTTGGCATAGACCTTTACACTACCAGGTCACCTCTCCCATTTTCAAGACCAAACATTTGCCAAGTTCATACTTTTGTTTAAAGTCATACTGACCTCACACAGGAAATTTAGGCACAAGATAGTTAATTAATGTAAACATAAATGACATATCTAAGATAACTTTGATTATTTTTTTTAGATGTTAAATTTTGTTTCTCAACTTTCCTAACTAATGAATTCTTGCATCAAAACTTCCGTTTTTCTCCTACCAACCTTTCTGAGGCTATCTTCATTCTCCTGGCCATGAAAGAGAATTTTTTAGCAAGTGAATATATTTACTGTTATCTATTTTTCTATGTGCCACCTAAGTATAAATTTGTTGGCATTGCCAAACAGACTTCTAACATTTGACTCCTTTTTGTATTTATAGCACATATCATTATTCCATGAAATAAACTCTTGCTGGCATTAGAACAATTGTGAGTGGTTTTCATACCAGTCTGTAAAATTGTGTCATATAAATGAATTTGATACTTACAACTTGTCACTTTAGTGCAGTAATAGGTTAACTCCTTATATAATTTAAATAAGAGTTAACCTATTATTGCACTATGGTGATGAACTATGTTAACAATTTCAAGCTTGAAAAGTATTGCATGACAATGTTAAAGATATAAATTACCACTTTGATGTATTGGTTATCTTTCTGCCATAAGATGGTTGTAACTGGGTAAGGCGTGCCCGAGATTTGACAAGTGAACTCCACATCCTGACCCTCGGATATTTCAGTGGACTGCGGTCCTCGGCGTATAGTTGGTGGCACTGAAAAATGAATGAAACAACATTAATTTTGTAATCTTTAAAAAAAGATAAAATAATCATTCATAATGTAATGAAATTTTATTTCTAATATTAGAATCCCTTCAAACTGTAGGACATGTGCACTTCAAAGACATCTGAATGTAGGAAAGGTAATAACTTTGTTATATTAACACTCTCTTGGATATATTAAAATAGGCAATGGCAGTCAAAAGTACTACATATTCAAAATCTGGAGGTCCTATTTTCATTTTAGTTTGAGTCCTAACAAGGACACAGCTAATTTTCCTTGAGCAAGAAATATTGCTTCACCCCAGCAAAGAATAAATGAGTACACCAGGAGCCGAGACCATAGGCTCAGGTATCTGATTGTCAATAATCAGCTTAAAATGTACATTGACCAATGAAAATCCTAAGATTTGAGACAGAACTCAGAAACAAAATTAAATCCTTGATGTCAGGACTGCTATTAGTAGAGTGAAAGATGCCTGTGGGAGACAAATATATGGATAACAATAGTTGAATTGGCAAACATGCAAATGGAGTAAAATTTGATACTGTAAACTGCCTTTTCAAAAAGATTGCATGACTCTCAAGCCCTTTCTCTGTAAATTCCTTTAGATTTCATGTACCGATAATGACAACAACTAAAAATTCTAGAAGACCAAGCCCTCTATACTGATAATAGAGGGAATAATTTCCAATTAGTCTAGGAGTCTGTTCTCAATATGCCCAGTAGATAAGGGTACACAAATCTCTGGCTAGTGTTTGTCAACACTTACACCATGATATATCCCAACCATCTCACTACTGTTCTAATATACCAGTATATACCAGAAATGGATTATTTGATAACAGTGTCAGAAATATATCATCACAGGGGTGTTGTTTTTTTCCCCTGAACAGCAGCTTTTTAAATTCACTGCAGTGAAAACACTAGGGTGTATTATGTAGACAAGCAAATTCCACAGAGTTATGATTCCAAGACTTGTAAGAATATATGGTAAAATTGGTAAATTAATCGAGACTTGTTGAAGATTGATTAAGATTTTATTGAACTACCAGTGACTTAGATTTTACATGAGAGAACGGAAACGTGAAGGTCAAGGTCATTCTTCAGAGCTACTGTATAAATGATAAACTAAATTGCTTCGGGTTGGGCAACCAAAATGTGTATTCCATATATATTGATGGGTGGGCATGTAAAATCTAAGTCACTGGTAGTTCAATAAAATCTTAATCAATCTTCAACAAGTCTCGATTAATTTACCAATTTTATTGAACTACCACGTGACCAGATTTTCCATGAGATTTCAGAGCTAAGCAATAGTAGTTTATCATCTATTATTAAACAAAAACAGTAAATATATAGTTTCCTATTTGTATTCAGACAATTGTAATTGAATAAAATTCACAACTTGTAAACATCTTTTCTATATATTTACTCTAGTATATTTACATCATTCAATACATTTCTCAAAAATAAGGGAGACAAATGCTATACATAAAACTAATTTAGAACATGTTGATTAACTCCCTTGAATGTGTAAAATTCCATTTTGTAATAACGCATACAATAAACAATTCATAATGTAACCACCATTATTTCAAATGTTTGTACCATCTAAAATTACGTCTGAAAAAGATTGTTCAACAGTTTTGTTATAGTATAGAGCAAACGTTTTTGCTGAACTCCATCCAGCTGCCTTCATTATAGAGTCTATTTGAACACCTCTATTTGCAGCAGCTGATGTTGATGCTGCACGACAACTATGAACACCGAATTTGTTCACATCAATGCCAGACTGTTGCATTAATTGCTTTATCCATCTAGCAACTGTAGTTTTAGTCACTGCCTTAAAGGGTTTTACAGTTGAAATAAACAATTTGAGTTCAGTCCCTCTAAGTTTAGATGTAATTATAATGTAGGTTTCCAATGTATTCACTAAACATAATTTTGGATCATTGAAATATCTACGAATTTGCATTGGTTTCACATGTAACCCAGGTTTAGACTGTTTCACTAATTCTGATACGTGACAAACTACTTGTTCTTTACAAATCTGTAAATCAGACAATTTTACTAAATGAATTGTTTGACATCTTTGTCCGGTTAACAACATAAACAAAGTTGACAATTTTTGAGACAGTTGTAATAAACTCAGTTCATTATTGTTAGGAAGACTAGAAATATATTGCAACACTTTATTTACATCCCAAATATTGTCATATTTAGGCAAAGTTGGTCTGATTGAGAATAACCCTCTCATAAACTTTTTAATCAGAATGTCATTACCAATATCTTTATCATTTATCAATTTGCATGTAGATGAAATAGCAGATTTCGCTGTATTGATAGCACTATAGCCTAACCCACTTTCATATAATTCAGTTAAAAATTCTAAAACTGTCACTGTAGATGGGTTAAGTGAATCAATTTGTTTTGAACTTGAAAAAAGCAGCCATTTTCTGAAATAAGACCCATACTGCTTTGTTGTTGATGTTTTCCATGATTGTAAAATAATTTCGATAGTTTTTTCTGATAGGCCTCTGTTTTGGAGCTGTTCCCTGATAAGACAAAGGCTCCCAGTCGCATCTTCTGAACAGGATGTTGCTTGTGTGGATTTTTTGGCAGAATTAACGTTTGTTGTTTTGGTAGAATGTACGACTGGGCACAAATCTGTTGTAATAATTGACTGAACCACACCTGTGTTGGCCATAATGGAGCAATCAATACCGCTGAATTCACTCTGTCGAGGATTATTTTCTGAAGACAGTGACTGATCAAACTGAAAGGAGGAAACAAATAAATTTTTTCATTCCATGACAATGTAAATGCATCAACAGCGAATGCTTTAGCATCAGGTTGATAAGATACATATTTTGATATTTGGTGATTCAAATGCGAAGCAAATAAATCTATGTCAAATGTTCCCACTTTCTGTTCTAACATTTTAAAATATGTCGGATTTAACTGCCATTCTATATCTTCATTAACTTGTCTAGATAATCTATCTGCTTCATAGTTATCTTTCCCTGGAATATGAGCGGCACTTAACCAGATATTCCTTTGTTTGCACCACCACCAAATTTCTTTAGCTACTTTATGCAAATTTAAGGATTTCCCCCCAAATTTGTTTATATAAGCAATTGCAACTGTATTATCCATATATATCCTCAAATGTTCATTCTTAACATCCGCAGCCAACGATTGTATAGTAAACATTGCTGCTTTAAGTTCTAAAATATTAATATGTTCCTCTTTTTCAAATTCATCCCATAATCCCCGAGTATTTGTATTGTTTGTTTTATTAACTCCACCCCAACCTGTTTTGCTTGAATCACTGAATAAAATGACACCAGGGGCATTTCTTATAATAGGTTTTTTCGCTAATGGTAGAAATTGTATCCATTTGTATAAAATGTCTTTACTTTCATTTGTTAATGTTATCATTTGGTCAAATTTACCCTTGAAAACACCAAGTTTCTCATCTTTTTCATGTTCTAAATCTTTATAAAATAATGGAGCATAATCTACCCCTGGTTCACTAGCCACCATCTTCCCAATAACTTTAGAAAATTCACGAATAGTAATATGTTGCTGAGTAAGTACTTTTTGACATAACTCGATTAAATTTGAAATTCGTTCTGGTGTCATTTTTACTGTCATATTTTCTGAATTCAAAATGAATCCTAAAAACACAATTATTTGAGATGGTTTAAACACAGATTTTTCAGGGTGTATTGTAAAGCCCAAGTTATCCATAATATTAATAGTTTCTAAAACATTCTGTTCACAGGAATGGTATGTTTTAGCTTTTAACAAACTATCATCAATATAAGGTATGTTAGAATACCCTTTCTTTCTAAGAAATGCATAAACTGGTTTTAGCAATTTAGTGAATACCCGAGGGCTACACGCTAGTCCTTGTGGCAAAGTTATAAAATGATAATGTTTGTTCTGCCAAATAAATCTAAGGTATTTTCTATGTTCAACATGAATAGGAACACTAAAATATGCATCCTTTAAGTCAATAGACGCAAAATAATCCCTGGGTTGAATATTAGCTATTGCCGATTTTAGAGTTTCCATTTTAAAATGGCACTTTGTAACATGATCATTGAAAGCTTTTAAGTTCAAAATAATTCGCACACTACCATCTTTCTTAGGTCTCATGAATATGTTAGAATAGTACTGACCACATTCGTCCGAACTAACCTCTTCAATAATTTTCTTATCTAAAAATTTTTGAATTTCAACATCCACAAGATTTTTCTCAATGTTATTCAATTTAATTGCTTTTGGTACAAAAAACTGGGTTGGCTTAGAATCTAAATCTATTCTAAAACCAGAAACCGTGTTTAATATCCAAGGATCAGTAGACAATTTTGTCCAATTTTTTGCAAATTTTGAAATTTTTCCTCCATAAAAATTCTCGGGAGTATTCATAACTCGAAAATTTTTACTTACAGTTATTTCTTCCTGTAATATGCCCCTCTTTGGGCCTGGAATTTTCCTCGATGGGCATTTCTCCCCCATGATGGGTTGTAATTGCCTTGATTCGACTGTTGCGGTGGTTGAAATTGATTCCCTTTCGGGAATCGTTGGCCTAAAAAAGGCTTCGATTTATTTGTTGTGACACTATTCTGGTGGCCACCTAATTTCTGTGCACGCTTTTCTTCCTTCTCACAATTTTCCACCTTTAAGTCTAAGTCATTACCAAAGAGAAATTCTGTGGTTTTTTCTTCCCCTTCACACACCTTGCGATACTTTGTTGGTATTGCTGGTCTTATAAGAGCCCTACGCTTTCGATTAGCCACATTAATGCCTTGAGCCAATAATCTAAACGTATCTTTGGTCAACTCTTTTACTTTCTTAATGTCCCCTTTTTCCATTAGCAGTTCAAGAGATTTAATTACTGGTACAATTGCTAAACTCAAATAGCTCTGTGTTGATTGCAATGCCAAGTCAGATGCTCGTTTTAACTTAAATGCAGTCCATAATTCCCTGTTAACTTTGGGAACTCTCAAGTTTTGGCAGTTTTCCGGGATTAGGTATTTTTCTCTTAATTTTTTGTCTTCTTCTTCTGGCAACGCACTGTCGATAGCGTTGCAAACAAGTTTCCCTAATGTCTCATTTACGTTAGGCCCAAACTGCGTTTTAGTTTCATAGTCATTCATTAAGTCTGCCAAAAATTCATTGTCAACGTTGTCACCACTCGTTACCGTACTTTCGGTTTCACTTAACAATTCGTCTAATCCATCGTGATTTATTGTAGCAGGGGTGCTTTCCGTTGCAGTCATAATCGACTGTTGGCCATTTCTTTCTTTTTGCATATTTTGTTGCATTTTTGCAACGTTCAGCACTATATTTGCTAAGATTTCCGTCTGCGCTTCTTCCCGTTTCCGGAAAGATTCTTCCATTGAGGAAATCCTTCCCCACAATCCACTGCTGTCTGCGCATGCCGCCATGTGCTCCGAGCCTCGTTCTGGAATTTCTCCAGCATCTCGTTCTAGCGACTGGGGATTTCCCCCATTGTTTACCATTTCGGGTGAAACACATTGTTCATTATTTAATTGCGTTTCGCAATAAATATTTACTGAGCTAAAATTCATCCAGATTTCCCGAGGTCTCACTGGCTTTCCCAGCTTTGACTCGCGCTTATTCTTGCACCCATTTAATCGTTCTTAATTGAGCCGACAATTTGTTCATTTCGGGCATTTCGGCCATGCACAATTTTTCGTCGAATTTGTAAATTACAAAATCCAATTGAATCCGTTACTTTTATTGATTGATCAGTGTCTTTTTGAAACAAAAAAGTGTCAAATTAAAATTTCACTCCTGATGTTAATTATTTTATTCCCAAATTAACAACTTTCCGCGTTTAATATTTATCGATTTTTTCACAGTATTATATCTAAAGAACGACCCTTTCCTAGTAATTTTTCCGTAATGACCTTGACCTTCACGTTTCCGTTCTCTCATGGAAAATCTGGTCACGTGGTAGTTCAATAAAATTATGATATCAAATCACACAGGGAGTAGACTGTTATATGGGCTTTTATTGGAGACAGATCATAAAATGGTAACATGATATGATTCTTGACTAGAACAAAACATAAATGTTCCAGACCTGAATGAAATATAAGGTCTCATAAATATACATTTATTCGTCTGTCACAAAATTATACAGGATTTAAAAGCCAGAAATCACTTGAAATGATAATATTTTACATTTTCTACCACTACCCTTAGCAATTCAATAGAAAATCTAAATTTAGATTATGTATTCTATAGAGATCTACTTTTCGCGGACTGTAAAATTTCACCAATTTGAAAAATCTTAATAAAACCTGCTTGAAAATGTTCAAAATCCCTACTTTTTCAACATTCCTTTGGACATACCTACTACAAATTTTAAACATTGAAATAAAATCTTCAGTTTCCAGCAAGAAGTGCAGTATTTTGTAGATTTGCTTTCAAGCATTTACTGTTATTCAGATTTTACTGTACTTCTGAATTATCTGATCGTAACAAATGCATTTTAGAGTCAATCTTCATACAATTTCCTGTCTTGCAGATAAAGTTACACCAAAATAAAACCTATTTATTTACCCATTCTTTAGAGTAGAAGCTTTTAAAATATACATTAAAGAAGAGTATAAAATGTGAAGGATAAAACGAGGAATTTCTGGTGATTGTTTCCGACAATTTTCAAAAATAAAGTCTGACAGTCATTCTTTTCTTAAATGACTGTTTATTAGCAGATAATAATGTATCTATTAACGGTAAATGGAAGCATAATGTATATTTTAATATAATATGTCTTGTCATTTAACATGCCTGATTATTTTACCCTTAAAACTTATGCCTTTTCGCATTTTTAATATCCAAGAATAAAGAACTTTGTACATAAATGTTAAGAACTTTGTACATTACTGTTCACTGGAAAGCCATGGATACAGGATGGATTCAATTAATGTATATAAAATCATCACTTACATTGTACATTTTTTAACTGGAATATTTTGCCTTCCAATTTCAAAATACTCTACCAAAAACCTGATTTAACTGAGTGTGAGTATAGTCTTTGACAGAATAGCCTGCACATCCATGCAGTCTGGCCCAGCACTATGCTGTTGGTAGCTTAATTTGTTTTTTATTATTATCCCTAAATTTTGAAGTGGACTGTTCCAAATTCATACGCAGGCATTACACAAATTTAGCAGATTAAGGGTAGTTAATTGTACTTCTCGATTGCTCATTGATCTGGTAAATATTCTGCAAATTTATCTATCACAGCATAATGGGTTAAGACCTTTTTTATCACCAAGTATCAATAAAATTGGAAACATACAAATTAATTTTATTTTGATATCAAATAATATACATTTTGTGAATGCTAGCAACGATGGATGGATAGTGCTGGCCTACGTATGTACAACGTGACAAAATATCTTTATATTGTCAGAGATATGATTTAGATATCCCTTTTACAATCAATGGACAGGTCCAGTTGAAAGTAGGGAAAGTTCATTACACATATCTAAAGAGTTAAAGGTTTCTCTTCAACAAAAATATGAGAAAACAAAACTTCTACTTTATAATACATCAAATGTGATATCATCATTATTTACTATCATTTTAATGTAAATTTTACTTTCATTAACATTTATCAAACTGTATTTTTGTTCCCAGAGTTCAAGACACTGTGCATTACTTAAAATTATATAATTAATTATGTCCCCCACTTAAGGTCATCATCTCCATCCACAAATTTGTTATAAAAAGCAAAAAAAAAAATTAATTCATAAAACAAAGGTTTCATATTAAACACTTTTAAAAAAACATAATCGTTAATGAACCAAATTGTCGAGAACACCCAAAGTTTATTATCAAAACTTTCAGTTTTTTACCTATCATAACGTATACCTCTACGTAAATCTATTTTCTTTCGTTTTATCATAAAATACATCGCAAATGAAAATTAAATCTTACGAATTAGCATAGCGTATAACAGTTTTATGAATCTCTGACGGATTTAATGTCACAAAAACTTGTAACTGACACATTTCGGTAGTTTTTCGTTGTTTTTACTTGTTGAGAAAACGTTCTCAAATATTTTGACAGGTAACACAAGAAACAGTTATTATATCGTTCCTCGGTTACTCTATCACACCTGTCAATCACCGATGCTACGTCTATCTACGGAATGATATAATATCTGATAATTTTGCATCAAGTTTCTGCTTGTTCTATTTTATTTATTAGCACGTGCCAACAGTGCCTCTTGCATTGCCGTCTGCAAGTTCTACCAGACACTGGTTTATCATGCTACAACATTAAATTGACCCCTGACCTCGCGAGTATCGTGAAACCTCATAAAATTGCTGATAACTTACTAATGTTTCATTTCCCCTTTGTATAATAATTTGTTTTTATTTCACTTACCGCCTAGCATATTTTATTACTAAAATATTTTTAAACTGGGCATGAAAATCGTTTCTTTAATACTTACTGCAGTTTAAATCTGAACATTTTCAGACTTTATGAGGATTTTTATAGATTAAATGCATTACTTTAAGTGTAATATATTATATAACTTAAAACCATTCCTTACAGTGAATTATTTAACAATAAATATGAAGTATTTTTAACAAATTCACAGTTGGAATTATCAAATAAAATTTTAACAGGCACAAAAGTTAAATCCCAGTGCACTACGTGACAGATAAAAATGTTTTAATTTTTACATTAGAGATGGGGATGCAATAAAAAGCTAAACTTTAAACTATAAAAACTTTTATTCCATCTTGTGATTATTCAAAAAATCAAAAAATACCAAGAAAGAATCATGAAATATATATTCCAGATTTTTTAACAGTTAATTTTTTAAAATCAATTCTTGGCTCCCACAACTTATATTTAAATAATTTGTTTTTACCAGTTACCGATATATCACTTTTGTAGTGATTCCTGTGAATGAAAGATGTTGTTTAACCTTTTCCCTTATATAAGCGTGTTTCGACGGCTTTTTTACCCCCCCCCCCCTTTTGAGGCCTCAAACATTGAAAAAATGCCCTATTCAGGCCCCAAACACTGTTTTTCGTTTGAGAAATGTTGTTAAAAAAATTGACCATTTTTTCGGCGCCGTCCCCCATCCAAATATTACATCAGGGGGTTGCCAGAAGGGGGATGTGCCCCCTTCTGTTTGGGGGGTTTGAAGGGGGGCGGAGTCCCCCTCATCGCCAAGAAAATTTTGGACTTGTGAGAGGCTTTAAATGACCCCAGGTCGATCATACGATAACGTGTAACCAACGCTGAAAAGCCTTTGACTCTATCTCAATCCCTTAAGAAGTTGCAGCACTTTGAAATAAATTTTGATGGAAAAAATCGAGGCAAAAAAGTGATTTTTGGCAATTTTGAGATGTCCCCTCGTTGCCATGGTAACAGGAAATTTAAGACTGAGCATGTCGTTACAAAGGCAATGGTCCAGTCAACATTTGTGCCAAGTTTGATTAGTATTGAAGCATTTTTCATAGTTTCATAGCAGTTTGAACTTGTGAGAGGAGGCTTTTCAGTGAAAATGGCCATTTTTCACAATATGCTCATGGGGGAAAGGGTTAAAGACAATGACAAGAAAAATGGATTACAATGGACAACAGACATTGAGCTATCATAAAATCTCACATATGAGCACAAGTTGCTCAGTGAGACAATTGAAAGAACAAGCAAAGATTCATACCTGAAACTATGATCCAAACTGTTTGTCGTTTTTCACCGGCAGTGTTGTTTACAATGAATGTGTAGTTTCCTGAATCAATCTGTTGCGGATCCTCAAAAAACAAACTACTTTCCACAGTCCTAATTGCTCCAGTATCTAATATAGGCATGTCATTCTTGTTCAACCACCTGTCAATATAATGGTTGTTATATTTATTGTTATAATTTATCTAAATAATTATTAACAAAAATAAACATTTGAGTGACTAAACTTAAAACTTAACTCCTACCCTGCTGGAACTGAGAGTAATTAGCCTCTGCCAACACTAAAGGCCAGTCTGCACAACCATATACTGTCTATCCAGGCTCATTACTGTTGGGTGACTTAGCATGGTATCCTCAAAATTTGTAATGGACAAATTCAAACCTGAACCTATTAAAGTCCATTAAAGAAATTGAGAAGTTGGAGGGTTTAGCTGCAATAGCATTATCACTCCTTTGCAATTAAAAAGTATTTCAATAATATGTGAGTTGCAAAAGTAAATCAACAAGTTCTCATAATGATTCAGTGAATTGTCTGCAAATTACCAACAACTTCTCCACAAGAACCACTCTGGACAAGTTTTTCTAATCAATTTTAATCAATTTCAATGTCTATACATTATTCTGGTTTAGATATTCAAACTCAACCCTGACATACTTATAGACCCATGTTGGTTTTTTCTGGTAAGTTTCCTTTGTGTCCATGCTTATAACATAATACAAATGATATTTACATAAAGTACTGGACATTGTCTAGGTATTTACATAATCAATGATCAGCTATTTTATCTATGTTAATGTAAAATCAAATGCTAATCACAGACTCCAGAAACATTACATGGCTAATGGAATGAAATACAGTATGAAGATAGTAAACTGGTCTTAAAAACAAATCATCCTGGCAGACTCCTGGCTGGAGCAGACATACATCTCCTCCGTACATCTCAAGATTTGATTACAGTCAATGTTTTCCGATGGTAAATGGCTGAAAGATGGTTATCTGGTAGAATGATACCTCTGAGATAGAGCTAGAGGATCAAACCAATAGTTGATGGCTCATCAACACTTATCTCTAGTAAAAACAGCTCAATGTTTCCACAACAACAAGCCAACACCATAGAAACAACAAACATGATAGTGTTGAGTTTACCACTCCCTGTCCTTATACCCTCTCAATATCCTTTCTCAAAATCTACACTTTTATATCCCAGCATAACTATTAAATCACTGGATTGTGGTATTTTACTGGATTATGGTATTTACAGGAGATTTGGGCCGATTTGTTTTATTTTCTCTAACCAAATGGTCCAGCTCATAGTTGGCTAGCAGTTTATATTTTGCCATCATCAGGTGAGTTCGTAAAAACTAATTTGTTAATAAATCATATACCCTCCTTCAATTTTAATGACCGTGTGTGTAAGTGGGTGGCTTGGGGTATTTAATCTGCACTGCTGTAGATCTGTTAGTGTTAGCACAATAAATGCTTCAGGGAATTCTCTTTCAGTACTCACAAAATAGACGATGTCAATGACTTGATGTATAGATTTAAAAAAAATATAAGAAGTTTAACTTTTTTGAATGTTCTCTAATTATAAAACAACAGACCTGGAGAGAAAGAATACATGTTTATTCTTTTTTTAACAGCACCTGTATGTTCTGAGGATAAAACAGAATTGTTTTGTTACAATAGCATTTAGAAAGGCTCTCGAAAATCTGTTCCGGTTTTAGAGATTATGTAATCAAGGTGTTAGATTAATGTAAAACCAGCCCAAGAAAAAAATACCACAAAAAAATGCTTTCTTTTCATGTCCTTTATTTAAACAGCTTTCAGTTCCAAGTCTATCCATAAAATTAACAATCCAAAACATAATGCATTAATTTATCTGATAAATTGCTTCCAACAAAGTAAACCGTTACCCATAAACTCATACATCATAAAAGTTTGCATTTTAAACGTCAAGATTAGCCGACCTTGAGTAATGTTTTCTTTCCATGGTTCCGCTAAAGAGTTATTGTTCAGGAATTAATGAGTTATTTCAAATGTTGACGGTGTATATAAAGCAATGATGATGGAATTGCATGTAAATGGATCGTTAAGCGAGGGTACCTATTTCACATAAACATTTATCTTGGTTAGATATATATTAAGTCTTTATGCACATTGAATAAGCTGCGGGCTTTGTTTCCTATGTGCATAAGGCGGCTACCTAAATGGTACAATAATGACAAAGATAAAATAGCTAATGGCTCCTAATTACAATAGATCCGCACTTGATTCCGATTTCCTACAGATTTACCTTTCCTCGCCTTAAACTCAGCATGATTAAAGTCTCAACTTCTTTAGTATCAAAAGAAATGTAAGTACAATTAAATTAAGCCAGATTGTTTGAAGGCAAATTTGGATTCGAAGTAATAGGAAACTTAATTTTACAAACATCAAATAATGATAAGATTATGAAAATCTACAAAGGAGCTAAATTTACAAGTTTGTATTATAATAAGGAACATATTCAACGATTTCTTTTTTATTTTGATAACAGTTTGTCCTTTCAGAGTCAAATTTTCATGAATGACTTTGCCATGCTTTGAATTGAGTATTGATAAAATAGAGCATTTTAAACCCTTAACCTGCAGTCTCTCCATGTGACCAGTGCGGACCAAGATCACCCGGCCCATCCTGGCTGTCTGATCATGGTCTGCACTGTTTGATATTCAGTCAGTATTTTATTTTGACATTTTCTTTAAAATTGATAAATAGTTTTGTCCAAATGGAAAGCTGAACAAGTCCATTAAAAATATAATATTTTATTTCAGGTCCTGTCAGATCACAATGAAAAGTTAAGAAATTTTTTTTACAGGCATCTTTGTGTTATTAAAAATACCGGTACATGTTAAATTATAAAGTAAATTATAAGTGAAAATGTGAAAATGAATGAGAATGACTATGATTTGATTGTTTGATACTTATGCATTTGAAGATTAGCCATCTTTTAAACAACCCAGACAAAACTGAATGTTCATTTTAAGACTAGGAAAATGTATATCAGTATATGATAAAAACTTACTTACAATTCCAGTATTCTTTGAAAGAAATCCTGGTTAAACACAGTTTCTTTGACATTTTAATTCCCATAATCTCGTTATAATTTCTCAAAGCTCAATCTTGATTAATTTCAGTGTGGAATTCAAGCCCCCTAACTGGCATCAAATCTGATAAGAATTATCCCCCTTGATAAATTAATTGAGGAAAATATTCGAACTAGATATAAAATCTTCAGTTTTTTTATTCATATTCCTGTAAGTAAGCAGAATTTATTTAGAACTTTGCTCAAGACATCTTTAATCATTTGAAATCTAATTAAAATGCATTTGGAAATTTTAAATTTCTCATTTTGATGCATGGTATTAGATTTTGTGGTAATATTTAATGATATTTTTGTGTCTTGTAAGCAATAAAGAGTACCTATATTTGTTATATTAATACTTTTACCCGATAGTTTTAATGTTTACAGATAAAAGTAAAAAAATCTTACTTCATCATTCGTTTTGATTGGCTCTACCATAGAATAAAATACATTATTCATGATATATTTTAGAGCATGATAAATAAACTGTATTCATGATTTTGTAACTTCAGCACTGAATTTATGATAAATTCCAGATTTAATCTATCAGACTAAAATTAAAACCTGATATAAGAAGGGGACGTCCCATTATTAACATAACTAAGTCCTTAACTTATTGACTTAATAACATTCAGCTTTTCATTAAACAAAATTTTAATGCCGAAGACATGATTGACAAATGGTAGCTCTTTTAGTCCCCTATTAAATTTGTGTTAAATTGTGTAAATTCGTGTTTGAATTTTTGACACTGTTGTAAGATTGAGGTAAGCAGGGAGCGGTGGCCTATTGGTTAAGGTGTCTGCCCCTAATCAGGTCACAACCATTTTTCTTCATGTGACACTAGTATTGGTTGGTGTCAGGTCAAAATTGATAAATACTAGAACTCCGCGAGTCGGATGTGTCGCCTTGTGAACAATGTAGTTTAGGAGAAATGGCCAGGACAAAAATGAAATATGAAAAATAACAAAGGGCAATAACTAAAAAAAAATAAGTGCAGAGCAGCAGTTTCTGTGCACTGCATTTCTTATCAATAAGATCTATCATTCTATGATGTTTCAAGTCCATAGCTTTCATACTTGTGGAGAAATGACCAGGACAAAAATAAAGTAAGAAAATCAACAAAGGGCAATAACTCAAAAAATAAGAAATGCAGAGTATCAGTTCTTATGCACTGCACTTTTTCTTAATGAGATCTATCATCCTATGAAGTTTCAAGTCCATAACTTTTATACTTTCGGAGAAATGGCCTGGACAAAAATTAAGTATGAAAACTAGAACTGCCACTATCATGGCGTGAATACCCCCGCATACCACTTTGTCAGAATCAACAATGGCCATTTAGAGCTCAAGGACAACCTCCCTGTCTGAGGTTACTAAGCCAGTGCATTGCTAAGTTATGTATTCTACATGCTTCAAATGTGAAAATGTCAAAATCAATACATTGCAGACAGGACATTCTTTAGCAATTGAGAAGAAAAGCTTTTTTTGTCAAGGTCCCTGGGACCTTGACCTTTGACCCAGTGACCTCAAAATCAATAGGGGTCACCTTATAGTCATGATCAACATCCATGCCAAATATGAAGACTGTGGGTCAAAGGAATCTTAAGTTAATGGGTGGACAAACTTTTTGAAGTCAAAGTCCCTATGACCTTGACCTTTGATCCAGTGACCTCAAAATCAATAGGGGGTCATCTACTAATCATGATCAACATCCATGCCAAATATGAAGACTGTGGGTCAAAGGAATCTTAAGTTATTGGGCAGACAAACTTTTCGAAGTCAAAGTCCCTGTGACCTTGACCTTTGACCTGGTGACCTCAAAATCAATAGGGGTCATTTACTAATCATGACTAACCTCCATGCCAAATATGAAGACTGTAGGTCAAAGGAATCTTAAGTTATTGGGCGGACAAGTTTTTTGAAGTTAGGCCCCTGTGACCTTGACCTTTGACCTAGTGACCTCAAAATCAATAGGGGTCATCTACTAATCATGACTAACCTCCATGCCAAATATGAAGACTGTAGGTCAAAGGAATCTTAAGTTATTGGGCGGACAAGCTTTTTGAAGTCAAGGCCCCTGTGACCTTGACCTTTGACCCAGTGACCTCAAAATCAATAGGGGTCATCTACTAATCATGACTAACCTCCATGCCAAATATGAAGACTGTAGGTCAAAGGAATCTTAAGTTATTGGGCGGACAAGCTTTTTGAAGTCAAGGCCCCTGTGACCTTGACCTTTGACCCAGTGACCTCAAAATCAATAGGGTCATCTACTAATCATGACTAACCTCCATGCCAAATATGAAGACTAAGGGTCAAAGGAATCTTAAGTTATTGGGCGGACAAGAAAAAACCAACGGACAGCCGGACGGACGGCCGGACAAGCTGATTCCAGTATACCCCCCTTACAACTTTGTTGTGCGGGGGTATAATTAACAAAGGGCCATAACTCAAAAAATAAGAAATGCAGAGTACCGATTCTTGTGCACTGCACTTCTTCTTAATGAGATCTATCATCCTATGAAGTTTCAAGTCCATAGCTTTTATACTTAAGGAGAAATGGCCCGGACAAAATTAAAGTATGAAAATAAACAAAGGGCAATAACTCAAAAAATAAGAAATGCAGAGTACCTGTTCTTGTGCACTGCACTTCTTCTTAATGAGACCTATCATCCTATGAAGTTTCAAGTCCATAGCTTTTTTAGTTGAAGAGAAATGGCCCGGACAAAATTAAAGTATGAAAATTAACAAAGGGCAATAACTCAAAAATTAAGAAGTGCAGAGTACCGGTTCTTGTGCACTGCACTTCTTCTTAATGAGATCTATCATCCTATGAAGTTTCAAGTCCATAGCTTTTTTAGTTGAAGAGAAATGGCCCGGACAAAATTAAAGTATGAAAATTAACAAAGGGCAATAACTCAAAAAATAAGAAATGCAGAGTACCGGTCCTTGTGCACTGCACTTTGGGTTATTGAAAGAAGCATGCATACCAAGTTTTAAGTCAATCAGACTTATAGTGACTGAGTTATGCTCCGGACAAGCTTTAGGGGACGCCGACAACGACGCCGCCGACACAGACGCGCCGATGCCGCCGACAAAAGTAACCCCTATATTAACCTTTTCAAGGCGACACAACAACGACAACGACGCCGCCGACACAGACGCCGCCGACATAAGTAACCCCAAGATGGTGGTATTTCAGTAGCTTACAGTATAGCATTTTGTCAGGCAACATGAAAATGCAGACTGGTCAGTGTGGCATAGGCTGTTTAAATTGTTAATGTACGTACCTAAATGATGGAGCTGGTTTACCATCAGGAATAAATGTTTTTACATAGAACGGCTCTCGCAACGGAATAACCATTGGAAAACTTGATATCAAACGTGGCTCGAATGTGTTCACATCGAAATCGCCAAGATCTGAAAATAAAATATAAATGTAAAGCATAAAATACAATTTTTCCAAGCCCATTAGTTCAACCTGTTGAGGCTGAAAAACACTTATATTTAATCAATAATGTTATAATAAGTACATTTCCCTTTAATGCATTCTGCATAAGGATTGACAACTACAAAGAATTAATGATAATTACCAACTATTACAGAAACCACTTTCATTTTTCTGAGGTAAATTTAAACAACCCACAAAAATCTGAAATATTAAATTTTATCTTTTATTTATATTTTTTGCATGATTTTTCACCTACAGATATTCATGTTCAAGTATTTGATATGTTTTTAACGAGCTTTCACTTACGGTACTTGAACGGGATCATTATGATGTTCGTAATTTTTCAGTCGTACAGACTCAGGCCCGATAAAGACCCATTTTTCCTTAGCAATTATAATATATTCTGCTATAATGTATCATTAATCATGTCAAGTGCCACATATTTTAACATTTTCAAGGCTTAATCTTCATGATGCTTAGATTTTAACACTTATACGTATAACTATAAAAATTGCTTATCGTACATCTTTCCTAAGGATGCTGAAATACAGGATATAATAACAAAAATAGACTAAAATATACCACCATGCTTGAAAATTTCAATCCACTTATTAACCCTTACTACACTAAATTTTTTAAATGGACTTGTCCATCTTTCAATCTGGACAAAACCATTAACATTTTAAGGGAAAATTTAAAATATGCTATGATTGAATAGCAATGAATTCAGACCATGATCAGATAGCACCAATGAGTGGGGCTGATTTTGGTCTGCATAATGGTAGCATGGATTAATTCAGTAGCCCAAAGCAAGGGGTAATAAACATCGCATAACCCCTAAATTGCATGTTGGACATGCCCCTGTTTCAACTTTGGAACATTCGATTATAAGCATAAGGGCTTTTCAAGATCAAGATTTTCAAATTAAGCAGACTGGTCAATCCACTCGAAGGTGCATATTTTAGCTCGACTGTAAAATGGCGGCATACAGATCTATTACAATCATCGTCAAACTTTTCATGAAATTTATAAAGACCCGCTGTTTTTTTAATGAATAATTATCTGTTATTTCAGAAGATACATTACCCAGGAAGCCATAATCAAGCTTTGAGTGTATCTACTTAACTTCATTATCATTAATTCGGTTAATCCACTAAAAGTACACACTTACAGGTCCAATTATTGACAATGTTTTATTTTATAGGTGTTTTAATCTATATTACTATCTATTCATAATCAAATATCTAGGAATTCATTTCAACAAACAGGAAGCTAACAAGTAAGGTGATGGGAGGTCTAACTTTTTGTGTGCCTGTCTCTAAAATAACCAGAAGTTATATCTATGCTGCCTATGATCTTTCCTAGCACAGGCACGAGTATCGGACCTGGGAAGAAAATATGCCACATTGATAAAAAACCTCTGTGTTCATCTTAAATGTGTCCAAAAAAAAAAAAAAAAATGAAATATGAGCCTCATTTAAAATATAAGTTAATATAAAAAAATATGTTGATAAAGTTTTAAGTGGTTTTGTATGGACATTTACAAGATAAATAATAATATTTTCTTCTAGAACAATTTATTATCTGCTATATAAAGATATGTCATATCAGATCATGTATCTCACAATAAACAACAACATCCATATGATTATTTTGTTGTTTGTTATCATGAAAGGTACCAGATACTATCAAAATACTTATTTGTGGAATTACAGACACTTGACCAATGCACTTTAATGTTACTAAGAAAACAAATATATGAGATAAATTTAAATGAAGGACAGTATCTAAGAAACAATATGTGTGACAGAAGAACAGGAAAGACCAAGGATAAAAAAGTCGGCATAAACCACAGGCAACCAACTATAAAATTCTACCCCTTCAAAACTTTTCAGGTTCATAAATAGAAAAAAAAACTATATCTATATTTAATCTCTGGTATCTATATTAAATTTCGCAGGTCTACCACCAGTAAAATACCACACTTAACATCCATACTTAACAGTTTTAGCATGGGTTTCACTCGAATCAAATTATAAAAGGCCTGCATCAGCTAATACAGTTATAAATCAGAAGTTAATTCAGCTTGTGGTAATAAATATTAAATGGCAACCAGTAACATACAAAGGTGAAGTTTAATGTGAAATGCCATACACTATTAAACGCTTGTCTTAAAGACATCAGGCATGATTACACTTTAAATTGTAATAGATATATAAAGTCAGAAGGAATGCATTTCCCCAATTTATTTTATTTTCTGCCTGTGTAAATTGAAACATATTTTGAATATTTTATGCAAATATCAAAGAGGACAACACTGACATTCCTGATTTGAACATGCCACCGTAATACACTTGTAAGGATTTATTTATTATGTTCTGTATATTTATTATGATTATATACTATCATTCTGATAATAGACAAGTAAACTTACAGCAGAATAAATTGTACAATAGAAAATACAATCATTTTTTTAGTAATTTCTGATAGAAAGAGTTTAAAAGACAAAGCAAGTGTCCCTTAGCTACAAAACATTTAATACATGCATAATACAAATATGAACATACATGAATGTTTTCCAGTACTGATATACCATTAAATAGTAGGAAATAGTCCTTTAAAAAAAATCTCTCCTTAAGGATCAAACCTTTACCAGAACAACAGTTAAAGACTAAAGAATCGCCTTCTACTTTTGAGGAAGATACGAAATGGCAGAAATCAGCCATCATAATTTCAAACCTGTATTAAGTAATGCAAACGTTAACTTGACAGTTGACAGCAAGCCCGCAGCCCATGAACGATACAGTGGCTGAACTGTGCTCTGGTAAATTCAATGTGGCTTACTGCCATGCTCAGGAGGTTTAACCACCACCAACTACACTTTATCAAACCAGTAAAAAACTGCCGTGAACTATTATACCAGTACTGACAGTTTGTATTGGAGGAAGCTGAGAATTTTGAGCGTACAGTTGTATTTTAACAAGGTGCTCAAAACTTACACTTTAAGTAGCTGAGGTTCACAGCATGAATGATTGCCAATGCAGACTCTTAAATCATTCCCTGACAAAACTACTATACAAATAGCACACATTTAATTATTGAGCACATTTTTCCACTTAAATTTTGGTGTATTAATGCAGCCTTGTAGGAGTCTGCCAGCATAGAGAGTCAATGAAAGCTCCCCACCCACATCTTAACATTGTCAAATATATTAACATTCTACCATTTAATATTTAAATTGAAGGAGAATTCATGCATTTGGTATTAAGTTTTAAATCTTAAAACATGGATTAGATTCAAGATCAGCTGAAATACAAAACCAACACTTGAAATCATTTTATCCTTCCATTTCATTACAGGAAAGAAAAGAAAATCAGAGGAGATAAATACAGACACAATTTGGAACATCAGGGGAGACAAACACAGACACATTTTGGAACATCAGGGGAGATAAGTACAGACACAATTTGGAACATCAGGGGAGATAAACACAGACACATTTTGGAACATCAGGGGAGATAAACACAGACACATTTTGGAACATCAAGGGAGATAAATACAGACACAATTTGGAACATCAGGGGAGATAAATACAGACACAATTTGGAACATCAGGGGAGATCAATACAGACACATTTTGGAACATCAGGGAAGACAAATACAGACATTTTTTAACAGAACATAAAGGGAGATAAACACAAACACATTTTGGAACATCAGGGGAGATAAACACAGACATAAGGGGATAAAAACAGACACATTTTGGAACATCAGGGGAGATAAACACAGACAATACTTTAGCAATTAAAAAAAAACTAACAGATTAAAAAAAAACTAACAGATTATAAAATCATCAATTCTTATCTAATTTAATTTTATCTTATCTTTCTAATTTATCTAGGTTGTGCTTCATTAGAGATTCATTATTTCAGCCATGTTACAAAAATAAATTTCAAAAGTGCCATTACAGAGTGCCTAAACCACTTTTACCATCATTCTTGACAAAAAAAATGGAAGGAAATTATTCAATAATATACACTCACAATATAATGCTACGGGGATGCCACACTGTTGAAAATATATGTGTTTAAATTTTAATGTATTTTAATATCTCAAATAAATATTTTTTCAGGTCAAACTTGAGTGAGTTTCACAAAAAGCATTTTCAAGTTCTTTAACCACTTTGTCCATAATACCTGAACAAGAATCATGCATACCTATAGGCATAGATCCTAGTTTTATTTTTTTACCTTGAAACGATCTTAAAGGGAACTGAATCATGTGTCTGGTGAGAGAAAAAATGCACATAAAAATGTTTATAATTAGTAAAAGTTTGACTTAATCAGCAAAGAAAAGGGTATCTTAATAGGATTCCAGCATGAAAAGATTTGTCTGTTTCACTAATACTTCTGTCATAATGGGCTCTCTAATGATAATACATTGCATAATATCAGGGCTTATCAGTAGGTGGAAAAAAAATCGAGAGAGAAAAAAAAAGCGCATTAATTCAGTAAAGTCTAGGAATTCTGTAAAACTATATGAACTTGTTTCCTTGACGTAACCTCTGATTCAGTCATTCCTGCAGCTTATCTCTCCTATCTCGGATGCATTACAAATATCCAAATATTTGCTCACAATTAGGCAACTGAATATTTCCTCATAATTACCTAACAACGTCATCTTTTAAATAAAAAAAAAGTAGGCAGACTTTGTGCAGAAACTTCTGTAAAAATTTAAAGCAATTTTTTTTCAACTTGCTTTTTTTTCTCCCCCTACAGTAATTGTTACAGACAGCCAAAAACATTTTTTCGTTTGCTGCAGTTATTTGCATGTATTTTATTTATTTTTTGTGTTTCAGTTTTTGTTACAGGCAATCTAACGGTAATTTAAAAAATTTCAAACAAAGCCATTTCACAATTTGAAGATACAATCAGTTAATATAATTCACATCTTATAAAATTCCTTTGAT